TTTTTCTTTTCAAACTATATAACCATAGATTATTTATCCGTTACAACAAAACATTGATTATATTAGCAATCGCAAAAAAATATTTTATATTTATTAGAGTAATCTATCACAATTATTAAGTTTTTAATTTTATGACCATTCAAAATAGAAATCCACCAATTTAAATTTGAAATTTATAATTCGACAACTCTTGACAAAAATTAAATGTACAAAACATCCAGATTTCAATGTAATCAATAATCCGCTATTCTGAATTTTTAATTAACAATTTTACCATTCCGACAACAAAATGTTTATTAGAGTCGCCAATAACAACCCTGTCCCAAATATGAGTGCAATTAATAAAAATTTATCAATTTTAAATTTTTTGACCCACATGTAATATAAATACTTGAATTCGACATTTATAATTTTATCATTCTAACGACGACTTAAAACGATTTTTTTTAATTTCCCTCTTTTGAGAAATCAAAAGTCTGCGGCTTTATTAATTATAATGTTTTACAAACCAAAACTGTTTAAAATAATTGTGTTTACAGAATCGATGTAATTTTAGTAACAATAGTAAATTCCTGTTTGTTATCAGTTGTTAAAGTTCCCGTGCAGACCAATACCCAACTTAAAAAAAAACTTATCAGTTTTCCTTTAAATTAATCATAATGTTGTGAGATTATTTATATTTTAAAAAGTTTTTGGGGTCGCTGAATCCAAATTTAAGGTGAAATTTATAAAAATTCAAAATGGCGGACCCAATGTGACGGAAAAATTTAGAATTGATTCGATTTTAAATTTTTCCGCCATTTTGGGTCCGCTGTTTTTAATTTTTTAAATTTGACCTCAAATTTGGATTTAGCGACCCCAAAAACCGTAAAGGAACTATTTTTATGCAAATCTAGTCAAATTTTAAATTTTTGGACGCCATATTGGGTCTGCCATTTTGATTTTTTTAAATCTGACCTCAAATTTGGATTTAGCGAGCTCGAAATCCATTGACACTGAAATCGAATTATGTTTAGTATTTTTTTTTTAATGTGGACATATATGTCCATAATCACAAAGGTGGAACGACTTTTTTTGGACATATATGGGCCATCGACTATTAAGGTATTAACTTTAAATTTTTACATCTAACAACAGTTTATAATCCATTTAAATCACAGCAAACTTTTTTGACCCTACAGCAAAATTTATTCGCTGTCCCTATATTAGCTAACGTAATTTGATGTGACAACAAATAGTTCGCTGCCATAGCAAACTTTTTCTATACGTGCAGAAATATTTTCAATAACATTTTCATTTTACAAAATATATACAAATTTTTTCAGTTAAAAAGAAAATATTTTTTTAAATAATAATTCTAAATCACCTCTAGTAACCATAAAATAAATTGTCTCGCTATGCGCGTATTTTCTACTTATCTGTCTGACCATATCAGACATATATCACTTAAAGTGTTTCCCTTACTTAGATTGTTATTATATTAAAACCTTTAACGACATTTAAGCAGATCAGATAATGTTTTTAGCTGTAGGTTTTTTATTCATTTATTTATTTATTAGTTTTTAATTTCAAAACAAGACTTTAAACAAAAATTATTTAAATTGATATAAAATTTAAAATACGCTGGTTTTAATCAATAGTATATAGTTTTAAATGAAAATACAAATATTGTACTTAAAACAATAGAAATTAAAAAAAATTGGTACAAGCAATAATAACTTTATTACGTATAGGGTAAGTCCGGGGGAGTTGGCCATGCGGGAGAGATGGCCAATTCAAATATTTTATAGAGTTTGCTGCTAGATATCGCTTATTAAAGATTAGTTCGCTTTGTTTTGTGGCAAAATACAATTAAAAGAAAAAACTTCACGAAAAATATTGAAAAAGTATGTAAAAATCTGATTTGTTGTTTTGACTAGTTCGGAAAAAAAGTGATGAGTTTACGTTTCTCACTGGTGTTATGTTATTTTATAGAATAATTTCGAATTTCATGTTTTTTTTGTAAAGTACATGACCCAAGCTTTGTCATAAATTTATATTTATTCAAAAAATTTATTTATTTATTTAAATTTTAGTTGTGTCAATTTGTCTCCTGACATTAGGAGAGATGGCCATGTTTTTTCGAGGTGAGATGGCCATACTGTTTAAGTTATTGGCACCCTTAAAATTCGTGTGTTCGCTAAAAAAACATTAATTCTGTGGCAAATGACATTTTTTATGACATATATTACAACAAGACACTCCAAAAAAGATTTTCAAATTTAAATATGATCAGATATAATAATCTCTATTGTGTAATTAAATGTTAAAAACGTTTATAAACAATCATAACACAGGTCTACAAAGTAAGACTTTTTTATATACAGCGGAGTGGTTTTCAATGTATTTTTGTGTGCTGAACCGGATTCCGGGTTCCAAAATTGCGTATCACATCAAGATTTTGAATAAAGTGGAGGTAAAGTCTCCAAAAACAGTGTTTTTGAGGGTTTTCATTTTTTTTTTATTCATTAACCAGACGTGCTAGACACTTCTATATATGCTTAAATTAAAGCTTAGATCGTACACTTTAAGACTCATTTACGCAGGATTAAAAAAAAATTTGAAATTTTGAAAAAAATGGGGGTAAATACCCCAAAAATCTTTTTAGGTGACTTCAACCTAATTTTTTTTTCAAAATTTCAAATTTTTTTTCCTTGCGCATATGAGTCTTAAAGTGTAAGATAAAAGCTTTTATTTAAGCCTATATAGAAGTCTCTATCACGTCAGGTTAAGGAGAAAAAAAATACTGAAAACCCTCAAAAACACGGGTTTTGGAGTCTTTACCCACACTTTACTCAAAATCCTGACGTGATACGCAATTTTGTAACCCGGGATAGTTTTCAGGACACAAAAATAAATTGGAAACCACTCTGATATCTCAAAAAAATACCTTGTAGACTTGTTGTGTTGGTGAGACAGACAAACAGAGAGCGCTTATCGAAGACTGAATTCAGTGCAATGATTGTCACCTTTGACTTCATGAAAATTGCACTGAATTTAATGATAAATGTTCGAAATGTGCTCTCTAAATCTGAATTAGTAAAAAATTAACTAAATCATTTAGTAAATTAAATTTTAACTAATGAATTAGTTATTTTTGGAAGTTTTACTAATAAAATAGTAAAAAATTAGTATTTGAACATTACTAATTTAAAATAGTAATCAAATTAACTAATTCTATTAGTTATTACACCCGAGTTACTAAATGAATTAGTCAGTTGAACGTAACCTCTATTATTTTCATGACGTATGTCATCTTCCATGGGTTTTTTTTAAAATATTTTTTTGTTTTTTTAGTATTATGTGATACTATAGCTTGTACTATGTTCAAAATATTTTGTTTGGTGCTTTAAATATTACTTTTGAAATTATTTATTTTTCAAAAAATTTTTTGATATAAACTAACCGTTAAAATTTTTTTATTAATTTTATTTCACCAAAAGTAACTATGTATATGTATCTAAACTGTCTTTAAGTAAATTAATAAATTACTATAAAGTGAAAATTTGAATAAAATCTTTACTAAAAAAAAATCGGAAATAATATATCAAATGAACCACCAGAACGTAAAAAATTTTATATGAATTTTGCCAATATTATGCAATTTAACCCATGAAAACTGACTTTTAAAAATAAAATATTTTTTATACAATCATGAAGAAACTACACGCGAAAAATTTTATCTTTGAAACTCGACTTTTAAAATTTTAAATTTTAGTATGAATAAGTTGATAATTTTTTATTGATTATTTACGATTTGGCGTTAAAATTGTATAATGATTAATGAATTAGTAAACAATTAGTAGTTTTAACTAATCAATTAGTAATTTACGCCCCCGGGAGCCGCATTAAAAAGTTACTAATTGAATTAGTTAAACCAAAATAACTATTTGAATTAGTAAGTTTTTACTAATTATTAGTGACTCACTTTTTGCTTTTTGAATTAGTAAGATTCTACTATTAATTAGTTATTTTTAACTAATTCAGATTTAGAGAGTGGTCAGAAGAAGAAAAGAAGTATTAATCACTTTAAATTAAGAATTCTAATAAAGCGGAAAGCCAAAGAATTATTTTAAAGTATTGGCCATCTCCCCCGTACATTCCGGGAGAGATGGCCAAACGCGTTTTTTAGAAAATATTAATTTTAAGATTGTTTGCATTTAAAAAATTTCTCATTTCTATTATTTTTTGTAAGTTAAATGTTCAATTAGCAATAAAAGTTATTACATAAATCACTTTCTTCTTATTTTTACAGGCCTTTAAAAAAACTATGGCCAACTCCCCTGGACTTACCCTAATAAATATACCAAATATATTGAAAGATTAAATGAACTTGATTATAGATGGCGTGTTTGTACATATGGCATTGTATTGTAAAAGCTGCGTATAATCTATATTTGGAAGATAAAATAAATCAGAATGTAAAACGAATTGCATTTCCAATTTATAGTGTATTTGAATTATATTACTTTAATGAACTTAACAATATACTTAGCATATAGGTTTTAATGAATCAGAATATTTTTAAACAGACTGAATCAAATTTCGCAAACAATACTTGTTTTAATTATATTATAACGTTATTTTACTGAAATTATACGGGTAAATTATTTTTAATTTTTCAAACACTGTTAATTTTATTTTTATCATTTGCGAATACTGTAATACTATATATATGTATATACAATTGAATGCAAATATCCCGGGAGTAAAATCTGTGAATATTTTTTGTTCTTGAGGTGAACAATGAAATTGTGTAATTTCGGATTTCGAGACGATACTCGCGTGGTTCACGCTGTCGACCTGTGCGAGGCAAATGAATCCTCAGGGAGAAATTCCATGAACCAAAATGAGAAGTTGGAAAGAGTCGAGATATACCTGGTGACATCGTCCCGCAAGGATGCTTCGACGCTGCCAGTGAAAATGTGGTCACAATTCCGTCGGCTTTTACTCTCTTTTACTCTCTCTCTCTCTCTATCTCTCTCTCTTTCTCTACTCGACTCTCTTACAAGTCCACGTTGGAAAATACGTCTAGAATGCTTCTCTCGCATTCTGGATACAGGGCGTGGCAGTTTTCACCCAAATGCTGTCCCAGTCGTTCTGCCGCATGATATTCTCTGTCCTCGTATTCCTCGTAATCCTCGTTTGTGCTTGAAGGTCTGAAAGTTTTTCAGCGATTCGGCTAAATTCTTCATTCCCTCCTCAAAAATCACATATAATAGAATCATAAAAAAAGTTACGACTATATATAATGAAAGGAATTATGGGCTTCTTCAAAGGTACACAAATAAAATTTTAAGAATTTTATATATTGAAAATCCACATAAAAATTCCATTGTCCATTTATTTATTGACCTTTTGATGTTGAAAATTGCAAAAATATTTCTTGATAAAAATATATTTTTATAGAAGAGATAATTTAGACATTTAATGTAAAATTGACTTTCCATAAAAAGATATTGTTCTTTTATTATACTTTAAGAATATTTCCATTTTCTATACACAAAAATAATAAAAAAGTATTTTAATATTTTTAATATAATTTAAATTCATATAAATATAAAATATAATATAAAAAATATAATTATATTGAAATTAATTAGTCATAATTTTTTTTTTTTTTAATGAACTAATAGAATTTTTCTTTTTCTTTAAAAGATATTTTTAAATCGATATTATACTTACGTGAGAAAAGTTTGTACGAGTTGTCCTAAAAGGCCGTAATGTAAGTTAAAAGGGGCAAAAGCTGCTTCGCATATTGCTCGGAGCATGCACTCCTTACCACCAAATCCATAATTCTCCATTACTTTTTGCACTATTTTGTAAATATTCCATCTACTTTTACCTGTTCTGCCATAGTGAACTCCAGGCTCAGTGAAATCCGTAGAGTTCACGGGTAAATTATATATGATTTTTGAAAAAACTCCCACTATAACGCTTTCTCGTCCAAGTTGAAGTGGAGTTCCAATGCCAAAAATCAGCTGTGCTCGAAGCAACAAGTGATTATTTTTAATTAGAATTTAAATCTAAAACAAATTACTTAAATAAAGAATCAAAAAAATTAATTTATTCCATCACCAAGTGCAAAATGTCAGTACTGACAATCCGGCCCAACATTGGCCCAGTAATGTCTGTCAAACTACGGCAAATGTTACTCGGCCAGTATTGGCGGGCAACTCGTCCCATTATTGGGCTGATATTGGCACTGATTCTAAGAAATTATAATTTACAATAAATTCTTTTTGCCAATGATGAAACGAATCTCGGCCCAATAGTGGCGCATCAATGGCAGAATTGTTGAATTTTTTACAGTAACTACTCTTTGTTAATGATGCAATGAATCTTGGACCATTAATGGCTCAACAACGCAACGGCTGAATTGTTTAATCTATTTTGACAAATTGTTTCTTCAAAGTTGAAACAAATCAAATTTCTAATAACAATTTTTTTTAAACTTTAACAATACTGGGTCACTAATGGCAGCCAAGACTCACTGCCAGTTTCGCCAATTCTGAACCAGTATTAAGCCATGTTGATTTCGCACTTGGGATCTCATCGATTAAATAGACAAACAATATTATCGTCAAAATATGATTTTTGACCTTAGAAGACATACATTATGGCGAAAAATTTGTCGAAAATAGAATAAAAGTCAATTTTCAAGTATATAAAATAAAAATAAAAGGAAATCGTGCTCAATAAATTAATTTTCGCTACAAGATTCTACTTGAAAAACGCTTTTTTGCATTGATTAGATACTGTGTCTATCCTTCACTGTGTAGCCTTTCCAATTCCCATTTATTTTATCTGATCTAGAAAAAAGCTTTATGAGATTCTTACGGTCCAATAAAATAGGATTCGAAACAAACCAACTTTTAGAACCCGGTAAAAACAAATCCAGCGTTTTATGAGTTCTAAAGCGAGTAGTCACTTAATTTCGTTAAATTCTAAGATTTCTACGAGGGCTGACATAGTTAAAATAATTTTCAAATTATACCTATTTAGATTCTTGTTAAGATACAAACTTATTATCCCAAAAATCTTATCTGGTATATATATATATATATATATATATACATATATATATATATATAGTGAAAACTTTAATCAAACAAATTCACAAACAAATTTCGTTATAAATGTTTCTTTCATTTAATGAAAAATATTAGCAACGAAAAATGGATAAAAAAATAACTAATTAAAAACGGAAATGAATCAAGTTCAAGTTGTAGATATAAAAGTGGAGTAGAAAAATGTTATATTTACCAATAATAAAGAGTTTGATTATTTTCGATTAAAACTAATTTCAATCTACGTCTTTTCGAATCTTACTTTGGGTTGCCAAAACCATTTTAACTTTGTAATAACTGTTCGATTTTGAAATAAATATAATTACAAACTTCAATCTCTATTTAAATGTTTGCATATTTTCGAGTACTTTACAGAGAATTTTTATTGATCAAATTTAGTGATATATTTTATTGATCTAGTTTAATGATTTAGATTAGTGATCTAGATTATTGATCTAGTTTAATGATTTAGATTAATGATCTAGATTAATGATCTAGATTAATGATCTAGATCAGCGATGTAGATTAGGATTAGCTTATGCTAATGCGAAGGAATTTAGTAATAAATGTTTTTTTTCGTAAAGAATACCATATTTCAGGTTTAGTTAAATTTACAATATTGAATTAATGAAATGAGTATAACTGTAAATTATGAATAGAAGAAATTAAAATTAGAAATTATATATTTAAATAGTTAATTATTTAATTGTCCTATATTGAAAATTTTAAAAAACTCGGATAAAAAATAAAAAAAAATTGTTAAAACAAATATCAATGGTCAAAGAAATTGAATGAAAGAATTAAAAAGATTTTCTTCATTATAATGTGAATTAGTGGAAATGAAATCTTAATCATTAAATGTATCTTGTTTGTGAAATTTGGATTGGACACAAAATGGTGTTTAATTATTTGTTAAGCCCGTGTGGAGAAAACTGAAGGAAATTGGATAACTTTGTGCTGCAGAGCATATGAGGACAGTATATAAGCAAGGCTGATAGAATAATTTAAAAGACATTTCTCGTTGGTATTTCACGGTGCTCTTGCTACGGTTATCTATGCTTTACGAATAATTAACGAAAAGATTACGTATATAGAGAAGCTCGCTCCCACCCATGTTTAAGTAACATACTTCGTCATAAGGGTTCTTGGGCTTTTAAGCATTCTGCATCTCATCTATATGGGATTTGGATTATTTATGATACGATATAGACTTAACTTGAACCCGATTCCCAATTTTGAATTGCAAACTACTTTTGCCATAGAGTTTGTGTCTCTTGCACTGGTACAAAAATTTAACTTTTCCTTAAACACTATATATTATTTATATGAATTCGAAAAAAAGTAATTAAATTTTGAGAGAAAAATTCCATTTCTGACAGCCTCTTACAACAAACTTTTCAAAATAAGAATATTCTCTTTTAAAAAATGACAGAAATCCACTAACAGAGATTTTATTTTTCAGAATCTATATATTTGAAAAAATTGATAAATTGTCACTGCAATTAAAACAACTTTTCTATCTTTCAATGTGGCTTTTCAATGCAATCACTGATGAACATTGAAACAATGGACATAAAAGTATAAATCGATTATTTTATATTGTTCTATATCCTTTATATACATATATTTGAATGTTAAAAATAAAAATGTTTCAAAAACTAAATGTCGAATTAAACACATGGATATTTATTGATTAACAAAACTGTAGATAAATTGATGTAAATATCGCTTGAATCGAAAACGAAGAGAAAAGTTTTTAATAATTGGCGCATTTTTTTCGTAGTTTCACGAAATGAAAACAAAATACAAAACAAAGCGCCGCTGTCAATTAAAGAAAAAAAAATGGTTTTTTTTCGTCGTTCAATTTTAAATTGAAAAAACCGTGAAAATGGTTGAACTACATAAAAAACAACAAAAATAAAAAAATTATTGATACAGGGATATTTCGGAAACAATCAGTTACGTACCAAAAGTGTCGATGGCTTGGGATAAATCAAAGTTCTTCTTTTTCGCGACAAAACCACATCGGCTATATCGCTTTTTAACGCAAGATCGCCTTTGTCAATGTACGTCACATTGTTATTGGAAAACTGTTCACAGATAGTGCTCAATATACAAATACAGAATATCCACGTGGTACTCAACGCAAGCTTCATAGTCTTTATGAATCGAGATATGACAAATGCGTGAATTTTATTTTTTTATTTGACATTAGCTGCAAATTATTGTTAACATTTATAACTAAAATAATGGGACGTGGAACGGGACAAATTGATTTTTTCCATTAGTACCCATCACTTGCTTCATAATTAATATTTATTCTTGACTTAGCACGTGCTAACGGTCTTGTTATCAAACAGAAATTCGAAACGATGCACGAGCAAAAGGGCTAATGAGAAAAGTAAATAAATGCCGGTTAATTTTTCTTTTGTTCATGATAATTCAGGAAATATTAATTTTAAGAAAATTAAGGCTATATACTGTAACGCGGCATTTTGTCGCGTACAAATGACTTAAAAATAATAAATTTTGTAAATAAACGACACCAGGGTGGGAATCCATTTATATAATGTCTGTAAAATGTTATAAAGTATAAAAAATATTTTCTTATGATACTTACTTCATTTTGTTTAAATAATAAATTCATGTATTAACAAATCAACTTGCCAAAGTCGTCAGATTAATAGTCGACTTATAATAAATAAATTCGATTCTCATTTGTCCTTTCATTCTGTTAAGAAAAATCTCGCGTGTCATTGAGGATTCTTGCCGGGTCACAAAAACGTTGAAGACATCACTATCTATCATTGAAATTAAAAGTTATCAAGGAAAGAGCTTCCTGGTGTATATATTTGGATGAGAGTCCCGAATATTCATGAACACTTGGAAGACCAAATTGCTGTTTTTTACGATCTATCAAATCAATACTGGCAGTCAATTTCCTATGGACTTCTCGCGTCAATCAATTTAACATCGGATAGTGCAGGTATCTGCGTTATCGACGACTGCATATCGATTATCGGTCGCGGATATTATATTATTAAAAATTAATTGATCTCAATGACACCGAGAAGAGAGGCCGCCGCTGTTTAGCGACGCTTTCGAGTTTGACTCGGCAGCCATTTTATTCTCATTCTCAACCTGGTGTCCGTAAAGTCAAGTTGTGTTCTATTCTTTTTCGTGTCCATTTCGTCAAATGGACGGTGAGTCCCAATAAATGAATTAGGAGTCGTTTCCTTTAGAATTGATCTCATTATTATTAAAGTATAATTGAATAAATAAAATATAAATCTTGTCTTTCGGCCTTCTGACATTATTTTACTTTTTTTTCTAAAATTTGAAGTGAATATTAAAAAATATTTGTTATTGTTATAAATTTTGTCTAATTAATGATCTTTATCTTTATCCCCCCTCTCTGCGGTCTATTGTTGCTGTAAAGTAACAATGGAATTCCTGAGCTGGTTTTAGTTTTTCCTAATTAGAATTATAAAATTTACTTGTCGGGTTATTTAACTATTTTTTTTTAATAGGTTTAAATATTATTTTCTACAAACTAACTTGGCGTCTTGGCAAAATTAATAATTAAAAAGTGTAGATAACGTTGATTGTATTAAAAATATAATAATAAATAATTTAAATTTAGAATAAAAATTAAAAATAAATTAAAATTAACGTTAGAGTACATATGGGGGATTTCACGTGAAGTGATCAAAAAGGAAAAAATGTCTTTTTTCATATAATTATTTTTGTTTCTCTTAAATATCGAAATAAATTTTTTTTATTAATTTCAGTTCTGAAAGTTTTTTTTGATGCTCTTTCGATTGGTAATATGCATTTTTGAAAAAGAAATTTTTTGACCAAAAAAAAATGTAATTCAAAAATAAATTTGACTTTTTCAGCTATATAACGAATGTCCTCATCGGAAACTAAAACTTTATTTAAAAATTATTTTTGTATTTAATAAATAGAATTAATAAAAATAGAATAAATATAATAATAAAAAAAACAATGAATATTTATAAAAATTAACAAAACATAAAATCAAATTTACACTTCTGTTTTACTTGTTAATAATTTAAATAAGATTAATTTTCCTCGTGATTAAAAAATTCCTTTCACATGAAAGAATTATATGTCTTTACGCACAAACAAAAAAATCCGATAATATGTATACAATGTCGAATTTTAGTGTTTAAATTATTTTTAATTTTCATTATTTTTAAAGGCGTATCTTACTCAACTTGATAAAAAGACAAAAAATGAAACTTTAAATACTGAAACCTTCTTAAAAGAATAAATCACTTAGTAATGGTTGGACCTTTTATTAGAGTTTAATTAAAACTCTGTTCACGAGGAAAGCAGCCACTCGTTACTTGGTCTCGACAAAAAAATACTTTTTCTACTTATTTCAAACGCTTTCAAAGCCGATGGGGTATATTGCCAGTTGAACTTATATTTAAAAATATCTGCACGATAAAACTAATTTCGACTTTTCATACTTCTTTATTTGCAAATGACAAAACTCTGTTTGTTAAATCACCACAATTGATTAGTTAACGCAAAATAAAAATCTTTTATAAAGTAGAGCAAAAAATAATCATTTTACTAAAAAAAAAAAAAATTAATTAAAAATTTTTAACGGAAAAATTTCTATAAAAACATATCGTAATTTTTTTTTTTCGCCATTGACATGAAAAAGTGTCTTTTTTGTGCCTGTTTGGGGCAGATAAAGTAGCACTTTTTAAGGCAGTTTGGGCCAACTGCCTAAAAAAGACTTTTTTAGGCAGCAAACTGCCGTATAAAGTCTTTTTTAGGCAGTAAACTGCCCTATAAAGTCTTTTTTAGGCAGTTGTTAATTTTTGCATAATTTTTTTTTTTGCTTTTATTTTATTTATCAATTTTTATTATTTTTTTTCTTTAAAATTGTTTCACTTTTTCATAACAATGGCGAAAAAAATAGCGTATGTGGCTCGCACGTAGTAATTTTTAGGTTCGGATGATTTCAATACTCGCTGTCTGTGCGACTTCGGTTCGACTCGGCTCGCTTTCGGCTCGACTCGACTCGCCTTCGGCTCGTCTTCATCTCACCTACAGCTCGCCTTCGTCTCACCTACGTCGCACTAACGACAGCTCGTACTGAAAATTACATCCTCACCTAAAAAGTACTACTTTACGTGCTTGCCACATAATATACTATTAAATGAAAGCATTTCAAAAAATGTTTTGAGAACAAATTCGTGTTTGAGTTTTGAAACAATTAAATTGTCAAAGTGAACAAGGAACAGATGTGTTACAGGTTTCCTGTTTTTTTTAATAGCTATGAACGACAGGAAAAAGGAATAAAGTCGTAACGAGATTACTACTAACGACACATCGAAGTGATAATAAAAACAGCCTTTTTTTTCTCTAAAAGAGAACCTTTCTCAAGGTCTTAAGAGCTTCAGCTGCATGGATAGTAAAGTGTCAACTGAACATTCTAAACATCCAACCTGGACCCACTTAGTCCAACGTCTTAGAATGTAATTCTACCTTAAAATTGAATTATCACCCGAAGGATGACCTTATAAAACGACCACTTTTACGATAACATTAAATTTTTACTGCTCTGAAAAAAGTGTTTTCTATAACGAAAAAAAAATTGAGTAATCATTTTTTTTTATTTCTCTTATATAAAAATTGTTTGTACACATGCCAGAAAGACAAAAATGGGACATTATTCCCGAAGAAATTGAAATGTATTTTTTCATTTTTTTTTTAACGAGTTTTTATTTTTATCTGAAAATTTAGAAGAATTGTATTTTTCCATTATTGTTTTTTTCATTAGCAACACATATAAGATCTCAGAAATAAAATTTACTGACTAAAATTAATTTTTACGAGTAATAGAATATTTAAAAAAAATTGAAAACGTGTTATCTGGCTAGAACTGACGTTTACTATTGTGATAAACAGAATTCTAAGAATTTCAAAAAAGTATGCATTAATGAAAATATGACTTAAGGCTTACTTACCTTGGCAATAGGTTTGGCCCATGCTTAGGAGTTTATCCGTCCTAGTTACTTTTTTAATCGAGCTGTCTTGTACTATTATTGATACCTATCTTTTAAAGAATTGACAAATTTGGAATCCTTTCTTTGCGAAATACTCTGATGAAATAGAGTATATACAAAAAAGATTTTTGAAGTTTTTGGCCTTCAAACATGATAATATTTACCCGCCACAGGCAACAGATGTGTTGTCATTGTGTGAAAGATTCAATCTTATTACTTTGGAAGAAAGGCGTATTATACTATCGCTTCTTTTTCTGTGGAAGATAATTAATTCTCAGATTGATTGCTCTTTTCTTCTAAACTTGGTCGATTTTAGAGTGCCCAGGTTAACTTCTAGAAATTTTTTACCTTTCTATAATCGTAAACGTAGTACAGCATATATGTTTAACGCGCCTATTTTTTTTGCGTGTTTTCATATTAACCAAATGTATAATGATATGAATCCTGATTTTGATTTATTTTTTTCATCTAAAACAGATTTTCTTAAATGTCTCGATTCTTACGTTAATCATCTACGTGTTCATAGATAACTTGTAACATAATTGAAAAGTTTTTATGCCATCGATTTAAATTGTTTGTTTCTTTTATTATTATTTTGTATCCCATATATAGTCCAGTTAGGACTGCGGGAAGATATTATTACTGTAATAAATAAATAAATAAATAAATAAACTACTGATAATCAACGTTAAAGAGTTCAGAAAAAGATTGTCTGACTATAGTTGGGTTTTCCTACTAATCATCAATCTTTTAAAATTTTTATAAGGTTTATCTGACAATATTTGTCTTTTATTAATACTAACAAAAGATAACCTATTTTTATGAATTCAAAAAAAAAATTGTTCAACTATTATTGACTATACTACTATCGACATCAAAAATCAAAATTAAATAGTTAGAAAAATTCTCTATTAATTTCAAAAAAATATTAATCTCTTCGCAGTCGAAGCCAAATGCTCATAAATAGTCCAAAAATGGCCAAATGTAAATGTAAATGGTTGAAAGACCAAAATTTGTGCAAATGTGTTTTCTATTTTATTTAAGGTTGCTGATTACGATTCTAAAGTCAGATTTAAAATGTTCAAAATGGCAGAGCCAATATGGCGAACAATTTTTCAAAATATATCAAAAATTAATTAAAATTTATTAAAAATTGATACTCGGTGGTTTTTGGGGTCGCTGAATACGAATCTAAAGTCAAATTTTAAAAATCCAAAATGGCGGAATCAATATGGAATCCAATATTGAATCCGCCATTTTGAATTTTTGTAAATCTGGCATCAAATTCGGAATCAGCGACCCCAAAAAACACCAAAAACAAATTTTAGGCCAATGCCGTCTTATTATTGGGCTCAAAATTTATTTGCATGTATACACGTCATCGACACACGGAAAGAAATTTAGTAGCAATATTTGATAAATCTGATAGGAAATTTTAGTATTTTCTTTTTCAAACGCGGAACATTTGGGTTTGATAACGAAAATCGGTATATTTTTACCAATAGTCTTTTTAGTAAATATATTCCAGAAATTGAAATTATTATTTCGTAAATTGATAAATTTATACGAAAAACCAGAAGTAAGTTAAACCGACGCGCACTTCATTATTTACTAAATTTATATGAAAATTTAGAAAGATTATTTCGAAATTTGTTAAAACTATACTAAAAATTCGAAGTGGTTCAGTTGTGACAGATGACGACAGAAACACCAATAGATTCTACGCCAAAGTTTTATCTCTTTCTCATCTCGTGGATAGACGAGGATATGAACTTTTAAATGCACACACACGCATACACCGCATTGTTTTACATCGATTGGCTTATTTTTATTCCTAACCTATACTAACGATAATACGTATAACATTCGCAGAATAACGCTTCATATACAAATTTACGTTCATGTGAAAAACTGATGTGACCATTCTTATATACTAACCCGACATATTTTTCACCGCTTATGAGAAAGGTGAAATTACATCAAAACATGTTTACAAATATAAATAAAAATCATTATTTATTGGGAAATAATTAAATATTTTATTATTTTTTGAAGAACAATTTTTTTTACTGATTTATTGTAAATTATTCGAAATTAATTATATAAAAGAAATTCAGGTCTGTATCAAGATAATGGTAAAAAGGGGCTTGTCTAAAGAGCTTCGTTAGTCTTCGTTACCACTCGGTGAGGATCGGGCAATTCCGAACGTTCAACTTCGGCAAATTTCGTCGAATCTCGTTAACTTTGATATTTCTTTTTCAATTTTCATATCAAATATATCAAAATCTCAAATAATTATATCATTTTATACAATTCTAATTACGAAATTTGAAATATTTGGTTAGAAAAATTGATAAAGAGCTTATTAAAATTTGACATTTTTGTGTTTCAATAAAAAGATTTCAGATTTCGTAAATATTATATCAAATTTTCTTTATAACTATATTAAATATTCTTATTTTAATCTCAATCATTCTTAAAAATAGTATCGAAAATCGTTATCATGCCAAAATGTTCCGCAATTGTAACCAAATATACTAAAAAGTAACACCATAATATCAAATATTGCTACAAACTTTCTTTCCGTGCAGATTAGTGATCTAATTTAGTGACGTAGTTTATGGATTTAATGTAGAGATCTATTTTCTGGATCTGGATTAGTGATAAGTTTAGTTTAATATTTCGTTCGATAAAGTTCGTAATAAGTTTTGTAAAAAAAACATCTTTTTTGACTATACTTATAGAAAAAATAAAACAAAAATTAAACGCTGAGAAGTTTATACAGTGTACAGTGAATCGAATCTTTGCTCCTTTATATAATAAATTTATTATCGACATATTGTGCAGCAATCAGGTGTATGTTTCAGAGAATGAATGGATGGTTGTCTGAACAAAATGTACAATTGTTCGCGAAAAGCTATATCGTCAATCTATGAAAGCAGATTGTGGACGGCGGATAAAATGGGAAAATTAAAGTTTTGGAATAGAGTTACATTCCTCTATTAGACTTTTTTTTTTTGCTCGCAGCTTCTCATAAATTTTCACCGGACTATTTTCTCTTTATGTGCACCTGTTATTGAACGACAAAACTGCCAATAACGTCCGATAACTGCGTCACGTACTGTTGCGGGTATACTTGTTATACGAAGTTCTTCTTTTTTTACCGAATATACTTTTAATATCAACCTCTCATTGTATTCCACTACGATATAAATTAAAGAATTGAAATAAAGAGAGAAAGAGAGAGGGAAACTATGCAATATTGTATTATATGAATTCTCAAAATATTAAAATTTTTTTTCTTCAAATTCTTACATTTTCCTCGTTAAAGTCGATAAATGGAGAAAATATTTTTTTTTCTATACTATTTTTCAATTCTATTATCGCATTTGTAAATTGAGATTTCATGTTATAAATTAAAAAATATTTTTAAATAATTTAAATATAATATTTTGAAATGAAATTGAAAATGATTGAAATGAAAATAAAATTTTTAATAAAAGAGGAAAATATTTTATTTGTAAAATATTTATATTCAAATTTCGCGAGAGATCATAGTTCCAATTAAACTTGAGCGACAATGACGTAATTGTGAAATGAAGTGAAAATTTTTGTTCCGAGTGAATCTTGCCGACTAAGTAAGTGCAATTAAATCTCAAAGGAGTAATTTGAGCAATAAATCTTATTTTATGTAGCACTTAAGCAAAAGGTTCTGCGAATGTATATATGTTGGAGAAATTGCGTTTCCAAGAATGGAATTCATTCAGAAAACTTCGGTAAAATGGGATAAAATGTCATTTTCACACTCGTGAAATAAATATTCACATTTGTTCGGTTCTTTTTTGCCAATAATCTCGGCTGCATGATATTCTTGATCGTAAGAATTTTCAAATTTCTCAATTGTGCTAGAAGGTCTGGAAGCATTCAATAAATATAATAATATTATAAACAGCAATTTGAATATTTAACAAATATTAAAAATTTTAATGATATTTATTAGATACGAAATATTTGAAAATTTTAATAACTTGTACAAATGTTTTGAAAAAAATTGAAATATACGTGAAAATAATCATTAATTTGCGTACATTTTAAATTTTAATGTTTCATCATTAAACATTCTCTCAATGTACTCAATTAGTCACAGAAAAATAATTACAATTCCAAATAAAGAGCTTTTACACCTCAAAATGCAAATTGCTTTTGGAATATTATGCAAATTTTAAGCTGACATTTTTTTTTTTTTGAAATACAAATTTGTCGAATAAAAAATTTAAAAAAAAATCTGAATTTTTTTTTTCAATTCAATAAAAAAAAGTTTTTATTAGGAAAATTTTACTTTAAATCACCCAAATTTGATTGAAACACTCAAATTTAAAAATTATTAAAAATATTTTTGTTTGATTGAACAAAAAACTTTTTTTTTTGTTATGATTTAAATTTAAAGCATATTTCGAATTGTCTTACGTGAGAAAGGTATGTAAAAGTTGAGCAAAAAGACCAGAATTTTTGTTCAATGATGTCCCTGCTGATTCGCAAATAGCTCTCAATATACAAGCCTTTCCCGATTGAAAAGTATCAATGGCACTTTCAAAAAATCGATAAATTTCATATCGTGTCATTGATTTGACAGAAATAGATGATTGATCTCGATCTAAAGTAAGCAAAAAAAAAAAGACAAATTTATTATAAATTCCATTATACAAAAAAAGAAAGTAGACAGGATGATTAGCAAAAAAATATTGAAATGAAATATGATATTTGATAAAGCATCGCGCCGCGCAGCTTTTGACTCTCTATTCAATGTGTAAAGCTCGACCGAGCTTAGGTTCTCAAATACACAATAAAAGCACCCTTTTAATATGTAAAGGGAAAGAGAGAGAGAGAGAGAGAGAGAGAGAGAAGGAAAGAACGTACGCTTTTCCCATCAGTAAGCCGTATTTTTCCCCAGCGCAAATCAGGCCCAAGGGGAAATCATGGTTCGATTAATGTGTCTGCGAAAGGCGTATTGAGATTAATACATAAAAGAGAAGAAAGCATTTTTATTGATGGAAACCGAGTGCTTTTGCAAAATATGTATAGAAATCCTTTCGAATCAAATATCTCCATAAAAAAAAATCTGCGAAAAAATTCTTCTTCCCCCCCCCCCCCCCCCCCTCTGAAAATTGAAATGTCCATTGATGCATTTTTTTTATAAACAAATTTATTTCAAGTAAATATAATTTACCAAAAATCTATTGAAAATAACACTTTTTTTTAAACAGATAACTATTTGATCAAAAATAAATTTAGAAATTATAAATTCAATTAAAAATTTTTATACATTTTATTAATAAAATAAATTTAAAAACAAATAAAGTAATTATTTTATATATAATACTTAAGGAGTGTCGAACGGTCTCTGAAATTTTTTGGCATTTAATTATCGCCTTATAAAACGCGATTGTAAAACGAAAAGTAGGAAAGTAATATAATGACAGCTTTATTACGTCCTGTAGCCGTTAGGTGGCAGAAGCATGCAGGGAGCACAACGTCGCAGCTGTCACTTTCCTACTTTTCGTTTTTTAATCCCGTTTTTTGTATGGATTCGTACAATCTTTTGAATTTAGGAAATTTATAAGATAAGGATCCTTGGTGTTTTGGACGATTTTGTAAAAAGTGTCTGCGTATCAAGAAAAAAGTATTTTAAAATTAATGTTTACCATTTTCAATAAAAGATATAGAAATAAAATAATTATTCATAATAATAATAATAATAATAATAATAATAATAAATAATTAAATACAAAAATGAAAATTCGAAAAAGAGAATATATTGCAATTATGGATTTGTATATCCTTTTCTATATATGAATATAAAAAAAAAATTAAATTAAAGTTCTTTTCTAGATGGAGATTGTTTTTCTCGCAATAGCATATAGTGGTTTATGAAAAAACATACCTTTTTCATTCAAGGAAGATGAAAAATTTTTCAATACTTTTCCACCATATTTCATCGATCTGGCATACCGAATGTATGGATTCGTCAAGTACGAAGCGTTGGAGGGCAAAGCGTAATTACATTTCATCACATATCCGATAATCGTACTGACATCGACTTCCATTGGTAAACCCAGACCAAAAATCAACTAAAATAAAAAAAAAACATGCCCAAACAATAATAAATGTAAAATTGTAAATTGTAAATGTGAATTTTACACCAATTTAAAAAAAAATTATTTTTATTAAACATATTTTAATTAGATACATAAAGTTTTAGTTTTTAATTTTGAAATTGAAAGTTTTAATAAAATCTTCATTTTTGTTGTGAAATTATAAAATAAATTTGTCTAAGGTAAAATTTGTTCATAAAGAGTAATTAACAGTAATGAGAAAATTCTTGATGAGCTTGATATTCAAATTAGAAGAACAAATTGGTTGGGCACTTACCTGTACTTTCGTTACGGTTAAATTACCAGGAGGTGGATAAACAAAGTAACGTTTTGTTCTCAAATTGTGAGATAATCCATGTTCATAATGAAGTAAAAATAATAACAAAATCATTTGCTTTACGACGTCAATTTTGTTAGAGTAACACATTTTCAACGTGAAGGCAAAATATACATATAATCTGCTCTTGAAATTTAACTTTTAAAAAATTTTACTCAAGAGCGAACAGCAAAACTAATTTCAAATGCCACTTAACAGAAGCACTAACAAATTCATTAGCATTAAATTGCTACAAAGGAAGTAATCTCCTAGTGATAATTTCCTTAAATATATATATATATATATAATACTACAGTAATACATTAAATCGTATTTTCAATTTTAATAATTATTAAGAATTTATATTTAATTTAATTCATAATTAACATAAATATTTCCTATTGTGCGAATGAAAAGCATTGTCTAAATGAAAAAAAGAGAAACAATTTGTAAAGTAATAAATATTCGAAAGAAAAATAAAAAATCTTGAAAAAGAAATGACAAATCTTCAATTTGGTGAAACGTTTCGATCGAAATAATTGATTAAAATAGATTCTATTCAACAGTGTATATGAGGATATCTGAACAATGAATTAATCGTGGTCGTAAATATCAGGTAGGTGATTCCGTTCAATCAAAGTACACGGGTTGTCGGTACTACTATAAACTCGAACAATAGTTTCTGAAAATCTCATACGTGACAAATTACATATCAATGGCTACACGTTTGTTTCAAAAAAAAAAAAAAAAAAAAATAATAATAATAAATAAATAAAATAAACAGACCTATATGCACAATCGACAATTTGATTTTGCAAAAAAAAGTGATTTTTCACTCACTTTTTAAACAGAATAAATTGACGAATTGTGAACAAATTCAATGGTAAAAAAATTGTATATCTAGATATTCGAATTCGATGAAAAAACAAAAAGGAAAAAAAGTAGACTATCATTTGAAATTCTATTAATAATTATTATTTTTAATATCACTTTAGATATTAAATAATTTTTTATAATTATTATATACTTAATTAAATATTATTAGGGTTTATTATGGGTGTTAACTAAATATTGTTAATAAATTAAGTAATAATTATATAAGTATGATTAATTAATAAGTTAAGTATTAATAATTAAAAATATCTTTAATTATTTTGTTTTTTTCTTTCTTTTTAGGGTTCCGTACTCGGTTCGGAACCCTATTAATATCGGTTTTTTTGAAATCGTGTACCCCCCCCTAGCGGCCACATAAATTTATCTGGAGGGCTGAAAATTAGTACACATATGTATTTTCGCGTGTAGATTACAGGAAAATTATAGCGAACTTGATTGGAATTGATTAACATAGCGTTGTCAAGGAAAAACCATGAATTTTTACGAAAAATGCCTAAAAATGACTATGTACCCCCCCCCTAGCGGCCACATCTTTTGACATAAAGAGCTCAAATTTGACACACTTACGTATTTTTACGTGAAAATTACAGGAAAATTATAGCGAAGTTGATTCGGATCAATTTACATAGCGTTGTCAAGGAAAAATAAAAAATTTCGAAAAAAATAATTTATTCTCCCTAGCGCACACAATATTCAACCCAGACAGATCATATTTAGTATACAAATGTATTTTTACGGGAAAAATACAGGGGAAAAAAAGCGGTCACGATTAGAGTTGATGATTAACTTTTTATCAAGTTTTTCAAGAAAAAATGACAATTTTAGGAAAAAAATGTATTTTTCCACCAAAAACGAACAAAATTTTATTTAAAGGAAATTAAATTTATATATTTTAACGTATTTTTACGTGTAGATTACAAGAAAAATATAGCGAGCATGATTGGAGTTGATTATCATAGCGTTGTCAAGGAAAAACCATGAATTTTTACGAAAAATACCTAAAAATGAGTATGTACCCCCCCCCTAGCGGCCACATCTTTTGACATAAAGAGCTCAAATTTGACACACTTACGTATTTTTACGTGAAAATTACAGGAAAATTATAGCGAACTTGATTCGGATTAATTTACATAGCGTTGTCAAGGAAAAATCAAAAATTTAGAAAAAAATGATTTATTCTCCCTAGCGCACACAATATTCAATCCAGACTGTTCTTACTTGCTGTAAAACTCAATTTTTGCGTGAAAAATACAGGGAAAAAATGTAAGCGCGATTGGAGTTGATGATCAATTTTTATCAAATTTTTGAAGAAAAATGATAAATTTCAGAAAAAAATGTATTTTTCCGCAAAAAACGAAAAAAGTTTTTCTACAGTGATTCAAATTTATATATTTTGACGTATTTTTACGTGTAGATTACAAAAAAAATATAGCGAGGATGATTGGAGTTGATTTTTCTGGAATTAATAAACAAATTTTATTTTTTAGATAACTTTCGATTTTTCCTTGACAAGCAGCTACTAGCCTTATATCAATATCTTAAGTTTTATCTCTTTTTGACTTAGAAAGATAAAATTTAATATTCAATATATTTTTAAAATGTAAATACAATAAAAATATTGCGAGTTGAAATAAAATTATGTTTCTTATATTTTTTTAGTAAAATATTTTTTAAAAAATAAAATCGTCAAGTGCGAGTTACACTCGCACTGAAATCGAGGGTTCCGTACTCGAAGCGAACTTATTTGGTATAAAAACAAATGTTTAAAAAATATGTGTTGTATGACAACTAATATAAGTGATACAAAAAGGAACAATTTTGTAAAATTCAAGAAAATTGTTCCTTTTTGTATCACTTATATTAGTTGTCATACAACACATATTTTTTAAACATTTGTTTTTATACCAAATAAGTTCGCTTCGAGTACGGAACCCTCGATTTCAGTGCGAGTGTAACTCGCACTTGTCCGATTTTTTTTTGAAATAGTTGTAGAAAAATTTGTAGTTGATAAAATTTTTAACTTTTCCGTGGTTGCTTGGCATATTTTATTTGAAGTGTATTAAAATCAAGCAACTTGCGAAATTGGATATGAAGTAATCGTAACTTTCTGTCTGGATTTAGTACAATATATATATATATATATATATATATATATATATATATATATATATATATATATATATATTTCACACTTGACTCAAAGGAACATTTCTCTTTGATGCTAAATACCTTACAACAAAATGTTGATAAGTAAAGGAACCTTAATTTCCTTTTGCAAGAGAGAAATAATATATTGAAATGTAATAATGACTTCCTGGTAAAAGGAATTTTCACTTGATATCGTTATAATTTTGCTCAAAATTCAATAAGCTTTTAATAATTCTCGAAATGGCAAGCAATAACTATTCTAAAAATAATTTATAAAAAAAATTCTTTTTCAACTTTTAATATTTTTCAAGTTAATAAAAATTTAAAGTTTCTTTATTTTATAATTTATTTTCATTTACAGTCTATATAATATTTTGGAAAATTTTTTAATTTTAACTGATAAAAATATAATGTAAAATTATTTTTTAGTTCTTCTTTTTTCTTTTAATCGTCTTTTATTTTTGATTATAGTTTTGATTATATTAACAGTATGTATTTCTTGGAGAAAAAATTTTCTTTCAAAAAGAAAAAAAAAAAAAAAAAGTTTTAAAAGTTTTATTTCATCCAACGTTGGTTATATACATTTTTCCAACTCTTTTCGTGACTCAACATTGATCCTTTGAAGGATGAAATTCTTAAAATTGCGCGACAACTTTAACAAGGTAGAAAACTTTGATGAGAAATAGTTCACGAGTCAAGGCGTAGGCAAACTCTGCATCTTCCCTTGTTTCGCCTTCAGTTATGAAATATTTCAAGCCTCGGAGACTATAAAGTTTACATGAAAAATCAAAATGCAATGCTTTGTTTCTATACACATTCTGATAAAAAGCTGAAATCACAGTTTTAAATTTAAATAACTCACGCTATTCTTAAAATATTTCAATTTTTATATATACGACAAGATATGAGCAATAATATATATGTCTATATTAACATTTTTTTTTTTCTTAATAATAAATTTTTTTTAAAACTCTCTAATAATAATAAGTCTTTAATTTTTTCCCTTGAAACTTTTTAGAAAAATTTAAAATTCAAAAAAAATTCATAAGACGAATTTTCTTGAGAAATTCCATGCGAAACTTGTGAGAATTTTATTAGCTCCACTTTTAGAAAACTATCATTTCAAAGATTTTCACAAGTTAATTTAAAAAAACTTATTTTTTACATTTATAAGAAAATTCGGGGGGGGGGGGGGAAGGGACATTTTTTTTCTATTAAACAAAATCTTTGTATTTATGTGAAGAGAGGTTAAAAAATATATATATAATCATTGTGTGCTTAATATAATGAAGAAATCAGCGAAGCAGGGAATTCAATTAAAACTTCCTTTCCAGATTGTCAATAACCAATTTGCATGGAGAAAGTGCTCTTTTATCGTTGTTTAATTAAATTTGGAGTTTTCGACAAAAGTGAGATGGAAGAAGAGTAAAAAGAGTTGAAGCTTGAGCTGGTTTCAATTTCCATTCGAGAAGTTTATCTTTTTCGTGAAATAATCCAGAGGACTGAAGGAGCACTCGGGGTAGAATGATTTACACATTCCATTCGCCGTCTGTCCTATGTGTTCTGCTGCGTGATATTCGCGATCCGCATACATTTCGTATTCCTCGAAAGTTGTCGAGGGTGTAAAGACGACGTGCACAAGTTCCCCTAAGAGGCCGTGGCCCTCTTTGAAAGGTGTTTCCGCAGCTTCACAAACCATACGTAGCAGACATGCCTTTCCTGATCCAAAAGTTTCAAATGCTTTCTCCAATATTCGATACAAATTCCATCTTGATAATCCTCCTATATATATATATATACAAAATAATATTATAATAAATAATTAACTTTTGGTATTAAAAAATAAAATCACATGACATCCTAAGGATATCATTTTGTCCGAGGAAATTAGGATATCCCTACACTGAAAAAAAATTATTTGATTCAAGTAATCAGTTATGCTTGACAATTATCAAATAAATATTTACTTGGACCAAATAATTTTTATTTGAATTAAATAAACTACATTTGAATCAATAATTTTTGTATTTGAAACAAATACTATTTAATTGTTTCAAATAATAATTACACTGTGCTAGTTCAAAAAATAAACAAACTTGGCATATAGTGTATCAACCTAATTTGGGGACGCTAAATTCAATGGCGTTAGCCGTTTTTCAAGATCGTGTCAAATTTTTAAAATAATCGCCATTTTGTTTTTTGGCCTTTATCAAAATACAACATTTTTTCTAATCAAAAAGAATAAAATTTATTTGAAACTCGTTACTCGGGGATTTTCGGGGTCACTGTTTACGAATTCAGTGTCAGTTTTCCAAAATTCAAAATGGCTGACCAATATGGAGGATTTAAAAGAAAATCGTTCGGATTTAAGCAAATTCGAACGATTTTTGAAAAAATAGTCCGCCATATTGTATCCGCCATTTTGAATTTTGAAAAACTGACACCGAATTCGTAATCAGCGACCCCAAAAACCCCCGACTAACGAGTTTCAAGTCAATTTTTTTTTATTTTTAGGAAAAATGTTGTATTTTGATAATGCGTAAAAAAAAGCCGATTATTTAAATTAGGTTAATGCACTATGCGCCAAGTTTGTAAAAAAAAAGTACTTTTTTTAAGTACAGTGTTATTTGATACAAAAAAATATTTAGTTGATAATAGTCAAGTAATTGATTATTTAAATCAAATAATTTTTTTTTAGTGTAGAACTTCCATAGGACGTCCACGGACATATCTATAAACACATCTCAAGGATATCCTCACTTGCCTGTACCAAATGATATCCCTAGGACATCAACAGGATATTCTAAAAAATCTGTTCCTGCACTGCAAAATGAAGTATCTTATTGTAAGATGTTTTGGTCGCCTTTTTAAGATGTTTTTTACAACTTGCTCCTAAGTTATCAAAAATATCTTAAAATGCATTAGTTTCCTAAGATTTAAAATGGATTGGAAGATGCTTTTCGTAACTGGCTTCCAATGTGTCTTATAATAAGATACTTCTTTTTGCAGTGTGTGAGAAAAGTTCTGTTAAATAAGAATTCAGTAAAATTAAAATAAAGGAATAAACAACTTGTAAAATAAGGTACACACGCTCGTATTGAATTATCCTGAAATATTTTAAAGTAGATGAAATATCTGAATTATCTGAAATATCGCGAAATTTTTAAATTACCTTAAAGTAATGTAAATCTTGAAAATTATTCAATTTTATCTTGAAATAGAGAGAAAATGTTTTTTAAATTTTGTGGCCTATTGGCTTATATTTATTTAATTACATCAAAATTTTAACGCGTTTCGATACAGTATTCTGCATCTTCATAAGAAAAAAAAATATATCTGTAAAAAGACAAGAGAATACATAGGTTTTAACGAGAAATATATTAACAAAGTATTTTATGGTAAACATACCAGCCCAGGTGGAAAAGTTCCCGGTAGTGACTACCGGTAGTCATTACCGCTCCCGCTACCGGAATATTCACTACCGGTAGTCACTACCAGTAATTTTTCATAGACTACCGGTAATTTTTCCGGGACTACCGGTAGCCACTACCGGTAATTTTTCCGGGACTACCGGTAGTCACTACCGGTAATTCTTCCGGTACTACCGGTAGTCACTACCGGTAATTCTTCCGGTACTATACCGGTAGTTACTACCGGTAATTTTTCCAGTACTACCAGTAGTCACTACCGGTAATTTTTTTGTTACTACCGGTAGTCACTATCGGTAATTTTTCTGGGAATTACAATCAAAATTTATTACCAAATAACAAATTTTGATTGTAACTCCCGGAAAAATTACCGGTAATGACTACCGGTAGTAAAAAAAATTACCGGTAGTGACTACCGGTAGTAAAAAAAATTACCGGTAGTGACTACCGGTAGTACCGGAAAAATTACCGGTAGTAACTACCGGTAGTACCGGAAGAATTACCGGTAGTGACTACCGGGAACTTTTCCACCTGGGAGGTTTTTTGAAAAAAGAATATGAAAAAACATAGTAGAAATCTTGACATAACCTCAAGTTGGTCGGGAAATTATTTGAATTTTGAATCTAACCACCATATGGGCAATAAAGATCAGCATTTTGACTTTTCAAGAGTCATCTCTGTTCCTTATATAAATAAATTTGCAGACACCCTCACAAGAATTTGAAAACTTTCAATATTATTATTGTTTTTAAATCCATGAAGAAAATAGAAGAAAACTTAATTAAACTCCCTTAAAACCCGCTTCTTAAAATTTGAAAAAACAAATTTAATATATAAAATAAATTGTAAAAACTGTAAGTTCTGTTACATCGGACAAACTTTCAGATACCTAAAAAAAAGAATTTATGAACATAAATATCAAGAAACCAATAAAAGTAAATCCACCGCTCTATGTAAACATTCAACAGAACAAAAACATTGTTTTGACTTCTCACAAAATAACGTTAAAATTTTAGACACAGAAACAGATTTAAAGTTTAAACAAACGGAAAATTCTAGAAATGTTTTATACATTTGAAAGAAAAAAATTCCATAAACTTTAGAAGTGATGTCGATAATTTAAGTATCATATATTTAAATTTAATTGACTAATTTCTCCCTTCTTTTTTGTAAACTTCTCTTTTCACCCACCATGTTATCTACAGACCTTGCCTTATTTTTCGTATATTCACCTAACCCTTCTATAAAAACTAATATATTCTACGGAAAGCACATGTATGCATACCATTAAATACTTTGTTAATATGTTTCTCGTTAAATCCTATGTACCTATTCTCTTTTTTTTACAGATATTTTGTTTTGTTTTTTCTGATGAGGATGCAGAATACTGTATCAAAACGCGTCAAAAGAGCCTCAGCAAGCCCCATGCAAAAAATGCCCCTTTTTCGTACCTCGAATTTTGAAACTTTTTTTATGCCAAATGGTTACATATGATGACCCAATAATCCCTGCAAAATTTCAAGATGAGCATGTGCCCCCTTTCCGAAATACAGGGGGTCAAAGGGGGCCATGTCCAAAATTAGAATATGCAATATAATCGAATAATAATGTCAAAAAAAATCAGAACAAATGGTTCCCTTAAGATTTTCGTCTGCTGATTACGAATCTAAAGTCCGTTTTTAAAAATTCAAAATGGCGGATCCAATATGGCGGACGACATTTTTAAAAATCGATCCAATTGACTTGAAAATCGTTACTCGGGGGTTTTTGGGGTCGCTGATTACGAATCTAAAGTCCGTTTTTAAAAATTCAAAATGGCGGATCCAATATGGCGAACGACATTTTTGAAAATCAATCCAATTGACTTGAAAATCGTTACTCGGGGGTTTTTGGGGTCGCTGATTACGAATATGATGTCCGTTTTTAAAAATTCAAAATGTCGGATCTAATATAACGAATAAAGGCAAGATTTAAGGCTAAATTCAGCTTGCAAAGGCCAGATGTAATAATTACAAAACCATCTAAAGTAAGATGTAATATTCCAATCAACAAAGATAAGAAGTATTATCCCAACCAATGAAGGCAAGATGTAATCGATTTGTGAAAACGGACATCATATTCGTAATCAGCGACCCCAAAAACCCCCGAGTAACAAGTTTTAAGTCAATTGGATCGATTTTCAAAAATGTCGTTCGCCATATTGGATCCGCCATTTTGAATTTTTAAAAACGGACTTTAGATTCGTAATCAGAGACCCCAAACACCCCTGAGTAACGATTTTCACGTCAATTGGATCGATTTTTAAAAATGTCGTCCGCCATATTGGATCCGCCATTTTGAATTTTTAAAAACGGACTTTAGATTCGTAATCAGCAGACGAAAATCTTAAGGGAACCATTTGGTCTGATTTTTTTTAACATTATTATTCGATTATATTGCATATTCTAATTTTGGACATGGCCCCCTTTGACCCCCTGTATTTCGGAAAGGGGGCACATGCTCATCTTGAAATTTTGCAGGGATTATTGGGTCATCATATGTAACAATTTGGCATAAAAAAAGTTTCAAAATTCGAGGTACGAAAAAGGGGCACTTTTTGCCGAGGCTCTTTTGATGTAATTAAATAAATATAAGCCAATAGGCCACAAAATTTAAAAAAACATCTTCTCTCTATTATAAATGGCTTAAAATAAACAAGTATTTTACTTCATATACTACTTTATCTTGAAATGTTTAAAATATCCTTAATTATCTAAAGTATCGAGAAATGTCGTGCATTATCTTAAAGTATCTGAAGTATCTGGAAATATCCCGCATTACCTTAAAGTAATTGAAGTACATTCTTTGAATTATCTTAAGTATCGTGAAATATCCTGAAATACCTTAAAGTACTGTAAATTATCTTGAAATATTTTTAAATATCCTGAATTATCTTGAAGCCTTTGAAGTATTTTGAACTAATTAAAGTATTCTAAATTATCTGAAGAAATCTGAATAATCTGAAGAATAGATAAATATCCTAAAGTACCTTGAAGTACTGTGAATTATCTTGAAATATTTTTATATATCCTGAATTATATTAAAAGATTCCTAAATTATCTGAAGTATCGTAAAATATCATGCATTATCTTAAATTATCTGAAATATCGTTTAGTTTATGAAATATTTTAAATTATTTTGAAATATTAAAGTTGGTGCATGCTGAAATTTTGAGTTGTTTATCCCTCGATTAAAATTCTGTATATTTACGAAAATTTTTATTAAATTGTAAACTCTGTTCAATCCTATATATAAATTCAATTAAATGAAAATCCGGTTCAATATAAATTCTATATTTTATAAAATTTTGTTTAAACTGATATTCGACTTTATAAATTTGATAATTCTTTGCCGTACATATAAATATTCTGAATAAAAATGATTAAATTTTTATTTTTTTTTGAATAATGCTTATTGAAAATAATTTGAATAATCTAATCTTTCATATATTATAATATATAATGATATAAATGTGAATGATTAGCGTAAAAATAGTTTAGATAAAAGTGGGAAAATAACTCTTTCGTGGAATACTAAGCTTTTGCTGGCACACGAGACAATATTGTTATCCTGCGTACATATATATATATTTTTGCGGATAACAATGGTCGCGAGCGAGTTAAACCACGAATATAAGCTTATACTTTATGCAACGCGCGTTCAAAGGAAGACGAAAGGGATTTTCTCCAGGATCTATGAAAACAGGGCAACTTTTACGTTCAAAGTTTAAAAAAGTGTATGTAAACTTTTCATATCGGTATGTTGTTGGTACCTTGAGACGCTTTCACGTTTCTTGGCTCTGATAAAGCTATATCTGCCGACCTTTCGTATCGAAATTCTTCCTGTTTGTAACCGGATGAATTGTATGGCAGATTGTAGTTGCACTTCAACACGTAACCCAAAGTCATGGATACCTCGCCCTCCATTGGTAGACCCAAACCAAAAAGTACCTTGCACAATATTTTTTTTCTTAATTTTTATTTTTTATTTAAAAATATAAATAAACATTATCGAATATATTCCAATTTTCTTCTATATATAATTCAATAATTAGGATATATTAAAATTATTCAGATTTTAGCTATTTTTTTAAAAAAGAAACAATGTAATTACTAAAAATAGTAAATGTTTATAAAAAAATTGATAAAGAATTCCTTTATTGAAAATTGGCAATCATTCAACAAAAAATTGAAAATATTGGTAAATCTGCGGAAAAAGTTCAACATTCAATTCTATATAAGATATTCATTATATAAAAATATAAGATGAAAGACGTACTTGAACTTTAGTCTCACTGCCTCGGGGGTTCGGAAAGAGCAAATGCCTTTTCTTCCTGAGAAGATCACCGATATCATATTTCTCAGTGGTTCCAGATCCTGAACACAAACTGCAGAAGGTTATATACGCAGAGAAAAACGAGATCGACCAACTTTTCATAATAGCGAGTGAAATTGAATTTTTCTTTTGACCTTTTTCTATATACTATATATTTTATTTTATTGTGAATGCAATAAATTAAGAAAAACAAGAAAAAAAATAAATTAAAAGTATAATAATAAGAAAAAGAACCATTTAATTATTACCAAAATGTTACTATGTACGCGTCACTTAACGCAACAAACCACTTCTAACTGTACTAGAGAGAAATGAATACTGGTTGGACTTTGTCTCTGAAAGAAGATCAGTTCAAGAATTTCGAGTCTTCTGATGACAGGTCTTTCTTGAAATAAAAAAAAAAAAATGTTACAACGACAAATTACGTAAGATTCTTTTTTATCACTGACTTTTTATAATAAGTCTTCCATGAAGATAAAATTTCAAAATTTCATTTTGTTCTCATATAGCAATTTAATTTCGTTCTATAAATTTCTTTCATCTTGAAAAATTCTATTCAACTTTTTTCCAGGAAACAATTTTCTTATTTTTATAAATGTCTATTGTTTAAAATCTTCTACTATTCATTATTTGTTTCTTTTTCTTTCTTTTTTTATTAATTTTTTCATTGAAGTACACTTTTACATAAAATATTTTTAATACCCTTCAAATATTTGAGAACAAAACTTAAGGTAACTATTTTAAAAAAAAAATGTATTGTCATTTCAGATTTATTACAATTAACACAATTATAAATATTTTAAAAATTTGTGGCAAAATGCAAAATTCAGAAATGGCGAATATTCTTCATCGACCAATAAGAGCGTTGACTTTTCCACCTACTAGTACAATGGGTGTAGGTATTTTTAATTTACTTAATTGTTTTTTAAATTAATATATGATTCAAAATTTCTCAAGTGATAAATTTTTTAATCAATCAATCCAAAATACTTCATATATGACTTGTTGGATACAAAATTTTATAAGCTTTCAATTAGTAAGTTCAAAATTACGCTAACTTTATTTGTTTGTAAAAATATTTCATTTTTTATTAACATTAATTAATTAATTAATATCTCGAAATAAAAAAAAAGTGCAATTTTTTAAAATTTGTATTAAACTTTGAATTTTTTTGAAAAAAATTTTCCACCATTCGAAAGAGCAGGAAAAATCTTTCGAAAACAAATAGGTCAAAATTTGTTTCACTCTTTTACAATAATTGTTCAACTTTTTGAAGAATTCAATGTTAATTTTTTTACTATTGGATCATTTGCGAAATTTTACCCTATATATATATATATATATATATAATATATATAAATAAATTTTTACTTTCTTTGGAATTAATGAGAAATCGTCGAATCTTGACAGATCTTTTTTGCATTAGCTGTACCATTAGAAGCTCCACAAAATTCAATTTCATTGTCTTACTTTTTCGAAGCCACTTACGGTCTTCCAAACAACCTAACTGATTTTGGCCCCTTAACTGAATCCTATCCTCAAAGGAAAAAAAGGAGCATCGACAGAAAAACCATTTATGAACTCATGGAAAATAAATTCTTAAGGTAAAACTAATTTTTCTTTTCTTTATATACTTTATAAACTTAAATATTCCATTCCATTGGGGGAAAAATTTTGAAAAGTTTCAAGGTCCACTTTCCAAAATATAAAATATTTAACATAACGGGCTATTTATATACAAAGAGAAAAATACCCTCTGATCGTATATATATAACTACTACTCGAAGCTAAGATCTAAATAAATAAAAAAAGGTAAGAATGTGAAAAAAATCAATGCTAAATTCTCATTTAATAGAATATTCTAAATTTTTTCTAACACATTTTTTAGTCCCGTATATTAAATAAATAAAATAAAACTTATAATAACTTGAATTTTACATAATTTTTATGATCGACTTTTTATTTAAACCAATTTTTATTTAGCAGATTTATTAATTAACAGAATTTTTTACATAGGGTTAGGTTAGGTTAGGTACATATGGTACATAGGACCATTATATTTCGACCAAAGTCGTTGCGGCCTAATTTTAAAAAAAATTGATACTTGCAGTACTGATTCTTTATGATATTCAGAGAACGAAATAAAAAGAATTATTACAAAAATTTCTTTATTTTTCTCAAAATATGAGTTTAAAGTAGAGAAGGTCCAAAAATCTGTCACTTTTTTAGCAATTATAAAATATATAAAAAAACATATAATAATTGTTAAAAAGGTAAAAAGAATTATTCTTTCTTGTTTAGAATGAATTGATTTATTATTTTCTAATGATTAAATTAGTGAAAAAATTAAAATAATGGATAAAATATGTCTTTAAAGTTAGTCTGTCAAATAACCTAATTTTTCGATTTTTATCAGTTAATTACAATTGAGGAGCCGGATCGTAGAACCGATTCTTCGCTCGAACTCACGCAGAAGTATTGTCCGCCCCTCCACTATACCATCAAATTTTAAAACTCATAAATAAAATATTTAAAAAATATTAGGTTATGCAGAAGAAAAAAATACATATTTTATCTATTTGAAACTTTTTTCTAAAATGTAATTTATTAGTACTAAAAAATGAAAACTGAAAAATTTTTTTTTCGAAAATAAATTACTTTTTAATAAATATATCGTCCTTTTTCGGTCAAATATTGACGAAATTTTGTGAAATTTTTTAAGCATACACAATATACACAACAGAAGCCTACAAGCTATAAAAAATAAGAAAAATCACATTATTTATTTATTAAAAAATTTTAAAAGACGTCATTTACAAATAGAGGAATTTCACTTTTCAACACAAAAAAGTATGCGATGAATTTTCAAATTATGAAAACTTCTCGCGAGAAAGTTTTTCCTTTACTAATCAGGAAGTTTTTCCCACAATTTCAAACTGATTCGAATATAAATAAAGAAAATACGAGGAAAATAGCGAAACCGTACTTTCATTCGCAACGAGAATGTAAAAAGGCAGCCATGTTTGTCGTCGCAATGACACGCGCGCACACACACACACATATATGTAAACAACTTGAGGGAGCCTTAGTTGCTGCTGTGTGTGTGTGTGCGCGCGTGTCATTGCGACGACAAACATGGCTGCCTTTTTACATTCTCGTTGCGAATGAAAGTACGGTTTCGCTATTTTCCTCGTATTTTCTTTATTTATATTCGAATCAGTTTGAAATTGTGGGAAAAACTTCCTGATTAGTAAAGGAAAAACTTTCTCGCGAGAAGTTTTCATAATTTGAAAATTCATCGCATACTTTTTTGTGTTGAAAAGTGAAATTCCTCTATTTGTAAATGACGTCTTTTAAAATTTTTTAATAAATAAATAATGTGATTTTTCTTATTTTTTATAGCTTGTAGGCTTCTGTTGTGTATATTGTGTATGCTTAAAAAATTTCACAAAATTTCGTCAATATTTGACCGAAAAAGGACGATATATTTATTAAAAAGTAATTTATTTTCGAAAAAAAAATTTTCAGTTTTCATTTTTTAGTACTAATAAATTACATTTTAGAAAAAAGTTTCAAATAGATAAAATATGTTTTGTTATACATATAAAGATTCTACCAATTAAAAATTTGGATATGGGGTCAGACCATTATATTTCGACCAAAGTCATTGCGGCCTAATTTAAAAAAAAAATTGATACTTGCAGTACTGATTCTTTATGATATGCAGAGAACGAAATAAAAAGAATTATTACAAAAATTTCTTTATTTTTCTCAAAATATGAGTTTAAAGTGGAGAAGGTCCGTAAAAATTGTCACTTTTTTAGCAATTATAAAATATATAAAAAAAACATATAATAATTGTTAAAAAGGTAAAAAGAATTATTCTTTCTTGTTTAGAATGAATTGATTTATTATTTTCTAATGATTAAATTAGTGAAAAAATTAAAATAATGGATAAAATATGTCTTTAAAGTTAGTCTGTCAAATAACCTAATTTTTCGATTTTTATCAGTTAATTACAATTAAGTGGAATTATTAAATTAAGTTTGAACTAACCTACCTACTTTCTATATTTTCATACTAAATATAAAAGAAATATTGATTTGAAAGTTCTCAATTTCTGCATTTTTGCGAACTTTGCAACTGAATATCTCCATTAAAGAAAAATAAAAAAAAATGGCACTTGCACAGCAGCTAAATCGGATTGAAATCTACGCGCACCATAAATTCCGTTTTGGTCCCGAAACTATTTTAGGAGATATAGGCGATTAAAAATTGCACATTATTTTCAGGTTAAAACTGTACTTGCTTCTAACTTGAAGTTGGTCTACTCTCAGCAGTCGCGTTCAATGTTTAGATTTTGAAATTGATATAACGGCGAAAATTAAAATATTTTTCAAAATTAGAAAATAATTCGCTAATATGTGTACGTCCGCATGAAAAGGGACCACTTTAGATTCTTTCATAAGGGCGATATTTGCATTAACGTTCACGCAAAAATCATCCTTATTGTAATCGACAAAGTGGTCCCTTTTCATGCGTACGTACACATATTATTAATAAAGTTGAAAAAATAAATCTATAAATTATAACAATTTCGTCACAACGCAAATTAAAATACTTTTCAAAATTATTTGTGATTTTTGTAAAATCTCTGTTAGATACAAATATTATAAATTAAAAAGAAAAAGTGATTCAAAATACAATTATTCAGTCTTGAATGTCAATCAATTATACTTTAATAAATTATGAAAATAATTCACGAAAATAAACATTTAAGTAAGTTAAATCAATTTCAAAATCTAAACATTGAACGCGACTGCTGAGAGTAGACCAACTTCAAGTTAGAAGCAAGTACAGTTTTAACCTGAAAATAATGTGCAATTTTTAATCGCCTATATCTCCTAAAATAGTTTCGGGACCAAAACGGAATTTATGGTGCGCGTAGATTTCAATCCGATTTAGCTGCTGTGCAAGTGCCAATTTTTTTTATTTTTCTTTAATGGAGATATTCAGTTGCAAAGTTCGCAAAAATGCAGAAATTGAGAACTTTCAACTCAATATTTCTTTTATATTTAGTATGAAAATATAGAAAGTAGGTAGGTTAGTTCAAACTTAATTTAATAATTCCACTTAATTGTAATTAACTGATAAAAATCGAAAAATTAGGTTATTTGACAGACTAACTTTAAAGACATATTTTATCCATTATTTTAATTTTTTCACTAATTTAATCATTAGAAAATAATAAATCAATTCATTCTAAACAAGAAAGAATAATTCTTTTTACCTTTTTAACAATTATTATATGTTTTTTTTATATATTTTATAATTGCTAAAAAAGTGACAATTTTTACGGACCTTCTCCACTTTAAACTCATATTTTGAGAAAAATAAAGAAATTTTTGTAATAATTCTTTTTATTTCGTTCTCTGCATATCATAAAGAATCAGTACTGCAAGTATCAATTTTTTTTTAAATTAGGCCGCAATGACTTTGGTCGAAATATAATGGTCTGACCCCATATCCAAATTTTTAATTGGTAGAATCTTTATATTATGTATAACAAAACTTCGTGGGTGACAGAATTTTTAATTAACCGACCTTTTGTACATTAAATTGTCTAATTTTTATAATTATTATTCAACAGAATTTACACTAATATATTTATTCAAATATTTAAGTGACAAAATTTCTATTATGCAAAAACTTCATTTGCATAAATTGTAATTTTTATAGAATGATAAATTTAAAGTATTTTAAATTAATTGAAGTATCCTGAATTATCTGAAGTATTGAGAAATGTCGTGCATCATCTTGAAATATTTGAAGTATCTGGAAATATTCCACATTACCTTAAAGTATATAAAGTACATACTTTGATTTATCTTAAGTGTCGTGAAATATCCTGAAATTCCTTGAAGTATTGTGAATTTTTTGAAATATTTTCAAATATCTTGAAGTCTTTGAAGTATTTTTAACTAATTAAAGTTTAAATTATCTGATGAAAAAAACTGTATACTCTGATGAATAGAGAAATATCCTGAAGTACCTTGAAGTACTGTGAATTATCTTGAAATATTTTAAAATATCCTAAATTATCTTGAAGTATGATGTATAATGAATTAACCGAAGTTTCTTAAATTATGTGAAGTATCATGAAATATCCCGAAGGATAAGATAAGGATAAGATACCTTAAGGTATCTTGAAGTACTGAGAATTATCTTGGAATATTTTATAATATCTTGAATTATCTTAAAGGAACCTGAATTATCTGTAGTATCATAAAATAATACTGCATTATCTTTAAGTATTTGAACCTATCTTGAATTATATGAAGTAAAGTGAATAATAAGAAGGTATAGTGAAATTACCATGAATTACCTGAATTATTATGAAGTATGTGAAGTACCAAGAATTATCTGAAGTATCGTGTAATCAATGAAATAATTTTGAATTATTTTGACACCGAAATTTTTAGTTGAATACCCCTCAAAAAAATCAATTATTTTATTTATTTAAATATATTTCAAACATAAACGGGTTTCAAATAAACTCTTTCGTACAAAGTACTTAATAATAGTGACATAGATAGTCATATGAATGCCCATATAAGTTGAGTAGTGTAAGGTTAGTGTAGTGTAGGTTAAGCTATGATGTTTGATATAAAACAAAGACAAAATAAATTATACAGTAGTTGTCGTAGACTGAAAATAAATCTAGGTAACGACGGATTAAAAAAAAATTAGCGTATCAGAAACAGCGTTTGCCTCCCTACTTAATCTAACTACCAAAGAGTTATTTGCATAATTTGTTCTATAAAATTTTACAGCGAATAGTGAGGTATATCTAGATGATCTGATTGGTACAGACAAATTAATCATTGACAGAAATGTTGGGCAATTAGAATAGCCGTTTAACAATTTAAACAAAAAAATTAAATCTGAGTATAAGAATCTTGATCTAATTGTAGGCATATTTATAAACGAATTCGTAAATCATCGTAGTGGTGTTTTAAGTAATTGAAAGGCAAGTTTAACTGTCTTGGTGCAAATCGAAGAAAACGGTTTGTAACACGCTCGAGTCTTGTTAATAAATAAGTGTAATAAGATAACCAAATAACTGATGCATATTGTAATATACTTATAACAAAAGTAAAAAACAATATTTTGAGAGTGCGTTCATTACGAAAGAAAGTTGCATTTCTAATGACAAAACAAAGTGATCTGAGTGCTCTATACTTATAACATCTGAGATGTGAATGTTGAATGATAATGTGCTATCGATTATAACACCCAGGTCACAAACTTGGATCACCCTTGGAATCTCATCTCTGCCAGCTGTATATTGATAAATTAACGTACTTTTATTTTTTAAAAAAGAGAAAGCAGAACATTTTTTAATATTGAGAGATATGTTGTTTTCAGAACACCATATACTAAGATTGTTTAAATCTGATTGTAAACCAACATAATCATCATCAGTTATTATTACTTTATATAATTTGAGATCATCTGCATACAAAAGAAAAGGCAGTTTTGGAAAATAATTTTTATTTCATTGATAAATAAGATAAATAAAAGGAGGACGCAAGTTTGATGCCTGGAGAACATCAGAAGTTGATAAAAAAGGATTAGAATAGTTGTCATTGAAACGTATAGATTGGTATCTATTTTCTAAGTAACTTTTAATAAGATTCAGTAAATTATCAGGAAAACCAAGATTTCTTAGCCTTGTCACAAGAATCACATGATCCATTCTGTCAAATGCCTTAGAAAAATCTGTATTAATTGCGTCGATTTGCACCCCCTCCCTTATCTTCAATAATAAAAAATTTCCAAGTTAGTTATGGCAGACCTTGCTTTAACAAATCCATGTTGTTCATCTATTATAATGCTATAGATACAGAATTGTAAGTTATATCGAATATTAAACTTTCAAATATTTGGGAGGTTGTATAGCAGGTAATGTGTATACTGATTTAAACACTTTTGCAAATAAGTTACTAATGTCAGCATCATTATTACTAGTTTCTTCTCCAAGATACATTGTGTTTAGGATATTGCGATGTTTTACGAGTGTAGTTAATGTGTTTCCAAAAAAATGTTACATATGTAGTGTAACAAGTTTTCGAAAGAGTTTTACATTGTGATCTTAAATTAGAAAAAATCAAATAATTAATGGGGACGAACATATCTATTGCAGTGTATAAATGGTTATAAAAAATTTTTAATGCAAAATTTATGTCCGGGACATGAAGTTCTGTTTTCCAATTAATTCTATTCATATAAGAATTAATGGCCCCGAAATTTGCAAATTTAAAAATATAATTAGATATACCAGAATTAGTGTTATGCAGCCTGTTGTTATTAAAATCTGTAGAATTTCCAATAATATATAAGACCAAAGGTGGATGATAGTTATCAATTGGTAAGATAAGGTCTGCGGATAAACTTAGAGCAAAATCTGTTGAGTTATTACAAAAAACCAAATCTAATATTGATTTGTGAACATTAGTAAACCTGTTAATTTGTAATAAGTTTGTGAAGTCACATGTGTCAGAAATAATAATTGATGATATTGCCTGATGTGGTAAATTTGTAAGAAATTGTGTTTTTTTATTGTACAAAAGCCTAGACTTTGTTTCACGTTAAAAGTTAAATTATTATTAAATTTATAATAAAAAATTTGTAAGAAATACTTATCACCACAGTTATTTTTGTGATACACAAAGAATTGACAGTATCACGAGGAGATTTTCCTCCATTGATTTGAAATTGTCGTTATGCAAATGAAAACTAAACATTGCCATGTATTTAACAGAAGTGAATATAAATTTTGAGATTGAATGGAAGCACTGTTCGAATAATTGCAATGTAATCCAATAAACATGTCCATATAAGTGAAGAGGTAAATTGAATATGGAAAATACGTATAAACTATAGTTGCGGTAAGTTTACCACTCTAAACTACACACATTTTAATAAATTGTGTGTAAAGCTATTTAACACGTTCTAAAACATAGGTATAATGTAAAGTGAAATAACAAGTATATATAGTAAATGACATTTTTTTTAGTGTTGGATTTTCTGGAAGAGGATGCTTGTTGAGGTCAATCTGCGAAACGTCCGAACAGTCTCTGCGACACAATGGAGTCTTGGGAGATGTATTTCATGTTCTTTTCACGTGAGTTTCCACGAGAATTATTATCTTCTAAAACCTACTCTTCCCTTAAAGATAATCTTTCGTGAAAGTAATGGTTTTCGAAGATCCCGTTTGGTTTCGAAGTTCCTTTCTTTCTAAATGGGATTATTGTCTCCTTCATTGTCTTTATTTATTACAAGACTTGAAATTTAATTAAAAACGTCCAGTAACTAATTTTTCTTTTCCAACAAATCGAACTTATATTTTCATTTATTATTTAATTTTTTCGTTACTGTTTTTTCATATTATCTCCACAATTTTTTCTCTCGTTTATTATTATTTACTAAATAATCGTTTTTTAAAATTTATTCTCTACTAATTCAATTATTTAATCGTAATTACTCTAATTATATTCAGTTAAGAGTTTTAATATTTTTACACATATATTTTATATCGATCACATTTTAATCATATGTTAAAAAAACCCCATTGCAGTCGTCTAAATTTGAATAAATTCATATTCTATTGGGGAACGGAGATTGGCTCTCTTCCAATTCGATTTGGACCAATTTACATATACTTTAAAAAAATTTTCAGCGATAGACATATATGTCGATGCAAAGTGTTAATTATAGTATATATAAAATTAGTTTTATATAATACATTATTTACGCTAATTACTTCCAATAAAGCGAGTGATGGCAATTGTTTCAACATATTTTTATTTTTACAATTAATTCAAATCATTTGTCTTGATAATAAATTTTTATATTTTATTTGAATACTTTGAAATTATATTAATTTTTAATGCATATTATTTAATTGAACGTGAATTTTGCATGAAAAGAATAATTTTTCTACTTAAAAAAGTGTGCGGTAAAATATTTGTTGCTAATTAAAAATTTATTCTTAATTTCATTAATTTACGTTAGGTACTTTTCATTTTTTTTCTCTTTCATATTTATTCTATTTTATCAAAATATTTGTAATTCTTTCACTTTTTGATATTTAACAAAACATACATTTGCAATTTATTAAACATAATTAAATAAAAATACAGTTACAAAATGAGAGGTAATTTTTTCTGTTATAATACTCGGAAATCTCGTCTCCATTCTGGTATGGTATAACGTTTGTTTTAATGAAAACGTAGAAATGAATTTCAAGACTTGCAATGAATTATTATTCCAATTTTACCTCGCTACTCGTCATTTCTAGAAAATTATATATACGAGAATTCTCCAAAAAGAGGTAATTTTCATGTTTTTGTGTAATATCGTCTAAACAATCTTATCGTTGAATTATTTGATTTAAATAAAAATGTCATTTAAAGATCCCTTAACTATGATGACTCATAAAAAAACTATAATTTTTTACATAAATTTAGTGAAAAATAACATTTAACAGCTGAAAAATAGCATTTCGGTATTTTCCTAACTCCAATGTTTCGAAATCTAAATAATTTTTTCTTCAGTAATAGGTCAATTGATTTGTTTTTAAATATTCTCCAAATTGTTCATAATTAAAGATAATTTTTCTCCAACGCCTGCACGGAAAAACATTTTATATTAAAAGACAATAAAAATGGTAATACATTTTGACATACTCGATATGAAAAGGAGGCTATTCACGGTTCGCTAATAGTTATTCATAATATTATTTGAATATTTGAAATTATGATATGGATACTTACTAGTGAAAGAAAATGACATTTAATATAGTATCTTAGAAAAATTAATTTTTGTCGATATTAAATTTGAGACAAGTAATTTTTAATAGGGTACTTAATGAAGAAATGTAACTGAAAATATCAAGAATTAAAATAATAGTTAGGGAATTTTAACATAGTAAATATGAAAAGACCTTAAAACCATAGCCGCAGGTATATCGATGTGAAAAATTAAAATTTTTACTTTAAAAGTTTAATATCGACCACTATTGATTCTTTGTGGGCCCTGGCTTCGTAGATGACCGATAATTGACGAATTCACCCGAATGAAGAATGAACGTGCCGCGCGGGAACAACCTAACCAGACAAATCAAAACGTGCACGATTTTAGACGGTGTTTTTGTTCAAAAATAATAAAATTAATTTCAATTAATAAAAATCTGCCACCTATACGATAAGATTTAACAATTTTCAATCACTAATGAAAATTTCCAAAAAAAGGTCAAATAACTAAATTATTTAATGAAAAGTGGTGTTAAAACTCCTCTCCGTAACATCAGATTTTATTCAATATTTCAGTTATTTAGCCTTTTTTTGAATTTTTCTTTAGTGATCCGATTGAAAATTGTTAAATCTTAATAACAGAATCTTTAATAATTTCAATCAATTTTATTATTTTTGAACAAATTACCGTGAAAGTGAGATTTGTCCTTTTTGAGAGAATCACCCTTATACAAATAAAACTTGGATTTAAATAATGGCATTACATTTCTTTTCTTTCTTGTAATGTATTTAATTTCTTGTTTATTTATTTTAATTTAATTACAAAAATTTTGGTTGTGATTCCTGTAAAAATTAGCGGTATTCGCTACCGGTAGTGACTGTACATGTAGCGGTACCGGTAGTCACTACCGGGAACTTTTCCACCTGGATAACTTCATACTAAAATTGATCATTGCAAAAATAATACTAATTAATTATAGTTCATTGCATATTATTTTAAAATAAAATTGTTTTAGGGAGACAATTATATCATCATCGTTTCTCACAAGCGCAGAAAAATTCTGCCGTTTAGTATATAAGGAAAATTCTGCCTTCACCTCTCAGCGTAGTTGCGAGCGAGCGTTTATATGTATTATGCGTATTTAGGTGTATATAGGTAGTTTTAAGTTAGGCTGTTAGGTAGAGATGAATGTATAAATGTGTGTCTCAATGTATTCTAGTTCTCCATTTCACTAAAAACCTCAATAAATCTGTCGTTCTTTCCTTCTTCATTTCCCCATTTCTATTCTTTTATGTATGACTCACCAATTTTTAACAGTGTCAATATTAAAATTCACTTTTTCGAACTAACTGTTAAATATTACTATAAACTTTTTTGATTATGAATACTGTATATGTGAATTTTAGAAATATTGAGAATTGATTTACAGAATTAACAGTGACTATAGTGATTTACAATATTGTCCATGAATAGCCGCACTTTACTATAGTACAATTTTAAATTATGCTTCCAGTTTTATTGTTTTCTAATATAAAATATTTTTCCGTGTGCTTTGAAAGTGCAACTTTCTTGGTTAGAAAAGTATTGAGGAAGTTAAACATTTGTTAACTCCTCGGCCGAGCGTGGGGAAAGTAAATCGTAATATTTTTTTAATTTTTCTTTGATCTATAAGTGATCTGATTTGACTGCACGCAGGATTAGATTTCTTTGTAATTTAAAGAAATGAAATAAATAAATGAACTTATTACTAGTGACATCTAACGTGACTTGAACGAACTGTGTGATTAAAGTTTTAACTCTGAGTGTGCTCACACTAATTCACGAAAATGACCATAGTGTTGCTTAGTACAAAAAATAGTGTTGACAGTTTTGTTCTGGGTTTTTAGAAAAAGAAAAGTTGACGGGTTTTTAGTGGGTCGGGGCTGGTAATAGTTCGCCAGCTTATTTTGTTTATTGTTCTCCTTTTTTTTACCAACCCCACATAACCTTGGCATGCGGAAGCCAAGGTATACAGATTTCCCAATAGCCCCTAAGCAAAAAAAAGGATAAGAAAGATGGACTTTAATATCGATGACGATATTAGTGATTAAACTCCATCTGAAGTACAAAACGAGGCTCTTAATGCGGAAAAGGATCTAATTCCGAAAAAGTCGCGTGGAATTTTTCCTAATTAATAAAAATGCATTTTCTCGCGAGGCGTTGGAGAAAACGTCGTGTGCGAAACGTAGGAAAGAATGATTTTTCTCAAGTAATTACTACTCCCACTGCGCTCGAGCAGCAACCTTCACTCTCGAGAAATCACCCACTTTCCCCACTACTTGCACTATTTAATAAATAATGCAAAAAAGGCAGGTTTTTCATAATTTTTTAATTTTAAAATGTTAATAACTCTGGATAAAATAACAGTAGGATATTCGCTAATAGGTCAAAAGATGCGTCTTGAAAAACTCTACATAACTAGAGATAAATATATATTGGTGTCAATACATTTTTTTAAGTTATGGGCAAAAAAACGTTTTTCTTTAATTTTTAAAAATTCAATAACTTTGGATAGAATATCAGTATAGAATGTTCGCTTACATCTCAAAAGATGCGTCTTAAAAAATTCTACAAAATTAAAGAAGGTGTCTTAACATTTTTTTTAAGTTATGAGCAATAATAAAATAAAATTAAAAATGAATGCTTTTACAAAAATAATAATAAAAAACAACTTTAAACGTTGAAACGTTATTTTTTTTTTTTAATAAATATATACACATGGGATAAATTTCTCTAAAACTTGTAAAATTAGACTTTCAATTTAAATGGGCAAGGGCCGAGTGAATGCGTGCAAAAAACAAACTGGGTGGTGACAGTATAAAGGGGGTGAGGAGGGAGAAATGGGGAGGGGCAAACTAAATTGTCAGGTAAAGTACACAAAGAAAAGTAAATTTGGTTAAAGCGAATAGTAACGTCAGTGGGAGTGAAAATCTCGAGTCAGGGACGCATGAATAAAAAAAATGGGCCCCCTGGCAACTTACCGGTGTGTGTATATGTATGTCTGTGTGTTGCCAAAGCGCTCACTGTTTTCACCGAGAGAAAATGAAGGAAAATGAGAAAAAATTTAAGAGCCTTTTCCTAAAAGTCACTTTCGACAAAAACCTTTGTTTGAAAATCTTGTAAAGATTAAAGAGTGTATCGACAAAAGCAAGAATCAAGCATAAAACCAAGTTTGTTCATAAAAAATTTAAAAACTTTAAAAACTTTCTTCATATTAAAAAAAAAGTTTCTTTTCCAACTTTTTGAAGTTATATTAGAATGGAAAAAAATACATATGCGAAAACAAAAATTTTTAAAAATGGAAAAATGTATAGATTTGTGAAAAATTGTTTTTTTTTACAATTTTTATGGTTTATATTTGGAAAAAAGAGATAAATCTTTTTTATAAGTAATTAAAGCAGTACATAATAAAAAAAAAAGATGTTTATTAAAAACATGTGAAAATCAAGGAAATTGTTTTGTTTTATAGACCATCATCATCTCAAAGGGAAAATCTGCCACAGGATATATTTGACGCTGAACTAGTTGGACGCAATGGATCCTGTTTGAAATACAATCTTCTTTGTCCTTTGGGACTCTTTGACTTGATAGCAATCTTTGGGTCAGAATGAAATATGGCAGTAAATTAAATTTCGAAAATACTTGTTACATATATGGTGATATATTGCAAATGAAATAAAAAAATTACTTGCTTTTTTTTGTAAATCGAATGAAAAACAATCTTGATCGAGAACCAGATTTCAAAAAATGCTGTTTTTCTGAAATGTTACATATAAAAAATAACAAAAATACTATTAAGAGAAAAAATGATATTTTATGCTTAAACAAAATTTACTTTCCTATAATTGAAAGATTAGATTCATGACTTGTCTTCACTTTTATTTGTCGCATTGTTTATATTTGAGTTCATTCACCCTGTCATCGTCATTATTCGCATCAAACTTATAATATTTATTGTTAGTTTCGAAAATTCGCTTGCCATGATAAGACACAAAATTTCATATTCATTTGACTAATTACAAAAAATGTAATTTTAATTTTATACTTGGTAATTGACTTATTTATGTAATTTATTGTGAATACTGTGTTTTTGTGTATCTTAGTTGTTTTTTATTTTTATTTTAATTGGTGTATAAATTTCTTTATCAGCCTGAAGAGGATGACAAAACCATGTCATCGAAACGTTGCTTGGCAATAAATTAAAAAAATGACATAAAACTTGTGTTATTTAAAATACCTTCCGTGGATCAAAATTTTACATTCTAAAAACAATCTTAATTTTTTTTAAATTCCTGTTCAGTAGAATCTCTCTATTTATTTAATATCACATTAATTTTTGAAACATTTTTTCATATTTTTAAAAATATTCCCTATATCAGATTTTTTTCCTTTATTTTAAAATGTACTTAGGTAAGCGTAGTTAATTTACATTTTCCTCAATTTGTCATTTTCATCCAATTTATTTTGACATTTTTTTTTAAATAAAAATTTAGAGAACTAACTTTTTACTTCTTAAACCTAAGAAGATTTTCATAAATTCTGAGAAATTTCTTTAAAATGCATAAAGTCTAAAAAGGTATTTGGACTTTGTTGTGCAGAAGATGGATATTTCAACTTCTTTGCGTTTTATAAATCGTGTTAGTGTTAGTACTTGCACCCTCTTGTAATACACAGCCGATGGCAACTTGAAATAAGGTACAGTATATATGATAACGATAAGAGCTCGAGAGTTTGGCGTAAATTCCATTCATAATATTACAAGACGAAAATTTCTAAAATGCCCGAGGCGTTTTTCAGTTTCAACACACTGAAGGAAATAGTTTACAATACTTGGAAAAATTAGTTTAATCCATAAGAGCGCTAAGGTCATAAAGAAAAATTTTACTCAAAAGAATTCTCAAGACATACTACGCCATGAAAATAAAAAAATAATCATTAGAAATAATGGTAAAAATAATATTTTATATCATGTTAGTACTATAATAAAATTTTTATACATTTACTTTTTAATGATTGTTTGCAACCCTGTTATTTCTTTTGTAATGATTTACATAGTCTAACGTTAAATTTAATTTTTTATTGATTTTATTTGACATTTATATAATTTATTATTATATTTTCAAGACAATCAACGTTATCTACACTTTTTAATTATTAATTTTACCAAGACGCCAAGTTATTTTATAAAAAAATCACTAAACCTAAAAAAAGAGTTAAATAACCCGACAAGTAAATTTTATAATTCTAATTTGGAAAAACTAAACCCACCTCATGAATTCCATTGCTATTTTACAGCAACAATAGACCGCGGAGAGGAGGGATAAGGATAAACACCATTAAATAGACAAAATTTATAACAATAACACTATTTATTATTATTTACTTCAAATTAAAAAAAAAATAATGGCAGAAGACCAAAAGACAATTCATAATATATAATTATGGACTCACTGCCATTTTGACGATGACACCTCGTCTCACAATTAGAATTTTATTACATTTTAAATTTAGTTTGCAAAAAAAAAGAATAGAGGAAAACACGACATGTACTGTACTGACACCAGGATGAGAATGAGAGTAAAATGGCCTCTCTTTTTGGTGTCGTTGAGATCAATTAATTTTCAATAATATAATACCCGCAAGCGATAATCGAGACACAGTCGTCGGTAACGCAGATCCCTACACTATCCGATGTTAAATTGATTGATGCGAGAAGTACATAGGAAATTGACTACCAGTATTGATATGATAGTTCGTTAACAAAACAGCAATTTCGTCTTCTTGGTGTTCTTAAATATTCGATACTCTCATCCAAAAATATAAACCAGGAAGTTCTTCCCTTGATAACTTCTAATTTCAATGATAGATAGTGATGTCCTCAATGTCTTTGTGACCCGGCGAGAATCCTCAGTGCCTCTTGAAAGATTTCATAACAGAACGAAAGGACAAATCAGAATCGAATTTATTTATTACAAGTCGACTATTAATTTGACGACTTTGGCAAGTTGGTTTGTTAATACATGAATTTATTATTTAAACAAATTGAAGTGAGTATCAAAAGAAATTTTTTTTATAATTTACAATATTTTAGTCATTATGGCTGGATTCCCACCCTGGTGTTGTTAATTTACAAAATTTATTATTTTTAAGTCATTTGTACGTGATAAAATTTTGCGTTACAATAGATGATGCGAAATTATAATTAAATTGTTTAATTTGGAGATTGTTAAAGTGATATTAATATATGAAAATTATTTATTCAGAAATTCTCCGATTATGAGCAGATGGTTCTGAGACGATTTCTATTTACGAAAGCCTTGATTACCGACATTTTAGTAAAGTAGCAAAGCTGAAATTCTAATTAGCATTCGAAATCGTATTCTAAATAGAAGCTAGATTAATTTCTCTTCACTAGTTAAACAGAATGCGGTCAGATCTTTGAGAATGGGTTAACAATAGGTATTTCCGGTAATAAATTGTACTCTAGAAAAAAACTTATCGGAAATTAATTTCAAAAATAGTATTTATTACGATAATAAATAACTCTTATCAAGTACCTCCACCCCCTTGTTGATTTTAAATCTATACAAATGTTATTCACCAATTTCAATATGGAATTAATAAAAGATTTGTAAAATTCACATATACTATAAAAACAATAAAAGGATTAATTTTTTAAATACATTATTTTTTTAAATAAAATTTACTTTTTAGAGAAATGAAAATTTGATACCTCTACATTTATTAAATTGAATATGTTTACTTTTACTATATGTAAAATCACAGAATAATGTGTATAAGTATTTTATTTTTTATTGAAAAAATATTACATTATCCATAAGTAAAAATTTTATAAGCTTTGTCATTTTCAAATATGTGAAAAATACAAATATAGTTTTTAAAATTGTTGAAAGCAAATTTCAATTTTAAATCACGTTCAATATGAAAATCGTGTAGATGAATATTTAAATATCATATTATTATTGCTCTCAACTTTTGTTACTTCAATAATATATTGAAAAATTTTATATATTCAAGTTTTGTGTGTCATAAAAAGGAAGAAACAGCAAATAAAAAGAAGAGTGAGAGAGCTTCTTCAAGTTCATGTTGTGATAGAATGAAAGCTTCAATATATATAGTTATGTTGCAATAACAAGACTCTCTAGCTTATAAGATATTCAGGGACTTCTAGGACCATAGAGAGGTCAAACAACCATATAATTGCAATAGAAACTTTGTTATAGCTCTTTAAAGTTACTCTCTTTCAAAATGATATTAAAAATTTTAGTTTTACTCTCGCTATGCAATTTACTCTATTGGAAGCGATATCAAACTTTTTGATAAAGTTATATGCAAAAATGTATTTGTTTTTGTTGAAAATTATGTTTCAAACTGTTAATTATAAATATTATTTAGGGACATAACATGTCAACAAGGACATTCTTTCTAAACAAAAATGGTTTTAACCGATTTTAATGTTTTAAGGTTTAAAAAAATTCGTACATTCCTATACTTTCGAATGCCGAGTAGCGTTTTTCGAAAATTAAAAATGGCGATACCAATATGGTAGATAAATGGTACAAAAATCGAACATTTTTAAATAACTTCGTGAATTAAACGCCTGAAAGAACTCAAATTATTCTCAAATACAATGTCCAATAGTTTTTGAAGTTGCTGAATTCAAATTTGATGTTAGTTTTTAAATACAAAATGGCGGACAAAAAAATGTTTAAATTGGTTGATATTGATTTTTTGATGAAATAATAATTTTGGTTTTGCGTAGGGACGGCTGAAAGTTACCTTTAATATTTTTGTTAAAGTCCTTTAATTTTTTTCCTGATATTATTTAGGTTATACATTATTTTATTTTTTATTATTAAAATTTAAGAAAAATTACTTTTTTAAAAATCCATACAATTAATTGTCTAGAATTATGAAAAATTCCTATAAGTAATTCGGCAATGGACAAAAATAAAAAATTTGGAAAAGGTGCTTTTTTAAAGTATTACTAGTCATTTTAATTATTTACAATATAATTATAAATAAATAAATTTCCTTACTTTTAGGAAAAATAAATAATTAAATATAATGGAAAAACAAATAAATAAAAAAAAGTTGCATTTCTTTTTAGAAAAAAATAAATAATTATTTACTTTGTAAACATAGTGGAAAATTAATTAGCAATTAAATTTGATTTATACACGGGAATCGGAAAATGTAGCGAGGGAAGAGAATTTAATTAAATTATTCAATGTGGCATTATTTCAATTTCCAAAGCGCTCGTCGAATGGTTACCAATTTTCGGGTGTCTCATCGTGCATGACAGTTTCCGGTATTGAAGATGACTACGAAGGGGACCAATGATTGGTGGCGAATAACAAGCATCCTGATCCACTTCCGTCTTTCAACTGCTTTGCGGAAATTCCAAGGGAAATGAGGGACGCCCTCTTCGGCTCGGTATCTTCCTTTCTATACCACATCAATGAACCTTCTATATAACGCTATACATTAAAATCTGTTTGAAACATATCAAAATTTCATCCAAAAAAAATTATTATTCAACACTCTTTTTTACTTATTTCCCCTGTTAATTTTTTTTCTCTTCTTCTTCTCCTTCTTTTTGGTAATAAGAAAAATTTAATTTATCGATTATTTTTAATTAAACTGGATTTTTTTAAAAATAATTTAAATTTATTAAACAAGTTTTGAGGAGAGAGACTAAAAAGTTTTCTTTATGAAACTTTCTTGAACTCATATATGCGCTTAAGAAGTTCATAGATTTAATCATCGGGTTTATTAAAAAGAATTTAAAAAGTTTATGCGCTATTTCCCCTAAGGCAACTTGTGTAAAATTTATCTTTCATGCTTAATTCCAAATTTAATTGAAGTGTAATTATTATAGTTAATTATAGTGAAAAAGGTGTTTTTTTAAATTTCTATGCACCAAGAAAAATCTTTTGCAAATTAGGTAAAAGAATTACATATAATAATTATGTTTATGAATTGATAGCTGAATTTTTATTGTTTATTTTTTCACTCCCTGAAGAGGAAATCATTTTTGGCTCTGAGACAAATATAGGTATTTCTTTCTGTGGGTGTAAATTTTTTTCGCATGAGTTCTTTTTTTATAAGGAAGAAGTCACAATGTAAAAATTAATATTATTATTTTTTAAATTCTATAGTTAGAAAATCTTGTTTTTTAGATAGATAAATTTTTATTGTCGTAAGAGCAACTTTTACTTTTTAATATAGAAAAAGTTGTTTTACCATCAACATTTTTTAGCCACACCCAGAGAAATAATATATAGGTATTTGTCTCAGCGCCAAATAAATATTTACTTTTTTCAAATAAACTTTTATTTGATTGAAATAAAAATTGTATTTACGCCAAATAAATGGCATAATAAGCTCTGAGACAAATATATACGTTTATTTAACTCAAATATATTATATTTGTTTCAAATAAAAGATTTCTCTGAAAGTATAAATAAAATTCTTTTTAAGACAATATTTACTTTTTAAGTATAGAATTTTTTTTTTTACATATAATTTCAAACTTTTATTCTTTTAACCTTGGTAATGAATTTTTAAGATAACAGAACTGTTCGTTCAGGCCAGTGACCAATGAGTTAATATTTGACTTGAACTGCTGTCTAAAGAAGAAAAAGAAGAAGAAGAAGAAGAAGAAGAGGAAGAAGAAATACGTCGAGACAGTAATAAGTTTCGGTTGAATCACTTTTGACGTAATGTTCAGTATAAATGAAACGATCCTTTTTTTATTAATCGTGACGACAGGAGCAACTAAAAGTGAACCTATTCTTCTATTTCCAAAGAACACACTATTCCAGGTACTTATTAACGTTAATTTTTTGTTGAAAATGTAAATGCTAATGAAATAATTATAATTTTATTTAACAACTAAATAAAGGAATTTTATCGTGGATCATGATGCAGGTCTTTTTAATTAGAAAAATTCATTTATAAGGAGAGTTTCCTCTATACTATCTTTTTTTTTAATAATATCAAGAAAACTTTACTTGATATTTTTATAATAAATCTCCTATCAGATTATACATATTTTATGTTTGAGAGAAAGTATAGAGAATTCTTCGACACTTTACGCATTTTTTATGACATTTTTTATGGTTCATGAATGTCTGCTTGACAGAATTATGATGACAATTATTTCCAGAGCGGTGCTTTCTCTTCTGGGCCGTGATAAGATTGTTGGCTTGATTATAAATCATATTTCACTGTCTCAGGGATTTCTTGCATAAAGCTATATATATATATATATATATCAATTTTTGACAATTTATCTTGTCCGAAAGTCAATTTGACATTTCCATTCGATCCAAAATATATTCTTTTTCATGAAATAATAATTTTACTTTTGGGGAATACTTCCCTCTAGAAAAGACTATAAGTTTTTATAATTTCTTTTAGCGATTATATATATTATATATTATATATATATTCCATTTCTTTACTCTTCTTTTTCTTGTAAATATCACGGAGAAAAAAGAATTGTTGTGGTTTGTTCGGTGAACAAACAGAATTGTTTGACGAACAAAGAAAATTGTTATGGAACAGTTGAAATCACAAATCTAAATTGTTAAATCGGCAATACAATTTGTTTTATTAACAAAGCTTTGATCAGTCTGATACAATTTGTTCAGTTTCTTCGCCTTCTAAAATAATCGATAGCAGATTTACGTAGGTCATATCACCAGTTTCATTAGCATTAAAATCTGTGGAACATGCTACTTCTGCATCAAATTCTTTGACCTGAAACCAAAAAATTATTTTGAGATGAAAATTGTTGTTAAATAATATTTAACATAAATTTTGTATTTTTTAAGGTGAGGTTATGTTCAATAGTAACCGAGTATAACTTACCGATAAACGATGAAATTGTCTCTTCATCCTTTCACTACACTTGCAATAGATTTCTCACTTTAACCGGATTCATTATTTAACAGCACTTTGTCATTTAAAAAAAAAACTAATAATAAAAGCAAAAGTGGCACATGTGCCAGAAGCAAACGACGCGACAATCTGCACGCCAGTTTGCGAGAATTCAAGATGACCACGTGACATGGAATAATAAACTTGTCAGCTTAACAAATTCGGATCACACTAAAAAAAGGAGAATTTTTACCCTAAAATCGGTATAAAAAAAGTTTGCTTCTGCAGCTGTACGGAATTGCAAACTGAACAAAACTGACAACAAAAACTTCGTATTGTTGTTAAAACAACATACATTTGTACTGACAACAATCCGAATTGTAATATTAACATTTCAAATTGTAATATCAACAAATCTACTGACAACAATTCAAAAATTGTTTGCACAACAATCCCATTTTTCTCCGTGATATTTTCTTCTTTCAAATATATATATATACAGAATTTTAATTAAAAGAAAAAAATTAAATTCATAAATAAATAATTTTTAGTTTCTTTTTTAAAAAAAGAAACTTTACAAGTGTTTGTCAGTGTTTTAATCTCTTTATGCGACATTATCACCGACAAAAATTAACTTTTGACAGAAACCTCAAAAGTAATATTGAGTAATGAATCAAGGATGGGTTGGATCTCATTAGAACTTCTTGTAAACACTGAATTCAGTAACTAGTTCTTTAATTAGAGTCTGAGTTTGTTTGCTGTAATCCTGAGATATTTTTTCCTTAAAAATAAAATGTAATACTTTCCTCTTTCTGCTTTAACCAACTTGTTTTTTTTTTTATATAAGAACTTTCTTAAAGTACTCGTATATTTACTTCAAAGTAAAATTATTTCATCACTTTGATCATTTGAGACATTAAATTAAATATTTATCCTGAATAAATTAAATGATAAATTTTTAAACCATCTAAATATAAATTATTATTTTTTTTCTAATTAAGCGAAAAAAAAATTAAATACATATTTGCAGACTTTAATAAATTTATCAAAATAAAATTTACCTAATTTATTATACAATTTAGTATTATCTTTTAATATTATTATTGTTATTAGGTTGTATAAATTTACTTAATGGCTTTTTTTTATTATGTCCAGATAACATTTGGAGGCTCCACTCCTATCGAAATGAGCAAAAGAGGAGGTCTAGTATTCTCATCTGGATACCAATTCAATTATGCTTTACCATGGAATGTCTCTCAATTCGAACCCTTGATTGTATCAGCTAGGCAAAGCCGCAATTTAGACTTACAAGATATATATTCCTCTCTCGAACACTTACTGGAAAGGTATATAATAAGTAAATACCCTTAATATTCTCATCTTCTCTTCGCCGGTTTTCTTATTCAACTGACACAACTTCGTATCAAATATATCCATAGTACTTCTATATGAATATATAAATTTGTAAAATTAAGAACATTTACTCTCTAAATCTTAATTAATTAAAAATAAATTATTATTAGTAAAATATTGGCTGAATTTTTACTTCGGCTTAAAACATTTTATAGTATTTTTTATCATGGAAAAATTGTTAGGTTCTCTAAATTTAGACAAAGTTTTAATTTCTTAATATTAAAAAAAATAATTTCTTCTATGTCACGTAAAACTAATCATAAATGACTTTATAAAGTCAAGGACAAGTTTATTGAAATTTTTTGAAACTACCTACATCACTGAAAAAAATTTATTAGATTCAAATAATCGGATACTTGACTACCCAGATAGCACGTAAGCTTACACCAACCTTGCGGCAATTTTGTCGCGCAATATTGACAACCTTCCACGGCAAACTTGCTACAAGCTTTAAATGTTCTACCCGACCGAAAGCTTAAATGGTAAGCTTACTGAAAGATTGCAAGATAAGGTTACGGGAAGATTGCACAAGAAGATTATCGCAGATTGTTCAGTAAACTTGCACGGCAAGCTTGTAGCAAGGTTGACAAATAACCTTGCTTTAAACCTAAAAAAATGTTTCGTTTAATTTATGTTACAAAATTTATATAATAATAATAAATAATAATAAAAATAATAAATAATATATAATATAATTTATATAATAAAATTATGTAATTCAGGCGAAACATTAAAAAAAAATTTTTTTAGGTTCGAAGCAAGGTTATTTGTCAACCTTGCACCAAACTTACTACAAGTTTACTGTGCAAGCTTACTGAGCAATCTTGCGATAATCTTATTGTGCAATCTTGCAGTAACCTTACACTGCAATCTTTCAGTAAGCTTACCATGCAAGTTTTCGGTCGGGTAGAACATTTAAAGCTTGCGGCAAGTTTGCTGTGGAAGCTTGTCAATATTGCGCGACAAGATTGCGTGGCAAACTTGCAGCAAAGTTGTTGCAAGCTTACGTGCTATCTGGGTATTATCAAATAAATATTTACCTGAACCGAGTAATTTTTATTTGAATTAAATAAAATGTATTTTAATCAATAATTTTTGTATTTGAAATAAATACAATTTAATTGAAACAAATAATAATTAATTGTTACAAATAAATATTTATTTGATAATATTGTCAATTGTTTACTAGGGATATAATTTTAAAATAGAATGCCCCATATAATAAAAAAATTAAATTTTTAATTATATATGCCCGAAAGCAAAAAATAATTTTTCGTAAAAAAAATCCATTATGTTGGCCGCTAAAAATAGCAAAATTGTGTTACATTAAGGTTCCTCTACATGAGAATGTAAATATACCATTTCCCAAAGCCTGTGATCAATCGTGAGGTTTCCTTGTTCGTGATTTTTAACTAAATTCTAATTTAGAGAGTATAATAATTTAAAAAAAAAATTACTTAATTAAAATTGCTAAATAAAACATATGATAATAATATATTAATGCATTTATTAATATGCTGTATTCATTACAATTTTAGAGCCATTATGTTTAATAGTATAGTATATTAAATTAAATTGGTTCAATCGTAACAAACACCATTTGATATATATATATATATATATATATATATATATATATATATATACTACGCCCACCTGCGCGCTTCGCGCGCCAACCCCCCTGTTTTAATAATTTTTTTTTAATTTTCCATTGATCTTATTTTTCCAATTAAACCACCTATTTCAAAGAATTATTATTACAAATTCATTGAAATCTGAATAAATATTATTAAAATTAAAATTATTAAATTTTAATTAATAAATTAATTAAATTAATAATAAATAAATAATTAAATAAATTAAAATCGACATTAAGAAATTATTTTTAAAAATAATTTCAATGAAATTGCCTAAAAACCAATAAATTATTAAAAAGTCTTGAAACGAACATAACCTTCAAATTCAAGTCATTTTTGGCGGAGGAGGGGAAATGAGAGGAGGGAGGGAGGACTTGCGGCTATATTCAGAGCCTTGAAACGAACATAACCTCAAAATTTAGGTTATTTCTGGCGGGGGAGGGGAGGTGACTTGCGGCTACATTCAGAGTCTTAAAACGAACATAACCTTAAAATTTAGGCCATTTTGGCGGAGAAGGGGAAATGAGAGGAGGGAGGGGGGACTTGCTGCTATATTCAGAGCGTTGAAACGAACATAACCTCAAAATTTAGGATAATTAACACCAAAAGACGTCAAGAAAAATTTGATCTTGATGCGATATCATTTGTGGAAGCTACGTGTTTATTTGTGAAAATCCTGTTTTTTCTAAAATGTCTCAGTTCTTTTTAAAACACTTTTTCAGATATTAATTGTTCTAAATATTTATTTATGTCCAAAAAATTTTTTTGGTAGTGCTTTGAAGTGCTTTTATCCAATGAAATTAAAAAAAACCCCTAATTTAATGTCTTTTTTTGATTATTTTTCGTAAAATGGTGTTTGTTACGATTGAACCAATTTAATTTAATATATATATATATATATATATATATATATATTGATAGATTTGTATATGAAACAATGTCATTTAAATTAAGGTATAATGCATATAAGAGATAATTAATGATAGCTTAAGGAAAAGCATTCCTTGAATTTAAGTGGCACTCAGAGTGCCTCTTGTTCAACTAAATATGAGCCCTTACGATCAAAGGAAACTTAAGCTAAGAACGGCATTTCAAAGATAATTACTTGGGATAAAGCTAGTGGCATGTGCAATAATAGACCAATTGAAAAACGCTTCAGCAGCTCAATCATTTCTGAAATTCCTCATTATTACCCGAATATTGACGTTTTGCATTGAGGCATACAAGTTTTCCATATTGGAAAGAAAAGCCAGATATTACAAAAGAATTATAAACCCCTATATATAAATATCAATCATTTACTGCAACATGTGTAAATTCAAATCAAAGTTTAAATTATAATAATAATAATAAATTAATATAATAATAATTTTAATTTAATTTGTAATGTAAATTCATTTATTTATAGACGAATTCATGTACATTTATAAATCAATTAAATTATTAGGTAATCAAACAATTTAGTGTTATTTAATTGGTTATTAAATTTGTTTAAATAAAATAGAAATTCAAATAGAAATTGGTATATATAATATAATTAGAGATTGAATTTTTCTTATTATTAATAAAAATTGTCAACATTTTAGTTAATTCTTATACAATTTCGTTATTAATAAAATAGAAGCAAAATAAAGGAGAAATTTTTATTTTCATTATTCATTGCTGTAGCACTGGTTGGGAAAAAGGAAGAGAGTGCCTTTTAAGAACAATTTGTGAGCTTGCCGAGACCCCCTTAGCAAGGAGCAGTCAGGACATTGTTGAGGATATTATTCATCTGCTTCTTACGTAAGTTGTTGTTTTTTTTTTTTTTTTTTTTTTTGTTTTCCCTGGAAAAGTTTAATGAATGGTATATAGTCACTATATGTGAGTAGGATAAAGGCGATTAAATTTACCGATTTCGTAATTACAGTGAGAATAAAAAAAATTCATCACAGGATGACTTTTTTTTATATTCAGTTCATAATTTATCCAAATTTTAATTAGTCTAATCAGAATAAAATGTTACTACTTTTTCTCGTTAGAAATATTAGAAAATCTGGTTGGAAAATTCTTTGGTACAATTTTTTTTTTGATATTTTCAGTGTATATATATATATATATTTGCAAAACGTTAAGCTTCAATGATCTTAAAGCTTCTGACCTCGACATTATATACAAGACTTCCGAACCAAATACAGCTTGAATGTAATCACAAGATCAATACCACTTGAACGTTCTCAGAAGTCAGAATTCGAGCGTTTTACTTAAACGAGATTCGTTGAATATATATATATATATATATATATATATGTACATATATTTATTTATTTATTTATTCCACTGTATAATTATTATTTATCGGTTCAAAGCTTTTTTTTAAACAGACAGTAAATCATTGCTCAATATTGAATCGTCGTAATTTCGCATTCAATGAAAATTAATAATCTAAATTATATCCATTCATTACTGTTATAATTCAAAAAATTAAAGTAATGAAAAAATGATTTAAAAAAATTTTTAATTCACGAAAAATTTCAAAAAATTTGTTATTATAAAACTCTTTTAATAAATTTTATGCGATATGCAAACCATACCATATCGATAAAAATATAATTATTGAAAATTTATTTGCTGAAAGATTATTGGTTTAAGATTAATAATAATCTCTATTTACTTTGATTTGTGCAGACCATCGGAAGATTTACCGAGGACTGGTTATTCGAGTCAGCGGAGCGTCAACAAATTATATCAAGAAGCTGAACGATTAGGAAGGTCTGGTGGTGACTGCATTCTAAGTTATCCGGACTGCATTGAATCACCGTTAAAGTCATTTACCCAAATCATATTTCCTTAAGGATTTCTCTCTTAATAACAACTTTCAACGCGACATCTAAGGGATTATTTTTGCATTTCAAAAACGATTATACATTTACGCTGCACATTTATGTATATTTTCTTTGGGAAAAATTAAATATGTAATTATACATGTATGAAAAATTCGTGGAAATAAACTTTATGATTGGTCCAGCGGATGCTGAATTACACTCAAAATAATTTTTGAAAAATTAAATTTGCGAGATAATCGCTCCGGAATACCATAACTGTCATTAGAAAAAAGTATCGAACAAAAAATGTAAAGAGCACTTATTGATTGGTCCAGCAGATGCTGAGCTACACTTAAAATAATTTTCGAAAAAATTACGAAAAATTAAATTTGTGAGATAATCGTTCGGGAATACCACAACTTTCATTAGAAGAAAGTTCTGAACAAAAAATGTATAGGGCAATATTGATTGGTCCAGCGGATGCTGAGCTACACTCAAAATACTTTTGGAAAAATTTCCGAAAAATTTAATTCACGAGATAATTGTATTGGCATATCGCCAAAGTAGTTTAGAGGAAAGTTCTGAACAAAAAATGTATAGTGGACTTTATGATTGGTCCAGCGGATGCTGAGTTACACTCAAAATAATTTTGGAAAAATTTTAGAAAAATTAAATTCGAGAGATAATTGTTCGGGAATATCGCCAAAGTAGTTAGAGGACAGTTCTAAACAAAAAATGTATGGCGCACTTCTTGATTAGTCCAGCGGATGCTGAGCTACACTGAAAATAGTTTTGGAAAAATTTTCGAAAAATTAAATTCGCGAGATAATTGTTCGGGAATATCGCCAAAGTAGTTAGAGGAAAGTTCTGAACAAAAAATGTATAGTGCACTTTATGATTGGTCCAGCGGATGCTGAATTACACTCAAAATAATTTTAGAAAAATTTAAGAAAAAGAAAAAAAAAGTGCTGCCACCTACTTTCTAAAATGTGCGGCTTCATTGATTTTATCGACAAATGTTGATAAATAAACTGTAATAGATTGAAATTAATAAAACCATTAAATTTTTATAATTATTTACAATAATCATCATAAAAAAACATAAATCTTATTGTTTTAATCATTTAACTATATTATATTTCATCATTTTTTATATATTTGAGACAAAATTTCCATCTCAACCTCTTGTTCCACAAATACTCCGCCAATTTCGTGGAGCATTTGCATCATACAATTCGCTAGAGAGGTATTCTAATTCTTTGTCACATTAAGATTTCTGGTTCTCTGTTTGCAAAAAGTCCAGAACTGGAATGGAATCGCTTGATGCGCAGCAAGCACTGCAATTTGAAATAATAAAAAAATTAATTTTTTATGAAACTATTCCTTCTCACAAGTGGTTAAGAAACCGAAGATTTAGTATATCAGAGAAATTGAAAGCAACACGTGATATGTTATATATATATATATATGTGCGTGAGAAAGCGAGCCCACACACACACACATTGAATTATTTTCACTTGATCTCATAGTTTTCCAGAACTATTCTTGAGTTCTTACTTTCTGATGTCTGAGTTTGTGTGAAATCAGAGATAGAACTCTTCATTCAGATCTTTATATGATAATTACGAAACAATTTATGAAGACATTTGAAATTTTTATTTACTTATTCAAAAACAAGCATTACAAATAATTCCATTTACATTTTTTAACTATTGTTATTAAATTGTATTCCCATATCCTCAATTTCTGAACGAATTTTTGGAATATTTCTCAAATAAAGTTTTTCCGTGCAACAAAAATTAAATAAATTTGTTTCTTATCCAGATGAGATTCATTAAATTAAAACTATTAAAATATAAGTAACACTTTAACTTTTAACAACTCTTTTTGTGGCACCAGTAAAGAAAATATTTCTTATAAATTAAATTTTTGTTAACTTTGCACACGGATTAAAATTGTATAAAGAATTTAATCTCGAGGATCATTCTGGTGAGAGAGAAAGAGAGAAGGCATATAATGGGATTCTTAAAGACAAGAAAATCCTCATGAATTTGCAATTTACGTGTGTATACATTGTACAATGATCCAGGAATATAGAAGCTTGAGCAGAACTCTACTGTTGTTATACTCTGTTTCCAAAACTTGCATACACTGCAGTCTTCCTTCACAAGAAACTTGTCCTGCTCACTGTTTCTATTCTGGTTGGAAATTTGTAGCTCCACACACTTCGCCGCGAAATTCGCAGTTTAACTTTCAATTTATTGCAGTGTTGGGTTCACTGTTTGCTTATTTGCCCAGGTGGAAATTTATAACTAGGACTGTTGGCTGGCAAGTCAGTATTAAATTGACTCTATTTCTCTCTCTCTCTCTCTCTCCTTCTTTCTCTCTAAAGTCCAGTACTGACCTAAGAGTGCTGACATCTCAAACACTATATATAATAAGTCAATCATTTTTTTTCATTTTGTTTCCTTCTGTTGTATTCTTTCATATATGTATAGACTTTTTGAATCAACAACAGAAATTCTACAAAATTCTATTTTTACTTTTCCTTTGGATATCATGAGTGGACCACTTTGGAAAATATCATTTTAAAACTTCACAAAATTGATTAAATATCATAAAATTTAAATATTTATTTAAAATACTTTTTAATGAAAATTATTTTAAAAAATATTTCAAAATATTGTTGATCCAGTTATACAGGTATAAAATTCTTATTAAAAAAAAATGTTATTTTTATTTTATTGAGAAAAGAAAAACAAAAAAAATGGTTAATTACAACTAATTATAGTTTAGTTAGGTAAATTTTTATAATTAGTCTATCGCGAACCCATGTCTTTATTGTTTCATCTCGGTCATTTAACGAAATATATTCTCCAGTGACACGAAACTAGAGAAAATCATAATCCATTTTTCCCTTTGTTGAAAAGCGACATAATTTGTGATTAACATTCTAGAATATACATATATCCCCGAGCGTTACGCTATTATTTTTAAGCCTGTCTATCATTCTCTTGGGAGAGTGCGACCTACTTTTTTTTGTGTGTGTATGTATATGTACATAAATTCTCCAGTGCACAGCTAATTGTCTTCTATTTGCCGTTGTATTTAGCGAGAATCGAAAATGTAAAATGTTTAGAAGGAGAAGTCGTTAAGGCGAGAACGGATGTTGAATGTGAATTTGATGAGATGACAAGAAATATACCATATATATATATATATATATATATATATATAGCTTATATTGCTAAAGTTTTTTTGTGTTCAACGTTCATATACTTTGCACACGTGTTAAAAAATACTGCTATAGATATGCGGGTAACCGACAACTCTCTCTGAAAAATTTTACTGAAAAAAAAGCGCAAAAGAATATTAAAAACTCGTGCCACATCCAACATTAAAGTTATATTTACAGTACTCTACCATCGTCTTTACTACTCTTTTCTGTTACTTTCAAGTAACTGTTGGCAAATTACAAAAATATGAAGAAAACATATGTCACGCGGTGTAAAACTTTAGTCTACAAATATTCTTTGTAGAAAAATCCATATGGCGAACAGGTAAAGTAATAATTTTCCACTTAAATATCAACTATATTTAAAAAATCCATTTCTTTTTGTTGAAAAATATATTATTATTATTATTTTTATTTGACTAAAAATTCCCCCCGCTTCTGTTATAGTGAAAATAAATACAAAACTTCTTGTATAATTAATTACGGAACTGAGTTCTGTAAAATTTGTCGAATATTCCAAAATAAACTGCAAATATATAAGGCATTTCATATGAGAATACGGGGTCATGTCTCAGATTTTTCTCAAAATTCGCTAAATTGTAGTGATAGTGATGCTAAATAAGTGTACAAATTTTGAATTTGAAATTTTTAATATTTTTCGAGATATTTACAATAACAAATTTAAGCAATATTTTTTTGCTTTACTTATAACTTTTTTCCTACTAAAAATAGAGAAAAATGTTGTAAATGTTTTTTAAGCAGAAGACCTTAAACTTTTAGAAAAAAATTATTTTTTTAAAAAGTATTAATTTTTAAACAATTTGTTTAAAAAATAAAATTTGTTTATAACTTTTAAACATGTTCTCCCTCATTTAGAAGTGCGAAAAAAATCATGAATATTGTTTAAGTCATAATAAATCGATCGTTAAATTTTTGATATGGCATTATTTTTTGTTTTCGAAATATTAATTAATTAACTAGGTAACAAAAATTAATAAAAAATAAAATATTTTACGAACAAATACAATTACAGTAATTTTAAAAACGCCATTAGAATGCTTATCAAAATCCGCATCCAATGAGCCCTATATGAACTATTTTTGATAAACGGGTGTTAAATTAATAATTAATAATAAAAATTATTTAAATAATTAATAACATTTAAGGAAATAAAGATAAACCGTCAATTCTTTTTTTATTTGGAAGATCATCTAATTCTTTGTCAAAAAAAGATTATTAAGTATTACTAAGAATCAAAAATTAATTATAAAATGTTATTTAGAATTAACTTAAATTAATTATTATTTAGATTTAACTTTAAAACTGTAAATTAAGCTCCAAAACCTCTTGTCCCCATTTACCCCAACTGACCCTATTATTCAATTTTTATTATATTATTATATTATTTTACTTATTTGAATAAAAATTGAATTAAATTTCTAAAAATGTATTTCATCATTTTAAATTCAACTTTAAATTTGAACCGAATTTATGGCGTTAAAACGATTAAATATTAATAACATTTATCGATACGTCTGAGTTTTAACCTCATTATTATTCGTTAATTTTAAATAAAGTTATGCATTATTACTTTTTGTATCACTACCGTGTCATAATTAGTGAATAAATATTATTTAAAAATAAAATCTCATCTTTTACTCATTCGACAAATTTAATTCTATCTTAATAAAAAAATGTCAATATGATTAAAAAGAAAAGGTTAAAAAACAATAAAATGAAATAAAAGAAAAATTATTTAACATTACCTAGAATATATATATATAACATGTTCAAGGTAGGGAAAAGTATGTTCAACTATTCAAATTTTATTTTTAGGAGAATTTGGCAGGAATGTTCTGTTACCTGTTTTACAAGTGAATTGCGATTCAACTAGGCTGATAAAAATGAATGTCAAAGTTGTTATCGTGATTTTACTGAGCATAGAGTGCGCTTGGCGAATCGGAAGTAAAGGAGTTGATGCGAGAAGCAAGAGGCAAACTTTGTATTCACCACCCATTGTGTACCCTAACGGTGGTATTTTCAAGGTATGCAAAGTCTTTTGTTAGACAAATTTAAACTTTTTCGCATTTGTTTCAATCGCAAAACAAAAATTTCCCTTAATCATTTTAGTAAATTTGACCAATTCACTCATTTCCTTTTTCATGCATCTAGATTCGTTTTATTATTGAAATTTAATTTTAATGACATAAAAATTTCAATTAAAATCAGTAAAAGATTGTATATTATAATTACCGTAATTCGTTAATAATAATAATAATTATTATTAGTACCTTTGTTAATAAACTATATTTAAATATTTTTAACGAATTTCTTTTTAGAAAGAAAATTCAAAGAAATAAAATTATTACATAGACCTGGGGGATCTATATTCCGGATTCCACTTTCAAAATTTCAGATCCCACATTTTACATTCCGTATTCCAGATTCCACATTTCGTATTTCGCATTTCACTTTCTGCATTCCAGATTCCACATTCCGGATCACACATTTCGGATTCCACTTTCCACATTTCGTATTCTGGGTCATGGGAGATTTCTACACCGATTTTCCAGAATGTGGAAAGTGGAATCCGGAACGTATGATCTGGAAAGTGGAATCCGGAATGTATGATCGGGAATGTGGAATCCGGAAAGTATGATCCTGAATTTGGAATACGTAATGTGGAAAGTGGAATACGGAATGTAGGATCTGGAATGTGAAAAGTGGAATACGGAATATGGAATGTAGGATCTGTAATGTGGAATCCGGAATGTGGAATACGGAAAAAGTTATGTAATTGACCTGCAAAATTTAAAAATTTTCAATTTCAAAAATGGCTTAAATGATCAAAAAATAGCTATGTTGGCTGCTTGCAGGAATTTTTTTGGCTCACAAATTTTTTTTTACAATATCGTATAGTACTATTTCTAAGCTTATTAAACCATTTTCGTAAATCGTTCTGTATAATGATTCGTTTTAAAAGAAAAGTTATACATAATTGTATATATACAAATTGTTTAAATAAATTTTTTTGTTTTTTCATCTTTTTATTCGCTCTCTTGGAAAATAGCATTATTAAATATGTAATTATCAGATACAGTATATAAAAGGAAGAGAGATTTTTAACAATGAAAAAATTTAGAATCCAATAAACCTAATAAATGTATCGTTTAAGCATATATACATGCTTTCAACAATATTTTGTCCCGCCTGACCATTCACTGATTTTTCCACTCAAGAATAATATACGCAGTTTTTCTAATGGATATTTTTTTTTGTTCGATTATAAATTCATATTCTTTTGCTTTGCAACTTTTTTTTTTTTTTTCATTGAATTTTCAAAGCAAAAATCTATGGCACGATATTATATATGTACGTTCTTCTAATCCAATCCCATTTTCCACGCATCGTTTTCTTCCTTTGAATATATATCAAACTTTTTTATTGTAATATTTTTTAAAGAAATCTAATATTTCATTCATGATAATTCTACTTGTCTGTTAAGGCATATATATATGTGTTTTCTCTCTATATATTTTCTGTTCCGTATATATACAATTTTTCCCTTAAAAATATCTTAGTTTTTAAAATCGCATATCCTATTTTAATAGAAATTTTTTTTTCTTTAAACTTTATAATCTCATCGTTTTAAATTCAATTCCTTTCCAAGTATATAAAGAGCTTTTATGAAAATAAAATCTCTTTCCTTCTCTCAATATGTTGCGGTTTTCAAAAAATAAATATTTTTTTATAAAAGTATAGATTTTCTTATTTGCAATAAATAAGTATGTTAAAGGTATACAAAATGGTGGGGAAAAAAATTGATAAACATTTGTTGTATAACATAAATAAAAAAATTTATATAAGATAAATATTTCATCTCTATCTACAAGAAAATTGTATATATATATATATATATATATATATATTTAGTATAAAAAAATAATTTTTTGTATTTTTTAGCGGAGAAAAAAAATTATGAAAAAAACTTTTCAGCGACAAAATAATATCACAAACTGAGGGGTAAATAAATTGAGGCAAGCAGGCTGGATTTTTTTAAAAAGAATTGTAAAATATGAGAGAAAATCTATATATACAGCGAATGGGTTATGGGTTAAAGTTTTTGACGAAAGTGAAAAGCTTGCTCCTTGTAATTTCACTTTTTCGTCTTCGATCAGACTTTATTTTTATCCTTACAACCCCCCGCCCCTCACCCTCTTCTCTTTCTTCTCATGGTTGACGTCTTATTAAGCTTTCTTTTTTCTAGAAAAGTATTTTTTTACGATAGTCTCTTCTACGAGCGAGATTTTCAAAATTACACCTTAAAAGCGATTCAAAATCTCTCGAGTTTTTTTTTACAAATTAAATGAATTTTCTTTGTATTGGGCTTTTTAGATTCTTTTACTCAAAGCTTGAAAAGGGTTCAATTGCTTCTCAATAATTAACTTGCACTGCACGATTTCAAGGGGTTGGTGAACATTAAATCAACGTAAGATAGACGCTACTGATAAAGCAGTTCAATTTAGATACAACTCTTTTAAATGCAAATAGTTACCTTCTTTCACTATTTTTTTTGTTCGTTTTTTTTTTTTTGGAAAAAGAAAATATTCTATGTGCCTGAAGTTCAGAACGTTCAAATGAACGAAACATTTATTTACTACTTTTTTAACTTCAAATTTTATTACAAAATATTGCTTTCTGAGGGTCAATTGCGTAACTTTCCCATTTCTTAATTCCTACTTTTCACATCCCACTTTCAACCTCCTACTTCCACTTCACTTCCGACTTTTTCCATCCCACTTTCCTCTTCCCATTTTCTTTACCTCACAGTTCCCACTTCCTACTTTTCACATCCCACTTTCTACCTTCTACTTTCCACTTTACATCCAATTTCCCACATTCTACCTCCTACTTTCCATTTGACTTCCAAATTCCAATATTCCACCTCCCACTTTCCTCTCCCATACACTGTTAGAAATCGTACTCTATAACTTTATTCTAAAAATATTGAAATAATATATTTTCAATCTCGAAAAGTGTGAATGTTTGCATGTCATTGGTTGGACAAAAAACTTAAAGCCAATGAAATAAAAACATTCGCACTTTTCGAGATTGAAACCCCACGTGAAAAAGTTCCCGGGTTTTGCGGATCAGAAAGATTGAACCTAAATTTATTTTAGCCAAATCGGCTAAACATTCAGCTACTGCAGTGAAACTTATTCACAGAGTTATATATGTGTCGTTCCTTATACTAATTATATTCTCAAATAGCTCAATCTCATTGTAAAATTTTTTTCCGTGTATGTTCGACACTTTTTACCTATTGCGAAATTCGCTAACCTATGTTTCTAGTTGAAAGTGATAAAAATAAAATTATTTTTTAAGTACGTATATTATATTTAAGGGAATAAAATTAATTTAACGTGGCCTGATTTTAAAAAAGTTGTAATGTAAAATTTACTTTTTTACAAAATCTTAAAAAATCGCAATTTTATATAAAATTACTGGTATATCTTTATATATACAAGGTGTCGCAAAATTAGTTTATTAAAATATATTTTTAAAATAAAAAATTCTATTAATTTTTCAATTTTGTAATTTCTTTTTTTTTAAAGCTACTTGTGGGAATTTCTGTACCAATAGCGTTGCCTGGAAGAACTTTAGTCTTTGGGCAAAATTTTCAATTTCAATATGCAGCGCCGCCAAATGCGTCATTTTTCACAGACTTCTTTTCGAAATCTTCTCATCGTCGTCGTCGTCGACGAGAGACTGAAATTTCGTTAGACCGGAAAATCGCTTATGAATTTTTTGAAAGTGAATTTGAAAGGTAATATTAAAACATATAACAAATTGTATAGGAAAGTTGGCTCAAATTTTAAAATAACAAATTTCAGAATATTGAATAAATTACGAAAATTTTCAAATGTTTTATAATTATAATTGCTATATTATCAATAAACTATTTTCAATTTGCTTTAGTAAGTAAAAATTGTTAATTTTCAAGAATTAAACATTCTAGGCACATTTTTACATCTACAGTAGAACCCGGTTAATACGATTCTGAAGGGACCGTGTCAAGAACACGTCTTATGCGGGAAAACGTATTAGACGGGAAAGCAAAAAAATACATAAATCATGCATGTTTATTTAAGAATTTACAAAAAAAGTCAAATTCATTTTTCATTTTCTTTTTTTTTTGGTTGAAATTTTGTTTTTAAAAATGAATTTTACCAATTGAAAGGACATTTAAAAAGCTATTAAAACAGATATTGAAAAAAAGTTTTATTTCATTATTTATTTTTAAAAAATAACCTAAGCATGAGTATGTTTGAAAAGAAACAGTTTTTCACCTTAATCACTTCACGTGGAATCCCCTATACATACTTTTTGATAAAGAATGATTTTCGTGACAAAAAAAATTAAAGTTTTCTCTAACTATACGGCAAAAAAAGTTGCACAAAATGCATTTTGTGCACTTCATAATTTTAAGAAAAAAAAAAAATTATACCCTAATGAACTTTAAAGAGTAAAAATAGAGGGTATAACGTGTTTTGCAATTATTACGAATAAAACTTTTTTTTCGCTTTATATATATATATGTTACGGTCAAAGACCGAAATTGGTCATTCTCCGAGAATGACCGGTCAATGTCGACATTGCCAAAAATCGTTGGTCATTGTCGACATTGTCCTGAAAATTGCGAACAAAGTTCAAAATTATGCATATTATGTGTTCTTCTTGGTCAATGTCAACAATGACCGATACAAGTTGGACAAAGTTGTTAAAATGTATTATTAATTAAAATTTTTATTATTAAAATTGTTTAATTTTTAATTAATCATTTAAAATATGATTAATTCCGTAATTATTCGGAAATAATTTTTGAAAACAGTAGACACAGAATACGCTGTTAATGATATAAAAAAAAGTTAATAGAATTTCATTTGTGATCGAGCCATCAATAATGTATTGATTACAGTCATATCAAAATAAACGAAGTTCATAGTGATTAGTTTGCCGTTAATTGTCGGTACAGAAACACTCGATTTCTGCGCGCAAAAATGGATTCCAACAATTTTAAAGATCGTTTCGACGAGGCTTAAAACAGGACAAAAGATGCAATTCTAAATGCCACGGTAGCTTGTCATGCTGCAATAAATAAATTAATTACAAAATCCTTTTAAATAAATTTTAATTTTAATAAATTCCTTTTATTCCTTTCTGTTTATTACGATTAACAACTTTGCCCAAACGTGACTAGGCAATGTCGACAATGACCGGTCATTGTCAACAATGCTTGGGCATTGTCAAATATTTATAAGCATTGGTAAAATTTTCAGGACAATGTCGACAATGACCAACGATTTTTGGCAATGTCGACATTGACCGGTCATTCTCGGAGAATGACCAATTTCGGTCTTTGACCGTAACATATATATATCAATTTTTAGTATACATATTATAAAGTGTGCACGTTTTAAAACTTCACTGTCGGTTTTAATAACGTTTTTTACATTCTTTTCAAAGTCGCAGATCCTTTGTTCAGTCGTAAACTGAAAAAAAATCCATTTCACTTCACAACTTTTGTTTATTTGAAACTTTAATTTTCCTTTAGAATTTTTTGGAAAATTGACATGATATATAGCTGGAATTCGACAAAAATAATATTTGCTTTTAGAATTAATTTGAGCTATATATATATATGTATATTATTATTATTATTATTATTATTAATTGAATTTCAAGTTATATAGTGAAGAATTTGTTTTGCAGAAGAGGTTTAAGTGGACGAGATTGCTTGAAGAGAAGCATATGTGAAGCTACTGAAATTCCATTAAAGGAAGAGGGTTTAGTGGGTGAACTTCTCGAAGTACTTCTGACGTGAGTTCACAACAATTTTATTCATAAAATATATGCCTTATAATTCAATTTATAGAGATGAGTTTACTTTATTAAAAAATTCCAATTTCCCCTCCATTTATAAATGGAAAAAAAAATCAATAACGACAATCTTAAAATATTTAAGAGCATTTGAACCTTCGTGACGTCACAAATCATGGCGCATGACACGCAAACTTCTCAGGTATGTGAAAAGCACAATTTTGAATATTTTTTAAAAAAACCTTTTGGAAAATGTTCAGAATAACATAGACTCTGTCTGTTATGTGCGGAAAATTCAAAATTTTGCGTTTAAAACGTTTTTTAAACAATGTTAAGGTCACAAATTATGGCGCATGACACGCAAACTTCTCAGGTATGTGAAAAGCACAATTTTGAATATTTTTTAAAAAAACCTTTTGGAAAATATTCAGAATAACACTGGCTCTGTCTGTTATGTGCGAAAAATTCAAAATTTTGCGTTTAAAACGTTTTTTAAACAATGCCTACATATAAGCAATTCGTGTATTTTTCCTTACTTGTGACAACCAACTTAAACATTGTTTAAAAAACGTTTTTTACGCAAAATTTTGAATTTTTCGCACATAACAGACATAGTCTATGTTTCTCTGAACATTTTCCAAAAGGTTTTTTTTTAAAAATATTCAAAATTGTGTTTTTCACATACCTGAGAAGTTTGCGTGTCATGCGCCATGATTTGTGACCTTAACATTGTTTAAAAAACGTTTTATACGCAAAATTTTGAATTTTCCGCACATAACAGACAGAGTCTATGTTATTCTGAACATTTTCCAAAAGGTTTTTTTAAAAAATATTCAAAATTGTGCTTTTCACATACCTGAGAAGTTTGCGTGTCATGCGCCATGATTTGTGACGTCACGAAGGTTCAAATGCTCTTAATAAAAAAATATATATATTATTAATGTAAGTATATATTTCACGTGTAAGTCTATATATCGACAATTTAAAAATTAATGAGCAGAAAAGTGTCATTAAATTTTAATAAATTAATAAAAAATTTATAATTGTAATATAAAATATGAATTATATAGGTATATTTAATAATAAATAAAATTGAAGGTGTAAAACCGTGGTCAATAATGATTAATATTAAAGGAGACGTTGGTTTAATACTGAAATAACTTAAGATTAAATCAATATTTTTTTTTTTTGACATTAATCTGTGAATATTAATTTTAAATTGACTGCAAGCGACATAATCCTTGAAAGTATGAAAAAAATCTCGCTCGTAAAGATTTTGTTTTTATGGTTTTCATTCCCCTCTTTTGCGCAGATAAATCCTCGACCTATGAACTTTCAGATAAAATGATCAGTTTATAAAAATATATTTGCATTTTTCGGTTGATGTGACCTTTTTAAAATCAATAATTAACATCTGCAAATGTGTGTTCTACTTTTTTGTTGTATATAGTCTGCATTATTGTTTCTATACACTGAGAAAAAAGGTTTGAGCTGACAACCAAATATTTCATTTAATATATGTGCAACTAAAATTTTTTGGTTGAGACTACCAAATTCTTTTTCATTTTCTTATTTAGTCGTCTGAAACAAACTTTGGTTGTTGTCAACTAAAGTTTAGTTGTGTCAACCAAAAAATTTTAGTTGCACATATATTGAATGAAATATTTGGTTGTCAGCTCAAACCTTTTTTCTCATTATATATTAGGCTTATTTCATAAATTATAAATATTTGTATAGATATCTCAATTATAGATAAATTTTTTTTTTTTTTATTTTCGCTAAAAAAATACAAATTTTTTTTCTATTTATATGCTATAGCTAACAAGAAAAGACAGAATTTGTGCTAATTCTTTTCTATTAAAAATAAATTGTGTGTCTAAAATATATTTTAAATTGGAAAATTTTAATAAAATTATTTTAATTTCAATGTGAAAATAAAAGTTTTTCTTTTTCTTTTTAGGCCGATTCATGGGTCGTTTCCGAATAACGATTATTTCGAGGCCATGAAAGCGGGAGAACAAGGGGTCGACTGTCTACAGCTTTATTCATCTTGTCCTCATGGATATGGAATATTGGATTATATATCAAGAATCAACTATTTCGATCAAACTTTATGAAGTCAATATAGAGATTGATTTCATTATATAGAGAGAAACAATAACGATTTGTAAATTTATTTAAATTCTAATGTTTAATAGTCATATATATTGGTATACACAATTATTATGTTTAAAATATTTCTTTTGTTCAAATAAATTAGTAATATTTGATTATAAAAAATAAATATTTATCTAAACGAAATAATTTTTGACTTGATGAAATAATTATTTTTATTTACTGAAAATATTTTAAATAGGTAACGAAGTAGTGTTTTATTTATTAATCTTTCAATTACCGAAAAAATTAACTCATATGAAACTAATATAGTTTCTTTAAGAATTTTTTTTCCCCTTTTTAAAACACTTGGCTGATAAAAACTATTCTCATCGTGCATGTGTTGTATTGCACTTTGTTGTAAAATGTAACTTTTTCAAAGTAAAAGTCAGCAGGAATTTTAATCTAAACAGGCGAAGAGATCAGTAAAAGTAGCAATTTGTTGGAAAAGTCAAAGTATCAAATATTTGCACTACTATAGGCAGAAAGAAACGAGTAAAACGATTTACAGTCAAGGTGTGCGGATGTCGAACATCAATATCACACACAGGAAACAGACAATCACCTAATGTGCAGATACATTTTATCTGAATCTGTATATATATATATATATATGTGTGTATATGAAATTTAAAAAGAAAAGAAAGATAAATATCACTAAAAAAAACTCTACATATTGTTTTGTAATAAAATAAAATTGTAAGGTATTAAAAATAAAATGATAAATCTTTTAATATTTATGTATCTGGGTCATTCTCACAAAAAGGACAAATGACACGTTCATGACATTATTTTTAATAAATAATTATAATAATTGAAAATGTTGCGGGCCTTATTATAGAAGTCAACAGAATTTAATAAGATTTTATAAAAAAAAATTGACAATTTTAAATAATTGAATATAATCATGTTTATATAGTGTAAAAACTCCCCTCCGTTACCGTTCGCGAAGTAAGTTTTATTTAAAGAAGAATTATTGCATTCATACTGCAATAGGAAAACATCTTTTGTCTAGTAACATCTACTAATTACATTATTTATAATTGATTTATAAAGTGTAAAACAGAATATTTGTAAAATATTTTTTCCTAGAATTAAATAAGTTTTGTTCGCAAAGTAAACTCCCCTCCGTGACCAATTACAAATATAATGAGTAAATGAAAATAAAAAATGATAATTGAGAAATGAAGAATTCAAAAGTGTTTACAGTGACGATGTTGTTTTGGTCAGTACACAACATCATGAAAGAAATGAAAACAATAAGTGTCAGAAAGATTTTCAGTTTCGCAATGTTCGTCGACACAAAAAAACTCCCCTCCGTGACCACTTTAAATTTAGTTTTTTGATAAATAAATAATAAATATTATTAATAATTTTTAGAATATTCTTTTAAATATCGCGAATACTATTATTACTTTTTTTTATAAAATTTATTATTTTTATATTAGAATCAATAAATTTTGGCTACGCCTAAAGGAAAAAAACTCCCCTCCGTGATCGCTAGTCACATCCATCGATTATAAAGCCTCATGCAAAAAATGCACCTTTTTCGTACCTCGAATTTTGAAACTTTCTTTATGCCAAATGATGACCCAATAATCCCTGCAAAATTTCAAGATGAGCATATGCCCCCTTTCGGAATTACAGGGGGTCAAAGGGGGCCATGTCAAAAAAAAAGAACATGTAATATTATCGAATAATAATGTTAAAAAAATCAAACGAAATCGTTCCTTCAAGATTTTCGTCTTCTGATTACGAATTTGAAGTCCGTTTTCAAAAATTCAAAATGGCGGAACCTATATGGTGGAAAACAATTTAAAAAATCGATCCGATTGACCTGAAAATGGTTACTCGGAGGTTTTTGGGGTCGCTGATTACGAATCTGAGGTCCGTTTTTCAAAATTCAAAATGGCGGATCCAATATGGCGGACTACAATTTCAAAAATCAATCCAATTTACTTGAAAATGGTTACTTGGGTTACCTTCAGATTTATGTTCACCGTTATTGAAACCCCCTAATTAACGATATTAAAGCCAATTAAATAGATTTAAAAGATAATTGTCCGACATTTTGAATTTTTTAAAACTGATTCCAGATTCGTAATCAGCGACCCCAAAAACCCCTGAGTAACTATTTTCAAGTAAATTGGATGGATGTTTAAATCTGTCGTCCGCCATTTTGAATTTTTAAAAACGGACCTTAAATTCGTAATCAGCGACCCCGAAAACCCCCGAATAACCATTTTCAAGTAAATTGGACTGATTTTTGAAATTGTCGTCCGCCATATTGGATCTGTCATTTTGAATTTTGAAAAACTAACACCGGATTCTTGTTTAGCGACCCCAAAAACCCTCGAGTAACAAGATTTAAACGGATTCGATCATTGTATCGGTGACAAAATATTAAACAATTTTTTTATATTAAACAATTATTTTTTAAACAATAATGTTCATAAAGATCGTAACAACGTATTTTAGAGACTTATTTAGGTCCTTCTCTTCACATAGCAATAGTCATAACAGTGGTTTTGAACTTTTTTTTTTTTTCTTAATTCAGCATTTGTCCTTTTCGAGAGATTCACCCATCTATATTTAAGCAAAAATGTGCTAAACTTTTCTTATAATTATTTTCCCAAAAATGAAATAAAATAACTAAATTACTAAATACACTGAGAAAAAAATGCTATTGAATCAATGAAATATTAGTTTGTCGCATCAAACGGCATATTCAATATCGTTCGAAGTCATTTGCTGCTAATTTAATAGCACATACTATAAATTATTACGCTATAGATTTAATAGCATGCACTCTTTTTAACATAGCACATATTTTGTGCGTTTAATTTGAAGAATACTTGAAGTGAAGAAGCCATGCTATTCAATTCAAAGTATACACAATAAATGATATTACAGATTTTATTAAATTAATTTCTATTTTACATTAAGTCAATAGTATCATGCTAATAATAATTAATTTTTTTGAAAAAATTATTTACCAAATAATTCATGTTTTCTGATATTCGTATCAAGAACATATATCTTCAAATTTACTCTTTTTTTAATAGCGCAATATACTTAAGGTTGGACACTTCGCTTTTCTTAAAATAAGAACACTAGCGCCATCTACGCATGGACGTGGCGAAGCTTCTCGTAGTGAAACCTAACTTTTTGGGCCATTAAATTTTTGGAGGATCAAAAGTAGCGTCTGCTGTGACGTCGGTGCATTTGTAGGAACGAGAAAAGTTTTGTGAGCGATGTGATTAAACATAAAAAATAACAGCCTACAGATATCCTTACAGTAACCTCACACGGAGAGAAAAATTAGGTTGTGTGGACTGGAGACTTAAGTTAAAACTACTTGAGTGACTCAAGTAACGATGCCTACAGTTAAAGCAAAATTGGTCGCACGGTAGTTTTGACTGTGCGGTCCCAAATAGTATTAATGTGCCATTAAAAAGTGATATTTCCATTCATTTAAACAGTTGAGGTTATTCGTGTAACAAGTAATATCAATATGTTAATATCAATAGCGAATTCAAGAAAAAAATTATGCCAATTTATTTATTTGTAAAATATTTAAATAAAAATTTTGCACTTCGAAACTTACAAATTTGTCATTTATCGTATTCGAAGTGTGTTATGGTTTGCTGACAAAATAATTAAATACTTATTAATGAATGCGTTCACAAAAGTAATGTAAAAAACACTGTAAAAAGAAAGGTACTAATTTAGTACCAATTTTTGTACTAAATCGTAATTTGGTTCGATTTTAATACCGAAATCAGCTCTAATTTAGAACTTTTTTTTACAGTGAATAATTAATGTACGCTTTAAATGTTGAAATACGACTACGCAATGTCCTAACTTTTTATTATAATTATGTATAACGAGAAAAGTGTCTAAAACTGAAAATCCAACACACAACATAACTTGAAAAAGTGTTTCTTTTTATTTTTACATAATTTTTCAGTTAATTTGAAAAACCTTTGGATTCAGAATTGCTTAAAAACTATATTGTGGACCTTATTATTTCCTTTAAATCATCAAAAAAATGTTAATATTTGAAATTTTTTTAAAAATCAAACCTAACCTAGAAAAAATTAATAAATATAATATTCTATTAATATGCGTGTGTGAATAGCGCCACGCTGCCAAGCAAAGCTGATTGGTCAAACCGTCTGTCGGTATTATTTGAGAACATTATAGCCCTAACTTGATAGCCAAGTCAAATCTACCGTGCTCTCCAGTTACAAATGCCTTGTTTAATAAAATTGGACCAACGACTTGAAACAAAGCAGTTATCACCTAATTTTTCTCTCCGTGCACAGCAAAAAGTCGTGCTATGTGGGTACTTAAAAAAAAAATCATCAAAATAATATTGTAAGACATTATTGAAAAAGTAAAGGCTCAAAAAAAGATTATTATTAAAATTAATTGACTTCTTAAATATTATTTATTAATTAAAAATGAATAAATTAAAGAAAATTAACTTTTTAAAAATCTAATTTATATTAAAATAAATCGTAGAAATGTAATTTCTGATGGTTAAAGAATGCATTTTAATAAAAAAAAATTCTAATTCCACATAATTCAATAAATGGTTCTATGATTCAACTACGTATACTGTCAATTTGATAGAATCTGTATTTGAACGTATGTGAATATGCCGTTTATTATAACAATAGCATGTGCTCATGAATCTAAACCAATTTGTATTGTTTCAAATATACTTTTATATAAACTAAAAACACTATTTTTTAATACAACTTTTTTATTTAATTAATGTGTAAACTTATTTGAAATCAAATAATGTTTCTTTGATAAAATAAATTCTACTTTCCAATTTTTTATTCATTTAAAGTTAAATTAAATTATTTAATAAATAAAATACATAGTACGAAAATAATTGGATGCCATCAAAGAGAGAAAAAGAGATAGAGAGGGGGGAGGGGTATCTTGAATTAAAATTGTTGTAAATTGTAATTATACTTTTGAAGTATTAAATATGTTGAATTTTCGCTTATATCGGATATTTTTTTAGTCCCTTTACATCCGATATATATAAGTAGGTTTTACTGTAGTACATCTGATACTATATAGTTAATATTTACATAGCGTAATTAGGTATATATAAGTGTTGGACGATAAATAATGTGAGAAATTATTGCACTATTGTTTGCGATAACAAAGTGTCATGTTTCTGGTAGACTGATTCTTGGTAAATATTAAGAAATTACGGAAGTCCTCTCAACGGTGTTTAACTACAACATTTATAGAGTGCCTAACGAGTACAGTACATAAGGACAGTCTTCTTAGTAACAAGATAATACTAATGATTGTGTACACTTCATTTTGCATTACATTTTTAGAACGAAAGGCAGGACAGTAAAAAAAAAAGAAAAAAAAATTACGAAATCTTGTTACTTCGAGTTAACCATTTCTTCAATTCTTAGTGTTTTCCAAGAGCAGAAAAAATCAAGACCATATATTCACAGAAGAATAAACTAATTGGTAATGTTGAATTCTTTTTATTTAAACAAAATATAATTAATTTAAAGTATTTAAAGAACAACTTATCAAGGCCTTGTCAGTTTTCTTTTAAATTGACCTATTTTGTGAAATTATTTTCATTTTAATGAAACTACGGTTTTTTATTATTTTTTATTTCTAATTTATATTCTATTTAAGATTATTACATATACAGTATACGAAACACTTAAGAATAATTTTGAAAAATCTTGCACGCATGGGGGATCGAACCCAAGACTCTTGGGACGCGAACCGTGTACTCTGACGCACACAGCTACGTGAACTTATAGACATTTTCCAAAGCTAATATTTCTATTTGAATATAAAAACTAGATGCTGTTTGAGATAATAAAATAACATAAATTTTAAAATATTTACATTTAAAAATAGTTTATAACAATTTTTAAGAATTTATTTAAAAAATCATAAAATAATTTTTTTTTTACTTTGGAAATAAATAAATTAAATAATTTTAAATAAGTCAATAAATTTAGCAAAGTAACGATCATAGAATCTGAAATCTCAATTTTCTCTTAATTTTAATTAGTACAAATTTTAACTAATTTGAATTAGTGACTCACTTTTTGCTTTTGAATTAGTACAATTTAACTAATTAATAATAAAAAAAAATTTATCAACGAATTATGTACTTTTTGTTTTTGAATTAGTTAAATTTTACTAAATGAAAAGCAAAAAGTGAGTCAATAATAAAAATTATTTAAAATTTTTACTAATTATTATTCAGATAAAAAATATATTAAAACTCTTGTATAAAACGATAAACTTTAACTACCAATAACTTTTTTTTACAAGCAATAATTTAAAAAACTTTGTTTATTTACAATTTTTTAAACGAGATAAACACTGATCAGTGCCCTTTTTTTGCTATGGTAACTGTTACCATAGCTACCATACAAGCGTACGACGGACGGACGGACTCCAAAGCGAGACTATAAGGCTTTCGGGCCTGGGTCACGAAATTCTAAAAATGAAGGAGAATTTTTGTGTTGTAGTTTCCTATTCAGGTATCATTTTATTTAAACTCTTAATCATCTTTAATAAAAAAAAACAGACAAAAAAAATTTATTTTTTAATTAAAGTCAAAATATAATAAAATCAAAAATTAATTAAAAAAAAAATGTTTTTCAATTCTATTTTCGACATTTTGTCCTGAATATTAAACCAAAAATGTACGAGGGAAGGTAGAGAAATCGTTATAAAACAAGGAAAAAATTCACATTTTAAAACTGGCAATTTAAAATAGTGTTTTTCGTAAATCTTTCTTTTTTTTCTTTGTTTCTTCCTTTTTTAACAAGTACAACAATAATTAATTACTTTGTGTAGAATGCTGTGAAAAATCCACAGAATGAAAAATTCAATTCATTTAAAAATACCATGGAGGAATGTAAAATAGTGATATTTAATTACAATTCGATTAAATTAAGTATCCAGTGTACCTCACGAAATTAACGTTAACCACCAGGTTCTAATTGGTGCAGCCAAGGGTTGAAAGGAGCTGGTGGCTAGTCAAAGGGGTGACTGCGGGGGACGAGCTGGCCACGAGATAAATTGCTTGTGAGGTTTCGACGAAACTGGAAGAGGATTTAGCTAACTTTCGCGTGGCATTTGGCACTAAAATATATATATATATCTTTCATCATATATATATACACTTAACTGAATGCAACAAAAAATTATTGTAATAATAAAATCATGAGATTTTTATTATTTTGGACAATACTCTACATCGTGACGTTATCCAATGACACTGAAGGAAATGCAAGGAGTAAAAGGGTCCTTGCATTTAGGAAGGGTAGCACGTTTTTCGTGAGTAACCAGTCATGCTGAGAAAAGCTGCTCGCTTTAGCGAATAAAGCTCATGGTTCATTCTAAGCGGTTAAGGGATACCTACTTTACGGCGTTAAATCCGATTTTGCGGGTCAAGAATTTCAAATTTCCCCCATCGAGGGGAATATTGTTGTTAAAATGTTTTCTTAAAATTTATTTAAACACAAAATGAGAGATTTTTCAAAAGTTTAATCGATTTTGTCATATATGGTTAGAATTTATATTCAACTAAATGATAGTTTAACAGAATTTATCATTAAATTTATAAAATTTACCATTCTTTTTCAATCAAGAAAATAGCGAATGGAAAAATTGTAAAATTATTAATAACACGAGTTCAGGTGTATAAAATTGCACAATAATCTAATGAAATTCTCAAGATGTTAAGAGCTTATATTGAAGAAGAAATTAAAAACAAGTTAAGAAGTGTGAAAATTGGAAAGCTTTCTTTTCAAATTGAAAGTGACACACAAGTTAAAAGCTCTTCAATTATAAAGTGCTTAGAGTTGAAAGCGACAGAATTTTTAATATATCTTTCCACAATATATATATAGATAGATACAGAGAAAGAGTGAGAATAATACATTTACACAATGTTGAATTGTAAAAGTGAGCCTCTCAATTCGTTAACATTGTATAAAAGAAAGTTTTTTCTATTTATAAAGAGGTGAATATTTTCTTTGATTTTAAAGCAACTTGCATGTATTTTCAGACAAAAGACTATTTCAAATTTAAACATTTTTATTATAAGTAAATTTATTATTAAAAAAAACAACTTTAATATTAAATTCTTTTTAATTTTTTTCTCTAATAAAATATATATTATATCTTTTGAAAGTATTTTAAAATTCATTGAAACAATAATCACACTTTTTTTTATAGAAAATCAAGCCGTTCATACGATTTCACTATGGATTCTATTTCGAATTCCAAGCATTTCTGAAATGGCGGATATAGAGAATTCCTTAGTATTGTTCAATTTGAAATGATAAAGGAATAAATTTTTACGGCATACGATAATGGTTTGAGTTTTAGTTCGACGATCAGAGATTCATACAAACAGAATACTCCAGAAAGCGGAATGTTTACTACTGTATAATGATAAAAAAAAACACACGTATGCTATATATCTAGCTAAAAATATTTTCGGAAATATTTCTACTCGCACACGTTAAAATATTTTCTAAATTAAAATTTTCTTCTACTTTAAAATGCAAAAATTAATATTGTAATATTGCTAAAAAAAACAATTATTTAATTTTTTCTCCGAATTGTTATTTTTCAAAGCTTTTTAGAGCGTTCACTGTTCTTCAAAAATCCGGTAGAAAAATTCAAAAATATTCAAAAATAACAAAATCACGGCCATTTTACTAAAAGTCTTTGAATTCAAATTACACAAAAACCCCACGAAGTGCATGTGAAATTAATTAACGGTAAAAATTACTCCCCCCTTTTTTTTGAAGATATTATTTTCTTTAAAAAAAGAAGAAATAAAAGTTAAAAAAAACTAATGATAAATAATGAATAATGAAGAGAAACGTCAATAAAGAAAAGAAAGAAAATGTAGCACAAAAGAAATAATTGAATTTCTTATTCATTGGCTTCAGAAAAAAAATATAACATAAAAGAGAAAAAAAACAGCAATAATGGAAATACAAGGTACAGTGGCAAAGGAAACACGATGATTTTGCGGTAACAGAGAAGTTTTGAATCGAGGAGAAATGAAACGCAAACCGATCATACCAGATGATATTTTCAACGTTGGAACATAAGAAACAGAGGCGATGCCTGTCTGACAAATGGCTTGCCAGAACCAGAGGCTGCACTCCACCCACGTTTACACTGCAGTGGCACCCATGTGATACAGTTTAATACTGGCTTCAACTCCAGCACCTGCTATACCACTTTATTCGCCAACTTCTACCAGTTCAAACGTTGGTCATTTTCAAAAAGACACGTTCTTACGAACATGTGTCTTTTGACGACGCGACATTTCTCGAAAAAAAAAAATAAATAAAAGATAAAATCAAGACCTCGCAATATTGCTGAGCTGACTACCAATCAATTGATTATTGAGAAAAAGACTCATAGAAATTTCTAATAAAAAAAATGGGAGAAAAAAATTTGGTATATATATATATATATATATATATATGTATACAGTTTTGTTTAAGCAATTTTTTGTTTTTGTAAATAAATTTTATGTTTGATACAAAAATTATATAATTTATCCAAATATAAATTCAATTATACAGGGTGTTGCAATAGTATGGAAATCCTTAAATACTTTTAAGGGATTTTATCGAAATCTTTGAATACATCTGAATAACATTTTTTGGGTTTTAATATGGCCCAAAATTAAAATTGGAATAAAAAATCACTGCATGTTTGTAAACAGAAGATTGTCAGGCCCAAAAATTCGAAATTAAAAAAATTCGATTTCATTTAAAAAATTGACATTTTTATTTATATAGGGCCCAAATGAGGTCCTTAGCCCGTTCACTCATTTCAACAATTAATACATTTTTTTAAACCCAACAACGGTTATTTTTAACATTTTGCTTAAAAATGCAGATTTTAAGAAATATTTAAGGGGTTCCATACTTTTTCCAAAACCCTATATATATATGGGGCATTCTTTCTGAACGGGAGACCCCTATCTCCACAAAATTGGTTTTGACCTACAGAGTTCTAATAGAGACCAAAATTTAGCTCTTTAAGTCTACTTTTTAAAGCAAAGTGGCCAAAAAGGAAATTCAAGATGGCCGATTTAATATGGCCGAAAATGTGCTCAGAATTCATTAAACCCAGGTAAAAAAATTAACGTTAGTGACTAACGTTAGATTAACGTTAGGTTTTTTAAAATCTAACGAAGGTTTAAAAAAACAATATTAAATATACTTTGAAGCCTGAAAAGATATTTAAACATCAACAATATTTTTTTCCAGTTTTTTTGAAAATTAATCTTTTACCAAATATAAGTTTTAAAAATAATTAATATTAATATTAATAATTATTTTTAACAAGTTCAGAAATTAATACTTACCGAAATCTTAATAATTCTAACAAGTTGATAATCAATTTCGTATAATTTAAAATTGAATTTTATTTTTTTATTTATTAGAAGTAGAATATAACGAAAAATTACAGTTGTAATTTAAAATTACACCAAATTCAACAAATTAAAATAACTGCTATTTTTGATATAAAAATGGTTGATGTTGAATTTGGTGTAATTTTAAATTACAACTGTAATTTTTCGTTATATTCTACTTCTAATAAATCGTTAAAATAAAATTCAATTTTAAATTATATACGAAATTGATTATCAACTTTTTAGAATTATTAAGATTTCGGTAAGTATTAATTTCTGAACTTGTTAAAAATAATTATTAATATTAATATTAATTATTTTTAAAACTTATATTTGGTAAAAGATTAATTTTCAAAAAAACTGGAAAAAAATATTGTTGATGTTTAAATATCTTTTCAGGCTTCAAAGTATATTTAATATTGTTTTTTTAAACCTTCGTTAGATTTTAAAAAACCTAACGTTAATCTAACGTTAGTCACTAACGTTAAACTAACGTTAATTTTTTTACCTGGGAATTCATTCTAATTTCGTACACGCTAAAAAAAACTTTGTATAAACTAGCGAAAATAATCTCTGGGATAGTTTTAAGTATAGTTAATATCGCCTTAGCGATTATCCATTTTCGCTAAAATAGAGAAAATTAAATTTTCTATGAGATTTAACTATACTAAATATATATTATGATTAGAATATAAATACAATATCTCTGAAACAGTATTTATTTTAACTATCATAGGAGATATTCATATGACTATTTTAGATAAAACATGTATTTAAACTTGTTAAACGTTATAAGTAATCTATTAAATAGATTTCCTTATTTTATAAATATTTTACTATTGCTATGTCACTGTTCATAATTTTTTTAGCTTGTATGCCAAAGAAATTCCTTTTGACAGAAATTCTTCTATGAGGTCTTAAATTTTAGCTATATTTATGTCTACTTTAAAATGTAAAATGGAATATTTAAAAATCAAAGATGGCGACTCCAATATGGCGGATGATTTTTCAAAACTGCTTAAATTCACTTGAAATTTATTAGTCGGGGATTTTTCGGGTCGCTGATTACGAATTTGGTGCTACTTTTTAAAAATTCAAAATGGCAGATCCAATATGGCGGAATAATTTTTCAAAATTGATCCGATTCGCTTGAAGCTTATTACTCAGGGTTTTTCGAGTCGGTGCGATAACGAATTTAAAGTCAGTTTTTCAAAATTTAAAATGTCGGACTCAATATGGCAAATGAAATTTGTTACTTACGGGTTTTCGGGGTCAATTGAAAATTATGTTACAACCAAATAATTTTTTGCATTTCTTACTAAAAATTTACTTTCATATAAAAAAATCATTGCAGACATTTGTTCATTACATACATAAAAAAAATTTTGGTTGCCGTTACTAAAACACATATTTGTACCTAAATAAATATTTATAAAAAGATACGTAGTTAAGTGACCAGATTCGATTTGTAATCGAAAAATTAGGATTAAATTCTTTGTGGGTTTGCGAAATTTTTCAGACAACAAATATTTAAAATCAATGAATTTATGTTTAATGTTTAATCAATAAAAAAGAAAATTTTTAAATTAATTACAAGTAAATAAAGTAAAGAAATAGTAAGGGATTAAATTTTCTAAACATAACACAAAATGTTTGGTTCAGTCAATCACAAACATTTTTATTATGCTGCAACAAAAAATGCTCAACCATATAGATTCATCGGCTTAAATACCAACAAAATTTTTATAGCTTAAACTAAATTTTTTTTTCACTCTACTGATTTGTTAACGTATTTTGGGATTTCATCGAACAAAAAAAAAATAACACAATATAAAGAATCGTGTTCTTCAATGTACTCCGATATCAAGAGTGATGTTTTACCCTAAGCTCAAGTTTCAAAGCACACAAAACAAAAGTTTATTCTTTTTAAGTAAAATAAAATATTTTTTAAACAAACTATAAAGATTTCATCTATATAAAAAGGAAAAGTAAACTTTTCTTTTGAAATTGACAAAAAGATATCGCTTCGTATATATACGATTCAATATATATATATATATATCTGTGTGAGAGAAAAACTTAAAACAAGACTTTAGCTTCAATTTCAAGATTCAGTGTATAACCGAATACTAAAGTAAAAAAAAAAAAAAACCTCCCACGACCCATAGTTTGCAGAGATATGTGATAAAATTTTTCTTCCCTCCATAACGAATTTAAGTTTCAGCTGCGTATACTTTATAAAAACTATTTTTTTCCCCTGCTTATATACACTCGAAAGGAAAGCATGAGTGTTCCATAAAACTTGTTATACTTTAAAATTCCCGATGTTACAATTTATAATGTCAAATGACTATTTAATTGAATTTTATGAGGAAGAATTTTAAATTTTAATACAATTTTTAACCTTTTGAATTTTTATTGAATAAAATTTTAATTAAAGAAAATTTTCATTTAAATTTTCAATTAAATTTTCATATGTCAAAATTTTTAATGGCAGGATTTTACACAATCGAATTAAAAAAAATTTCCTAATAATTAATTCAATTTTTATAATAAATTCATAAGCTTATCACTCAATTGAGAATTATATAAGTGTAAAAAAAACCATTATTTCCGAGTCAAGTAAAAATAGAAACACGTAGTTTTTTAAAAAACTTTTTCAATATTTCTAAAATTTGTTACTCGGCGATTTTTGATGTCGATGATTATGAATCTAACATCAGATTTTCAAAATTCATAATAGCGGATAAAAATTACTGTAAATGGACGAATTGTTATGAAATTTTATATTTTTATGTCTTTCGGGCCTTTAAATCTAAATGTAAATATGATATAAAAATTCAAAATAGAGGAAGAATTTTTCAAAATTGATTGAATTCACTTAAAACTGGATTACTTATAGAGGTTTTCGTTAACCCTGTACTATTTTTATGCAATTTTAAGATTAGTAGTAAATGACTTTAGTCATTAAAAAAATATTTCGTCTTGGCGACCAAAATTTGGTTGGGTAACAATTTTTTTGGTATTTAAGCAACCAAAATATTTGGTTGAGTGTTATTTGTTAGCATAACAAAAATGTTTGGTTAACTTAACCAAATTTTTTTGTTACGTAGTAAGAATTTCTGAAACGTGCCACCTAAAATTGAAAAAATTTATTTTTTGTTGAAATGTTATTTTTCTTATGGTATTTTATATGCACAATCACCTCCTAAAACGATTTTGCAAAAAAAAATTTGTTGTTGTTATTAACAATTTAATATTTTTGACCCTTTTTTAAAAAAAATTAATTCCAAAGAAATTTATTGATCGATTTTAGTAATCTAAACGGCATTCTTCTTGTCTTGAACCATAGTTTTATTGATATTTTTTTAGTGCAAAAATATTGATTTTTAGTGCAAGAAAAAATGGTTTATTTATAAACAAATAGTAAAAAACCATGAAAACAATCGAATTTTAAAATGAAAAAAATAGCTTCATATACTTAAAACCCTTCTGAATAATATTCTGTCGAGAAAAAAATGGCATGCATTCGACAATTGGTTTATTTAAACATTGTTGACAGCGCGCATGGCACATGTAGTACGTAGTGACAGGCGTCGCGCTACGTTCCGCTCGAACTCTAATGTAGGTATTCTATTCTACAAAGTCTGTGGAAAAATTAATTTTATTATTAAATTATAATTTTCAAATGTTTTTTTAAAAAGAATGTTTCAAATTTGAGTTTACATATTATTATTATTAATTTTATTATTGGGTAAGACTCCGTCAGAAATATCACGATTTTCAAGGGGTCTTTGGATTCGTTTGTAATTTTGTAAAATTGTAGTATTGGATATAAGAAATAAAAGTCCCAAAAGAATTTTTGAAAATTTTCAAAATTTTAAATGTTACGCCATATTGAAATTTTTGACAATTATTTTTTAAACATTAATATTTCTGAAATAATTAATTGGATCACAATAAAATTTTAATGTTATTGTTTAAAAAAACATATCTTTTCGAAGTGTTATGTAGTTGAAAAAAATTTTGAAATTTGACCCAAAAAAAGGCGAAATTTTTTTTAATCGTTGTTATACTTGAAAGGGACCGAGTTTTGAGTTTCTTGGAAAAAAGTAAAATATTCCTTATAATTTCACCTTTATTTTTCCAACTAAAATTGAAATAAAATCATTCTAAAGATATTTACTAAAAAAACAATAAATACAGCTAAAATGATAAGTTTTTATTATACATAATAATAATATGTAAACTCAAATTTGAAACATTCCTTTTAAAACAACATTTGAAAATTATAATTTAATAATAAAATTAATTTTTCCACAGACTTTGTAGAATCTTATTATATAAGATCTATATGTATATTAACAAAAATAGAGTATTTCATAATTCTTGAGAAAAACAAAATTAAAGAATAAGATTCTAATTTTAATTAGAGATTTATATATAAACAAAAATAAAATATTTCATCGATTGTACGAATAAAGGAAGAAAGAAAAATGATCTAATTACAATTACATTCTATTATTTAATGAACTAGATTCTTATCGTTGAGCAATGATATAATCTTTAATAAATAATTATTATAATATTATTATAATTTTAATAAATTATTTTATATGATATAAAAATGTTTTATATGTGGATATTATATTAAAATTCGATAAAATATAAATTCTGTTAAATGGAAACTCGATTGCATGAGATTATATTGAGAAAAATTTCTTCAAATAATAATTATTAAATATAAAATTTCTATTGAATTTTAATTTAAGGACTTTTTCACATGTTAAACTATAAACAAATAAATAAGAATCCGTTAATTAGTAATATGGTTCAATTAAAATTTTATCTGATACAATTCATGCAATTAATTGTTTTATTATATTAAATTTTCCAAACATTGAAAATTCTTTGAACCGATGAGTTTTATTGAAACATTAATGCGCGCCTCGCACACACACATATATATATATATATATATATATAGGTATTAAATAAAGCTTTTATTTAATTTCAGTATCGTATGAACTACAAAATCAATTCCTTTGCCTATACAACGATTTTCGCACAAGCGACTGGCTTCAAAGTTGTTTGGAAACTTCCCGAAGGTCCAGGATTTAGAAAACACAGATCCATTCGCGATATTCATGAAAACGCAAAGCTCATGTACGAAAGGTAATAAATAGTTTAATAGTCCGTGAATAATGTATAGAATGCTTTCCAGTTAATAGTAGTGGTAAAAGGAGAAATGGAAATGGGGAGGGGTTTCTGGCCAGACGCGGTTACTGGTACTTGCATTGGCCAATGGTGCAATGCTGTGGTATTTCAGGATCTCTGCAGTCTTCTTCTCTTTTATTTTTCCTTCGCCGCAGCAAAATATGCATTTCTATCTCTTCTTTCAAGAACGTCATGCTTTGCTACAATGTAATACATCCAAAAACTTAACACAAGATGCGGAAGTAGCTTTGTACCTTTCTCTTCTTTTGTTGATATATTTTTCTACAGTTCCCCTTTGTTCTCCAATATCCCAGTTCAAAAGGTGAAAAACAAAGGCACACGATATTTTCTATGCAAAAAAAAAAAAAATTCTCAAATTCTTCTTATTCATTTCATAAATAATTTTTCCAAATCTTTTTCACACATTCGTTTGACCCGCAGGTAAATAAAAAATTAATTTTTTTTAAAATCATTTTTCGATTTTAGCCACGGTTTGAATGGACAGGCATGTTTGATGAAAAACATGTGTGAAACAATGGAATTTATTGAAAGACAAGACGGAGTTGTTGCAAAAATATTAAAATTATTGTTATGGTAGGTATAATTTTGAATGGTTTGATTGTTCAAGCACGTAAAGTCAATTATTTGTCACGCTATCGAAGCACTCATCCATTAAACGAATTGGTTTTAGGTCCTCTACTGAAAATGGAACGATGAATGCGAATCCACTCACATGCGGTCATTATGCCAATCAGTGTCCGTTACAGTTTATTGGATTTAATGATTTTTACCAATATCGACGATAGAAACGATTTGATTCTGTAAACATAAGGATAAAATCAAGTTATATATGAATCATAAATCGAATATTAGATTCTATGTTTGACAATTTTGCGTAAATCAATATGTTGAAAAATTATCCATGTAATTTCAGTCCATCAAAATTCAATTATTTCGTTAGCAAAATAATTTGCCCACGCTTAAATATATTTGTTACAATTACACAATAGTTATTTGCATTTGCTAATTTTGGCAACAACAAAATTTAATTCATTGAATTATTTATTTTCTAATTTTTCTTACTATCATGATATAATTATTTTTAATATTATAAAATAATGAGATAAAAATAAATTAAAAAAAAGTCGGTTAAAACATTTTTAAAGAGTGCAATCATGTGGAATTTGAAATGAAATTTACGCAAAGAGGCAGTAAAGAAATATTCAAAGGATGAAGAATCAGACGTGTAAGTGTCTGGGAGAAAGAAATATACAGCGTATCGTTTACGTCGGTAAACAAAGTAACGAAGAGGAATAAAGGTGGAAAGTTATTAACGTTGTGAGGAGCGACACGTTTCTCGCGTTTCCACTATCAATTTATCTCCGTAACGGTGAGCATGGAAAAATGTTTGTAGCTTCTATTGGTGATTTTTTTTACACTTTCCTTTACTACGCTATTTTCACCGTCTCCCTCTCTTTCTCTCTCTCTCTCTCTCTCTTTTATTACATTCCACGACAGGATGGTTATAATTGCATCTCCGTGGTTTTGCGCCGGAGCACATTAACTAAAGGCGCTAATTTAAACTTTTCCGCGGTTTCCGCCAAGTCATCATACACAATTACACGGATTGCTGAGGAATATAAACTACTCAAGACTATTTTGCTTTTATCTTATGCAGTAGATGAAAGTTAATTTTATATGTATAATATAGTAAATGTTTTACGAGTAAGTTGGAAAAGCAATAAAATTTTGTTATTAATCTAAAAAGAGTTATTATCAAAAAAAAAACGCAAAAAAAACATGGTTCCTTAATCCGTTGCCTGTTTCCGACCCACGGGTGGGTTGTAGAAAAGTTTGGCCTAGAATATTTCCGACCCACCCGTAAGTCATGTTCATTTTAGTCGTTCAATTCAAATCTGACCTCAAAATTAAAAAAAAGCCAAAATGGCGGATACAATATGGCGGAATTTTTTTTAAATTAATCTGATATGCTTGAAAATTGTTACTCGGGGGTTATTGGGGTCGCTAATTACGAATCTGACATTAGTTTTTTAAAATTCAAAATGGCGGAGCCAAAATGGTAGACATAATTTTTTTAAATTCATCGGATTTGACTAAATTTTGGTACTCAGGGGATTTTGGAATCGTTGATTATTAACCTGACCTCAAAAGTACTTATATACTGAATTTTATTAAATTTCATAATAAAATAAAAATAAAATCGGACAAGTGCGAGTTACACTCGCACTGAAATCGAGGGTTCCGTACTCGAAGCGAACTTATTTGGTATAAAAACAAATGTTTAAAAAATATGTGTTGTATGACAACTAATATAAGTGATACAAAAAGGAACAATTTTGTAAAATTCAAGAAAATTGTTCCTCTTCGTATCACTTATATTAGTTGTCATACAACACATATTTTTTAAACATTTGTTTTTATACCAAATAAGTTCGCTTCGAGTACGGAACCCTCGATTTCGTTCGCTTCGAGTACGGAACCCTCGATTTCAGTGCGAGTGTAACTCGCACTTGTCCGATTTTATTTTTTAAAAAATATTTTACTAAAAAAATATAAGAAACATAATTTTATTTCAACTCGCAATATTTTTATTGTATTTATATTTTAAAAATATATTGAATATTAAATTTTATCTTTCTAAGTCAAAAAGAGATAAAACTTAAGATATTGATATAAGGCTAGTAGCTGCTTGTCAAGGAAAAATCGAAAGTTATCTAAAAAATAAAATTTGTTTATTAATTCCAGAAAAATCAACTCCAATCATCCTCGCTATATTTTTTTGTAATCTACACGTAAAAATACGTCAAAATATATAAATTTGAATCACTGTAGAAAAACTTTTTTCGTTTTTTGCGGAAAAATACATTTTTTTCTGAAATTTATCATTTTTCTTCAAAAATTTGATAAAAATTGATCATCAACTCCAATCGCGCTTACATTTTTTCCCTGTATTTTTCACGCAAAAATTGAGTTTTACAGCAAGTATGAACAGTCTGGATTGAATATTGTGTGCGCTAGGGAGAATAAATTATTTTTTTCGAAATTTTTGATTTTTCCTTGACAACGCTATGTAAATTGATCCGAATCAAGTTCGCTATAATTTTCCTGTAATTTTCACGTAAAAATACGTAAGTGTGTCAAATTTGAGCTCTTTATGTCAAAAGATGTCCCCCCCGCTAGGGGGGGGGGGTACATAGTCATTTTTAGGCATTTTTCGTAAAAATTCATGGTTTTTCCTTGACAACGCTATGTTAATCAATTCCAATCAAGTTCGCTATAATTTTCCTGTAATCTACACGCGAAAATACATATGTGTACTAATTTTCAGCCCTCCAGATAAATTTATGTGGCCGCTAGGGGGGGGGTACACGATTTCAAAAAAACCGATATTAATAGGGTTCCGAACCGAGTACGGAACCCTAAAAATTGTGTCCGCCATTTTGGATCCGCCATTTTGAATTTTGAAAAGTAATGCCTGATTCGTAATCAGCGACTCCAAAAACTCCCGAGCAACAAAATTTAGTCAAATCTAATAAATTTAAAAAAATTATGTCCGACATTTTGTATCCTCCATTTTGAATTTTGCAAAACTAATGTCATATTCGTGATCAGCGACCCCAAAATAAATAAGAGGGATCAAAATTGTTCTTACGTAATTAATGAATGGCCCCTCAGTACCTAAATTAAACAAATTTTTTTTCACTGTAGGTATTAAGTTAATTTAATTTTTAAGATAAAATTTATTAACCAATTAAATAAATAATTAAAAAATACTAAATTCGTAATCATGACTGAAATAAATTATTCATTAATACCTAAATAATTTTAACTTTAGATTAAAATTTTTTTTAAACAATCGTTCATGAAAAAATTAAATTATAATTGATGCATAATTATTATTAATTTATTTCTTTAAATAAAGCAATACTGTTTTGCTTGCTTAGTACTGATTTACTATTACTGAAATGTCACTCTCTAAATTTGAATCAGCTAAAATCCGCTGATTGGCAGCGAATAGTCGCTGATTGAAAAAGCTATAAGTATGCAGCTGCGAATCAGCGACTAACAACTATTTCAATCAGCGGAATACTCCATTTTAAAATAAATTTATCTTCCGACGAAAATGACCGACGTTCGCCGATTCGTGTTTCGCTATTTTATTAGCTGTAACCGCTGATTTGCAGTGAAAACTTTATTCGCTGATTCAAACAGTGAAATTTTCGCTAATTCAAATTTAGAGAGCAGTATTGATTTGGTAGAGATCCAATATAAATACCAGTATTGGCTCAATACTGGCTGCTTAATAAAAGTTCTAAAATTGAACAATGGGAAAAACCAGTTTCATGTATAATCGACAATAAATATTAGACTCACTTCAATGAATAGAAAACCGTAAAGATGATATACATATATATATTTGTTGAAATCATTAAGAACCCAATGTCAACATATTATGTATATAAGAAGTGAAAAATCACGCAAATTCTCCGTTACAAAATCTTTGCAACTTCCTAGTCTTCAAGAACTCTTCGTACTTACTCGCTGCGGGATTTTAAATTGAGAAATATACTTTTGATTTTTTAAAATGGAAATTTCAGAATTACATTTTATAATAAAAAAAAGTGCAAGAATACTAATTAATTAAAAGTTATTTTTTGTTGTTTTCTTTTTTTTTTATTATTATTCTTACTATGATTGACAAGTTTTTCAAAAATTCATTTTATACGCGAAAACTTGGTATTTTCGATTTAATTTGGTTTACAACAATTTTTCATTTTTACACATTTTCTTTAATTAATTCACATGAATTAATTGACAACGAATTAATTAACGAAAACTCATCGAAATTATTATCTAGACAAAAAAGATATCTGATATTTCCTCAAGGAAGTAACGTTCAGGTAATATTAATGTAGCTGTCATTTTTTTTAATTTTCTAAACATTATTTGTATCTTATCCAAACAATTAAAAAAAAAAAAAAAATTGCAAAAGTAGAAATATTCTATGAAAATTCAATTCTATTGATTTTTTGGGAAATTTTGAAAAATTATACAAAATTTTGGACTATAATGTCAATAAAAACATAAAGTTTGTAATAAAATAAATCTCTTTTTATTTTCAAACTTCATGTTTATTTTTACATGCATATAATTTTTCAAATTTCCCTAAAGATTATGGAGGAAATCAATAGAAATTTATTTTCAGACAATATTTTCATTTTGATAAATTTCAAGTATAAATTATCATCAGATTGTATATTCATCTCAATCTTTTTATTTAATTATATTTTATTAAATTTTTAGACTTAAAAAAAATTATTTTTTTCGATTATAAAGATTTTTTTTGTGACATTTCAGTTGGTTTATTGTTTGACAATTGGAGCTTATGGCAGAGAAGGTGACTTGGTTTTGGGAATGACAGCAGCGTTGGCGTGGGAATTACCAAACAAAATTGATAAAAAATTTAAAAAAGTACTACATCGAAAAAGTAGGAGCGTAATATTTCCAAAAATTGAAGCATTTTTACAATCGTAAGTATTTTGAAGAAATTTTGTTAAATTTAATAATTTGAAATTAAAAATTCTAGAAAATGAAATTTTACAAAATAATAAATAAGTAAATAAAAATAAATAATTAATAAAAAAAAATGTCAGTTAAATCGAAATTTTTATAAAATTCAAATGAGATTTTAGGGAATTATATTCAAACATCTTATTACGTCAGATTTTAAAGTGTCAATAAAAATATGCTTGTCAAATTAAAGCACGAATATTCAATTGAGTGTAACAAAGTTCTTAATTCACGAGTATAGAAAGACTGTGGAATATAAAGAAAGCACCTTTGAAGTTATTCTCTTCTCTAGTATATAAGGGCATAACAGTCCTTGTAGCCTCATCACTATTCCATTTGAGTTCAAGCTAAGGCATGCAAATAGCCAAGTTTCTTCAGCTATCACATGTAAATGAGTCAAGACATTTTTTCTTCATCCCTCCTCCCCTCACTATCACTAAAATAAAGAATACCCCTTAATACTGATATATAAAAAATGATCTTATCACCTCACTCAAAAAAGTTTTATCCAAGTTTTTCATTCAACAAAGTTGTTAACTATCTTAATTTTACATAAAATGTCCAAGTAAATTGAAATTGTCAGTTTTCAAGGGAGAGCTCAATTTGAAAGTCAATTGCGATAATAATTTCTGTCACTTTTGAAAAGGTCACATAAAGTTTTCAACTGTCACGCGGTCTTAGGACTTAACACTCGTTAAATTTTCATTTAAATATAAAATAAAGGAATGGAAATTCAAATCAATGAAAATTTACGTGCGGCAAAATTTCTTTAGGCAAATTAGCAATGTGAATATATTAAGAAAGTATATTTTTTTATATAGTTATGGGGGAGCTAGGGACTGGTTGTAACATATCATATTTTTATAGAAATTTTCAACTTTTTAATTATCAATTAGCAAAAATATTTTATCTGATTCCATTGGACGTAAAATAATGTCTAAAAATAATTTGTTAGATTTCAATTATTTTTTGAAACAATTTCAATTAAATCGATTTTGAGGCGGTATTAATCCTACACAAACAAACACTACACAAGAAAATTCTACACAGCTAATTATACACATGTAAACTCTACAGGGTGTTCCAAAAGTATGGAAACTTGCAAATATCTCGAAAAGTACGAATTTTTGTAAAAAATGTTCAAGACAAAAGTTTTTCCAAACAAAAAGATGTACATCTTTGAAACCAAAAAATTGAGCCCGGAGCCCAATGTTGGGCCCTACAATGAAAAAAGTGGTTTTCTTAAATGAGACCACTAATTTTCAGTATCAAATTCGTAATCCCCATGAAATTCTGCGTTCAGACATGTGGTATAAGTGCCCAAAATATTGGGCCCAATCCAAGATATTGGGTCTAAAATTTATCAACAGATAAATAAATTTTAAAAAATCGCATCTTGGAGGGATTTTGAGATCACAGGATTAGAAATTGAGCATAGAGCCCAATGTAAGATTCTGCAGCCCAATATGAGGGCCCAATATTTTTGGAATTTGTACCACAAGTCTAAGCCCAGAATTTCAGAACGGTTACGAAATGGAAGGAAACTAATTTTTTTACTTTAGGCCTCATATTGGACTGCGGAAACTTACATTGGGCTCTGTGCCCAATTTGAAAACTAGCTTCGAATTTCTAAACCTGTGACCACAAAAACTCCAAAAGATGCGATTTTATAAATTTATTTATTTGTCAAAAAATGTCGAGCCCAATCCCAGACATTGGGCCCAATATTTTTTGGCTTTTGTACTACAAGTTTAAACCCAGAATTTCAGAACGATTCTGAAATGAATACTGAAAATTAATGGGTTTTATTTAAGACAACTAATTTTTTTTACCGTGGGCCTCACATTGGGCGGCGGAATCTTACATTGGGCTTTATGCCCAATTTGAAAATTAGCTTCCAATTTCTAATCCTGTGATCTTAAAATCCCTCCAAGATGCAATTTTTTAAAATTTATTTATCTTTTGATAAATTTTGGACCCTATATCTTGGATTGGGCCCAATATTTTGGGCACTTATACCACATGTCTGAACGCAGAATTTCATGGGGATTACGAATTTGATACTGAAAATTAGTGGTCTCATTTAAGAAAACCACTTTTTTCATTGTAGGGCCCAACATTGGGCTCCGGGCCCAATTTTTTGGTTTCAAAGATGTACATCTTTTTGTTTGGAACAACTTTTGTCTTGAACAATTTTTACAAAAATTCGTACTTTTCGAGATATTTTCAAGTTTCCATATACTTTTGGAACACCCTGTATACATTAATATAAAAATGAAAATGAAAATTTTTAATAACTCTACAGAAATAAATCCTACATCCGTTAACTCTACATAGCTTAAAAAATTCATTAATTAATTTTTTTTTAATAATTCTACACAATTAAACTACAAGTAAAAATTATTATTTCTCCTATTTTGGACTATTCGTAAAATTCTACATAATTTAACTCAACATTTCTAAACACTAAAGATAACATAAAAATAAATAAATCCTACACAAGTAAATTCTACATATGCACGGAAAAAAAAATTTATTTGATACAACTAATTAAATACCATTTAATTGACTCAAATAATAATTATTTGATACAAATAAATATTTATTTGATAATAGTCAAGTAACCGATTATTTTAATCAAATAAATTTTTCAATTATCATTTAAATGACAATTGTATAGTTTTCTTGTGTTGAATTACATTATTTTCATTTAATGTTCAGAATTTATTATTTAAGATCTCGTTTATTTATATTTATTTTATGTGTAGAGTTTGAAAATGTTGAATTAAATTGTGCGAAGAATTTTACGAATAGTCCTAAATGGAGAAATAATAATTTGTATCTTAATATTAAGTGTAATGAAGCAACAAAAACAGTCAATTATTTATAATTGTTTATCTCAATTAAAAATAATTATTTTTATTTGTTTTATTAACCCATTCCCTATCCGGATAATTAAAATGAATTTTATTCTCCTATAAAATTCAATTAAATGTTTCTTTTCTTTAATTAGTTAATTTTAAATTAAATAATCCAGGCTCTCGTTATTAATAATTATGATCACATTTATAACCTGTCAAAATTTGAATATTTTCCCGAGTAATCAGTGTATTAATTTTCTTTATTTTTATTAAATTTTTCATATAAAAATTGACAGCTTAATTTTATAATAGATTTGTTTTATTGTATTTTATTGCAGAAATGATTGATTTATTAATAATAGCAATTATGATTTTAAAACAATTGATAATTTTTTCAATATTTTGAAATATGTAACAACCTACTCCCAACTTTCCTTTAGTTAGAGAATTTTTACAATGAGAAATGTTATCTAAAATTTTAATACGAAATAATTTAATTTTGAAATTACAGAAAAGAATTTAATTTTGTTTCGACATTAAATGTAGTGAAGATAATTTTCAAAGCCTGAAGAGAATGTGTGAGTGTGTATATATATATATATATATATATATATATATATATATATATAGCGTTAACCGAAACTTGTTCAAATATCGTAACAAAAGGTGTGAGAGAAGACTCGTCTTCGAGTTGCATTTACCTTTCTGTCGATTAATTTTTCAAAGTGGTGCTTGAGGTAGTTTCCAATTAAACTTTACCCTCGTCCTCATGAAACCTTCCACTATACAATATAAGCAAAGCTTCATTCTTTATAGTACAGGTCTTGATGGGAAATCCTGCGTAATGAGGGCCCTTTGTGAGGCAGGCCAAAGGAGCGAATCGGAAATTGGAAAAGGTACTTTCGTTCAAGAACTTTTGCACGCCATTTTCACGTAAGTCGTACAACAAGAGACACATTTTACTGCTTGTTTACAACTATATAACATAGAATCAGTTTGCTTGTCGATTCTAATTACTACTTATAATTTGATTTCAGTTTACCAAACGACGGCACCGCCTTCGAATCGATAGAGAACAAACTTTACGACTACGCGTATCAAACCAAACAGGACTGCACAACTTTGTATCCAAACTGTCAATACTCCATTTACAATATTCTCTTTTAACTACAAAATTAAAATATTGCTAATTTTATATATTGCAAAATTTTTATTTTATTCTTTCTCTCTCTTTAATAAAATTAGAGAAATTTTTTTTTATATTTTTAAAATTCACAATTCACGTGAAAATATTTTTAATTAAAATACATATTTATATACACATATCTGTAAATTCTAAAAATAAAAGCAAAATTTAATGTTTAAAATATATGTTAATATACTGAAGAGCATTCATATGCTCTCAGTCCGGGGATTTTTAGAATATTATATAATTTCTTATTCTTATTTAATTAAATTTATGTGCTACATCGATTCTGAGAAGCAAATGAGTTCAAACATGTGGTTGATTAAATATAAACATAATTGTTTAGGAAATTATCGACCACATTCTATTATTTTCAATATAAAAGAAATAATAGTATTGTCAAAATTTAAAGGGACATTACATATATTATTAAATTCTATTATTTAGTATAATGAAACGCGTGAGAACCATATCATCGGATAAAATTATAAACATATAGTAGAATTTTATATACAACTGAATATTTCTTTATATTTAAAATAATATAAAACAAAGCTCTTACCAGTATAAACTGTTCAGATCAAAAGAGACAGAAACGTGCATTTACTCGGCTTATATAGTCGGGTCCGTACCCTTAATTTTCCGGGGTAAGTAAGATTTAAAATGTGCGAGTGTATGAGTAGGAAATTTTAAATTGATTGAGCGAAAATCCGCAAATTTCTCTCACCACTTTATGCAGGGCGCTTCTCCCATGTATTTCTTTTCGACAATTTCTCCCTCTACACTGAAAGAAATTTCATAGGAAAAAATAACAAAATGCGTATTACATTTTAATATATTCTTTTAGAATTTAGGGAAAAGTGTACTTTTTATTAAAATTCAATATACTTTATATTAAAGTTCCAACTTAAAATCTTTTTTCAAATATTAATAATTATTGTAGAAAGAACGTAAAAAGATTACCAATATTTGAAAATATTATATTAAATTCTCATAGAGTTGTTGCATTATATGGAATGTAGCGTTCTAATATTTGTAAAACTTTATACGAAAAATTGAGAATGTCGGAAGAAAAGGGAAAAAAGTGGAAACTCGGACGTTTCCGTTAATTCTCGGGAGGAAGAGGAGTGAGACTAGGAACAACACATTCACACTTACGATACAGGTTAACACACATACTAATGAACACGCACGTTCATTTCGCTTATACATAGACATTACACGATCGCAACGAAACCTACACTTACAATTCTATACGCATAACGATAAATTTCGCTGGGGGTCGGCATATATCGTTTTCTTATATACTAACTACTGAATATTTTTACCACTTGCGAGAAAGAAGTTTACTTATAATAACTTAATAATAAAAAATAGTTTACTAGTGCCAATGGTGTAATTTTATAGAGGTTACGCTGGGTTCATTTTTATTATTAATTGTTTATATAGATTTTTCTTTTTTTTCAGATTAAAAATTATGATTGTTATAAAAATTTTTATTGCAAATAAAAATCAAATAATTGTAAAGATGACATCAAAAAATAATAATTAATAAAAATAATAATAAATTTAATAATTATAAATGTTTTCTGTGGCACTATAAACATTTGAAACACGTGTGTTGACAGTTGATAGGTACGTTCTGCTGGTTAACAACACTTTCGAAAATCGGATCAAGTCGTAGAAGTTCGAGTAGGACACGAAGCCGCAAACAGACAGAACTTCGGTTAAATTCGTAGTCTCTCGGGAAAATCCGTGACTTTTAATATAAAGTTTTACAAAATGTGAAATAAGTATACGGATATATGTTATTTTTCTTACTATTTTGTGAAATTATTTATTATAATATTTCGTATTCTGTGAATTCATAAAGAAAATACTAATTTTTAAAATAAATATACTAATTTTTATTTCTTAAAATAATAGTTACTCTTAAATTCATTATATATTTTCATAAAAACTGTAATAGTAATCAGTATAGGTGCACTTTTTCCCTAAATTGTAACATTTATATTAAACTCTAATATGAGTTTAATACTTAGTAGTATGAATTTTCTTTCAGTGTACACTAAAACCTCGATCGCTGGGTCGGTTTGGTCATGCTAAACCACCGATCGTGGTCCATTGAAATGTAAATAAAGAGGAACGTATGAACTGTTTTATGCTCCCATGCATTTCTTTAAATACATATTTTTGACTAGTGAAAACTAAAAGGGGCAACAGCGCCTTCAAACGAAAGATATTAGTACAACTCTGCACTGAGAAAAATAATTTCGTAATAATAAGACAATAATTTAGTTCAGCTTTTTTAGTTGGCGTTACTAAAATATGGTTGTCACAACAGAATAGAAAGTGGCAATAAATCGGGAAATTTAGTTGGCTCTACCAAAAAATATATTTGAAGCTTTCATGTTTACGAACTAAATAGTTTGGTTCCCAGTACTAAATAGCTGACATGCTGTATTGCGCACGCGCTCTTCTCGTAAATATGGCGTCGCTTCCCATTCACGGGATGTCAACATTAACCATATGTCGTTCGCGTCGTGAAGTTTCAGTGTTGAAGTTTTTATGTTTTTCAGACATTTTTAAAAAAAAAAGTTTGTGTAGTGAAAATAAATAAATAAAACTTGTTACAAGAACGAAAGTTTTTTTCCAGCTTTTATACATTGTGAAAATGATTTAATCTCAAATTGTTAGTAGGATTCGTAGAGTAGTGGTCAGCGTTCTCGACTAGCGTTGCGTAGTCTGAGGGTTCGAGCCCCAGCAGTGTTAGGTTTTTTCCGCGATAGAAATTAATTTAAGTAGGCATAGGTAGGTTATATAAAGAGAAAAGGGTGAAACAAAAAAATAAGTTGGTTGAGAAAACAAAAAAAAAAATTTCATTTAACTAAATTTTTTGTTTGCTTAAAAACAATAAGTTAGTTGTGCAAAACAAAAAATTTGGTAGACCGAACAAAATGATTCAACGAAAAAATTTAGTAGCCCGAACCAAACGGATTAGTTGCACATATATCAAATAAAAAATTTGGTAGAGAGAACCAAACTTTGGTAGATGATACTAAACATTTTTCTCAGTATGATGTCGCTCAACAGATCCCTCTTTTCCCTCCCTCCAACTTTACTAACGAACTATGTAAACAGCGACCCAACAATCGGGGTTTTAGTGTATGTATTTGGATTTTTCGCGCCGTCTATTTTTGGATAGCCAATTACATGTAAATTGTCATCTAAAGGCAGAGCTATTTTTCTCTCTCTTATTCCGTTTCTAACGCTCGCCGAGAACAATGTCATTGTTAACCTGTCAATCATTTTCCTCTAACTGATTTTTATTTTCTAAAATCATTAATATTTCAAAAAGTAATAATTTTAAAAATTATTTAACTTTTACCATCAATTTTCAAATAATTTTGACTTTAATATAAAATATAATTTAATTATTATTAATTTTAGCAATAAAAGAAAATAATTTTTATTATTTTATTTTCTAAATATTTAAAAAATATAAAATAAAATTTATTCTTTAAATAATAACACAGCCACACAAAAAAAAAAAGTTCTGATCTGGGGGTCTGACTATATATTTTCTATGTCTTTTGGGTCGCTGAATCCGAATCCGAGGCCCATTCAACCCCATCACATCAGGTTTTTGAAAAAACCTCAAAAAACCAAAATGGCGGACACTTTTTTGGAAAATTTATCGGATTCGCTTGAAACTCGCTACTCGGGGTTTTTTGGGGTCGCTGATTACGAATTTAAAGTCAGTTTTCAAAAATTCAAAATGGCGGATCCAATATGGCGGACATTTTTTTGAAAAATTTGCCGGATTTGCTTGAAACTCGCTACTCGGGGGTTTTTGGGGTCTCTGATTACGAATTTGAAGTCAGTTTTCAAAAATTCAAAATGGCGGATCCATTATGGCAGGATTTTTTGTCAACTTTATTAGATTCGCTTGAAACTCGTTACATGAGGGTTTTTGAAGTCGCTGATTACGAATTTGAAGTCCAATTTACAAAATTTAAAATGGCGAATCCAATAAAGATGTTCTTTTGAGAAATCAAAAACTTGAGTGTTTTAATTCACCCGTATTTACTTTGTATCTTGCGTGTGCCTGCGTCCAGGGCACCTCCACGTGGTGTACATTGGGTAACGCAAATGCCGACGGTACATTATATAGTAAAATAGACGTGATAACATAAACATTGAAACTAAAGATATTACGCGCGTTTAATAGCACAAATTGTAGGTTTTTTTAGATTATGTCCGAATCCTGATATGATAAATTTAAACTGACTTCAAATTCGTAATCAGCGCCCCCAAAAACCCCCGAGTAGCAAGTTTCAAGCAAATCCAGCATTTTTCAAACAAATATCCGCCATATTGGATCCGCCATTTTGAATTTTTGAAAACTGACTTCAAATTCGTAATCAGAGACCCCAAAAACCCCCGAGTAGCGAGTTTCAAGCAAATCCGGCAAATTTTTCAAAAAAATGTCCGCCATATTGGATCCGCCATTTTGAATTTTTGAAAACTGACTTTAAATTCGTAATCAGCGACCCCAAAAAACCCCGAGTAGCGAGTTTCAAGCGAATCCGATAAATTTTCCAAAAAAGTGTCCGCCATTTTGGTTTTTTGAGGTTTTTTCAAAAACCTGATGTGATGGGGTTGAATGGGCCTCGGATTCGGATTCAGCGACCCAAAACACATAGAAAATATATAGTCAGACCCCCAGATCAGAACTTTTTTTTTTTTTGTGTGGCTGTGTAATTTATAAAAATTCTTTATTTTATTAAAAAAAATTTTTAAATTTAAATTAAATTAATAATTCTTTTTATTCGAATTTATATCTACCTTCTCTTTCTATTATTTTTCCTGTTTACATTTTCATTGTGTTATCTATTGATATCTAAGATAACGTTCTTTCTCAGGAATTATTTCCAACTACTATTTATAATATTTTTAGACAAGATCGCTCTAATCGACGAGGAGGAGGTGTATTACTTGCGGTTAATGTAAGTTTTAAAGTTAGTGAAATCACCATTCCTTTCCCTGAAAATATAATTTCTCTAATTAATTGCTTATGTTTAAGAATATTAAAAAAGAAAGTTACTTTTGACATTATTATTCTTTATATACCACCGAATTTATCTTTACAATGTTTCTTGGACATTTTTGATTGCCTTAAATCTCAAGGACATCTTTTTTCTGAAAAAATAATTTTTTTAGGTGATTTCAATGTTACGAATTTCGTCAATTATAAAACTGATACTTTAGTATTTGATACTAAAGCAGAACCGCTACTAAACTTCGCAGAATTTTTTGATGTTACCCAATTCAATAATGTTCGCAATAGGAATGGCATTTGTCTGGATTTAGTTTTTTCAAACTTCACCTGTGAAATTTCCCGCTCATTTTTCCCATTAGTCCCTGAAGATCATCACCATCCATCTTTAAATATCACACTTTCTATACCTTCACCTAAGATTCATAACCGCGATAATAGATTAGAGATAAATGACTCACCACAAACTACGTTGCAAAAAAGATTTAATTTTAAAACCGGTAATTTTCCTATGATTTTCTCTGATCTAGCTAAATGGGATTGGTCTCCTATTAATGATCTACAGGATGTAAATGAAGCATGTAAATTTTTATATAACAGTATTATTAATCTTTTTGAAAAACACATCCCTTACTTTTTAACAAATAAACAATCTACCAAAGTTTTTCCCCAATAGTTTACACCAGATATCATCAGTGATATCCGTTTAAAAAATACTATGTTTCGGAAATACCGATATACAAAGGCACCTAAATTAAAAGATCAGATCCGGTTTTTGTCTAATAACATTAAAAAAAGAATTCAGGAACAATATATATTATTTCACAAGTCATTGGAATCTAATTTCGCAACAGATCCTGAAGCCTTTTGGAAATTTATAAGAAGCAAAAAAACATCCCCACGTATTCCTAGTAGTATGAAACTTAACGATCAAGTCTTCGACAACCCTCAAAAAATTTTAGATGCTTTTGCGGGTTATTTCTCAAGCGTGTATACCTTACCAAGCGGAAATGCTCCTGTCGATAATCCCAGTATGCAACGTTTTGGTGACACTATTTTACAACTATCAGTTACAGAGGTATCAGAGGCATTGAAATGCTTAAACTCAAAAAACACTGCTGGATACGACAATATTCCTAGTTTTTTTTTGAAATCCTCTTCTTCTTTCTTGTCCGAACCACTTTGTTATATATTTAATAAAATCCTTTCCACTGGTACTTTCCCTGATAGTTGGAAAATTACAAAAATCGTTCCAGTATTTAAATCAGGTGAAAAGGATGACATAAAAAATTACAGACCAATCTCGATAATCCCTAATTTTGCTAAGGTTTTTGAGAAGTCAGTTGTAAAACATATTAAGTTTTATCTTTCGCCATTTATTGCTAATGAGCAACATGGCAGCATTAGCAATCGTTCTACAGCAACAAATCTAACTACTATTACTCAAGCAATTAATGATGCTATTTCCCAGGGTTACCAACTTGACGTTATATACACTGACTTCTCAAAAGCTTTCGATACCGTAGATTTCCAACTTCTGTTTTCTAAACTTGATTCTATGAACCTACCAAACAGTCTACTTAGAACACTTTATTCTTATCTTACAGAAAGAACAAACATTGTCCAATATAACGGCCAATCCTCTGTATGTTTTTCTCCAACTTCTGGTGTACCTCAAGGTTCTGTTTTAGGGTCTCTCCTTTTTAATGCTTTTATTAATAATTTGGTTTTTCATTTACCTGCACACAAATTGCTTTATGTTGATGATTTGAAATTATATGCATGTATAAGATGCGAAGTTGATGCAGAATCCCTTCAAAGGAGCCTTGAGGTTTTTCACGATTGGTGTATTCAAAATAAACTCAAATTGAATCTCGACAAATGCCACGTCGTCACTTTTTCAAGGAAAGATTTACCAATTAAATATAAATATACCATTAATAGCGTGATACTTAATAGAAAAGACTCTGTTAATGATCTTGGTGTACATTTTGATTCGAAACTCACATTTAAATTACATATTCAGATGATTGAACGCAATGCTTCCAGAGCCTTAGGCTGCTTAATAAGAAATTATAGGAACTTCAAGAACCTAAAAATACTTACTTTTTTGTTTAATTCATTTATATTATCCAATTTTAATTATGTTCCAATGATATGGTACCCAGTATTTCAAACAGATATTCTTTCTCTTGAAAAAATACAAAAAAGATTCTTGAAGTTCCTAACTTTCCGTAAATTTGGTTCTTATCCACCCCGAGGATCTGACTACATTGTTCTATGCAAAAACTTTAATTTTTTAACACTTGCGGAACGACGTTTTTTGTCACAATCTGTATTCTTATTTAAATTGGTTAATGGTACTATTAATTGTCCAGATCTCCTAAGCTGCGTTATGTTTAAAGTTCCACGTTTATACTCTAGGTACTACCAACCATTCTTCGTTCCGATGCCAAATTCAGCAATCGGTTTTTCAGCACCCATTTATAATATGTGCAATGAAATTAATATTATGTGTACCCATTATGACTTAAATTTGGATTTTTTTGGTATCTCTTTACTACGCTTTAAACAGATCTTAATAGATCATATATTATCTATACGGTAGCATCGTGTTAAAAAAACGATAATTACTTATATATAGTTAATTGAGAGATATATCTTGTAATTTCAGGCTCTAATACCAGCATACTTTATTTTTATATTTAGTTAATATTCAATTATATGTATTTAACTATGTATAGTGCCCTTAAATGGTCTTTGACCGTGGGCTTGTTAATAATGCAAATAAAAAAAAAAAATATCTTCTCTCTGTTTCTATTATTTACAGAAATTCAATTTATCTAGTTTTAATTTCATTTCTTAATATAATTCTTTTTTCAATATTTATTAATTTATCATTTTTAAATAATTTATAATTATTTTGTAATAAGATTTTTGACTATTGAAATACCATTTCAATACCTGCGTTCGTAATAGGAAATTATTTGATCACAATTATAAATCATAAATTTTTTTATTTGCGCATTTATTTAAGACTAATAAAATTTATTTGAATCAAATAAAAATACATTTGTCTGAAAAGCCTTATAACTTTTTATTTGTTTTAAATAAAGAAATTTATTTAGCACAAATAAAATTCATTGGAAACAAATAATTATTTATTTTCTTCTAAGATAAATATATCTTTTCTCTGCGAGTGTAATAATATCTGTTATTGAAAAAAATTATATTTATAAATTATTTAATGAAACAAAATTTTTTTTAACATTAAATAAATATTGAATGAAAATAATTTGAATATTATATACGTATTCAAAAAGTGACTTTTAGAATCATTTAGCACCAAAATGGTGAACTCGAGTGTGGTACCGTTGTGCCTTCATTGAAACTGAATAATCAGTTCCCTCTGTGTAAACGTAAAGTCAGTTACAATCGGACGACGTCAAAAAAGAAAAAAATGTCAAACAGTGACAATTTTTTACAAATTTTTATTTTCTCCTCTTTCTTTAAATTAATGCTCGCCTCAGAATTAGAGGATTTTACTCTTTCTAATTTAACAGTTCACAAAGTTCGAAGAGAAGTTCCCGAATATAAAAAGTACCTTCTCTTTCCACAAGGTAGTAATGTTCAGGTGAGTTGCATTTATCAGAAAATAACTATATATTTAAAATTTAAACACTGAGTATAGTGATATGGGGCGAATGAATTTACCATAAAAATCAATGGTTAAAATTTTAATTTTAAAGAATTTTATTAGGTACAATTATTTTTTAAACAAATTTTTTATTTTTCAAATTAACTTTTCACTGAATTTATTTTTAAACCAATTTCTTACTTAAAGAAATTTTTAGGAACCAAATTTTTATTTGACAAAATTTCTCTTTATCCAACTTTTTATTAACAAAATTCAAATTTAATCGACTATTAATTGAGCATAATTATCATTCAACAGAATTTTAAGTGCTTCAAATTTTTAAATGCCAAAATTTCCAATTCGACAAATCTTCATTTGTAAAAATTTTTATGTTGAGCAAATTGTTATTTGATAGATTTTTTAAAACGCGTAATTTTTATATGACCGAAACTGCCTTTTAAAAATTCTATTGAAATAACAATTTACTTTGCGCAAATAAAAATTCGAATAAATGAAAATTCGTCGAATAAAATTTGTTAAAATTTTATCTAAAAATTAAATCGTTTTTCTATTTTAAGAAAAAAATTCTTCAATGAAAATAAAAAGAAACATTTAAATAAAATTAAAAAAAAATTTTTTTTAAATTATAAAAAAATAATAAAATTAGAAAAAAATTAAAAAAGACAATAATATTTATATCCTATAGCTGGTTTATTGTATGACAATTGGAACGTACGCAAGGCCAGGAGGATTTTTTACAATGGGTGTAACAGCAGGATTAGCTTATGAATTGCCACACAAACGTACAGTACCATTTAGAAAGCCAGCGGAAGTTTATCATCGTAGAAGCAGAAGAGAATTATATCAAAAACTTGAATTAATGTTAAAAACGTAAGTTTAAAATAATACGTAATTAAGTTTCAAAGAAAAAAAAAAGTTATAATTTTCTTATTGTCAAAAAGCCCAAACGATGTTAATCTTTCAAGTGAATGACTTAAGTTGAAGGGGAAGCAATTAATCGAAAGCGCCCAGTTTCGTCGTGCAAACAATAGATTCCAAACGACAATAGCTCAAGGAGCAAAGCAACCTTAAAATTAAATAACGTCTACACCGACGATGAATACAGAAAAAGAAAAATTTGAAATGTACTAAATAAGAGTCGGGCATGAGAATTTTTCTTCACTCCTCCAGTCATGGAGGATGAAGAAAAAGAGAAACATGAAAATTCCAAGATCTCAGAAAAGAATGGAAATTGATAAGAGGAAATGGAACGAATTCTTTGGGCTTACATTTAAGATTATTAAAACAGACGAGAAAATAATATTTCCTACTCTCTTCAATTCTTTGGTCTTGAATCCTGCAATTTCCTGGACAATTTTTTTTCAAGCTTTTTTTCTTTTTCTTGTCGAATTGGAAAATAATTAGTTTTGTGAATTTAATTTATAGGGCAGATATTTTTTTTTAAATTATTTATTGCTCAATATCATACATAAAATGTTCGTTAGATTTAAGCCATACATCTTATTTTAATCCATTTTGTTATTAAAATTTTATTATTTAATTTAATCACAATTTACTGTGAAGTAAATAAAAACCAAGTTGCAAGCTTTAATATATATATTTAATTTATTCGTTTTATTAAATACCTCATGAGAGTCTTTAAAATTATTGTGGAAAATATAAAAAAAAATTGGAGCAAATAAAAAATATATAATTGAAATAATAAAAGTTTTAGCTTAATTATTTATTAATTAAAAATGTAAATTGATGCGAGGAACATGTATATAATTGAGAAATATTAAAGACAAATTGCAAATTAGTATACAACACTAATAATGCAATTAATTACAAAATTGCTCTGCAGAAGGGAAAAGCAATCAAAGACAAGCTTTATTTCCAGGTCACTAAATAGCTATTTAAGATCGATGTGACCTGAAGCGAATAATCGAACGGGTTAGAATCGTCGTTAATTCCCGATCTAATTGGCCTGTAGTCATTCAGTACTGCTACGATTTCCCTTCTTTATGCATTAGGGTATATAGTATAGTTAGGATAGCTTTATACTCAAATTACAAGAAGTCATATCTAGTTTATCGTAATTAAAACTTTATTTACACATTAACTTATAATAACTAAATAAGATTCAAAATATTACCATATATATGTAAAGAGAATAATCGAACGCGTTAGAATCGTCGTTAATTCCTGATCTAATTGGCCTGCAATCATTCAGTAATTGCTACGATTCCCCTTCTCTATGCATTAGGATAGTAAAGTTAGGATAGCTGTATTCAAATTACAAGAAGTCATATATGTATAGTTACGAATATGCTTCTCAAATTTGTATTGCAATTAAAACTTTGTATACACAGACTTAACTTATAATAATTAAATAAGATTAAAATTATTACCATATATCTGCCGTACTAATTTTTACTAATTTGAGTATGCTGAATTTTTTATTGCAAATATGCGAAACTGTAGATATGTTAAAAATTAAGTGCAAAATTGCGGTGAATCCTTATTAAATAACATATCTGCGTTGATGTGTTTTTCTGTCAGGAGAACAGCCCAAGTACGATTGACTTTCCTGACACAAGAAACACTATCTACGGACACTCTAAGAAGTTTACTTCTTCAATTTTAAAAAAATTGCATTACAGTATACATTTTTAATTAAAAGTCATTAAAATGCGCTTTTTAATGTCTAACAAAAAAAAGCCTACAATAGGTAACAAATGTTTTCCGTTAAATCTGTCAAAATTAGCTTCCACGGCAAATTTGATATTTTTAATTCACCTCTAAACATAATTTTGATAATCATTTTAATAGAATAAAATAATTAATTTTTAAAAAATATCATTAAAAAATATCATTAAAAAATATCATTAAAAAATATCATTAAAAAATAACAAATTAAAAAAAAAAATTGTTTTGAAAAAAAATACTAATTTTTAATTTTAGAAGCAAAGTTTATAAAAATACATATTTAAATCATAAAAAATATGTATAATATTGAAGTATAAAATATAAATTATTTAAACAATATAAAAAAGAATTATGCTTAAATATTGAGTAGTTGGAATAAAAGAGAATAGAATTTCGAGTATTTCTATTTGCTACTTTTATCGGCAGAAATAGGTTTATTGAAATTATTACAACAATTCTTAAGAAACGGTTCTTTTTTCTTGTTTCTTATTAATATAATTTGAAACATAATCAAAAATGTGTCGTATTATGGCGCACTCACACCTTTTTTGGCTGCCTGCCTGCAGGTTACCAGGGCAACGCACGAGTGTGAGTGAGACAGAAAATTTGAATATTCAAATTTTTAAATTTTCTGTCGCACTCACTCTCATGCGTTGCCATGGTAACCTGCAGGCAGCCAAAAGGTGTGAGTGCGCCCTTATGCAGAGCTTGAACGTACAAATAATAATTGAGTTTAAAGAAATTTTTAAAGGGATTTTTTCCTATTTCTATTTAGAAAAATGAACATAAATATTTATATTTTAATTTTGAATTTATCACTCGGCGACACTTAATAATTTGTGAGATGTTATCGATCACCAACTCGGAGTAATGAATAACATCTCACAAATTATTATTAATAAACAGTTTATTAATAAAGAAAAAATATATAAAATTTGAAAAAGTTCATGTTTCAATAAAGTAAATGTAGATATGGGACGTTCTTTGTCAACCGGACCACCCCATCTCTCCATAATTGGTTTAATTTAAAAAAATTTTATCATATTGGAAAAATTAGCTTGGAATGTCTACTTTTTAATCCCGTTGGGCGCTTTTGAAATTCAAAATGGCGACTTAAATATGGCGCCTAAACGACATAAAAATCACAAAAAATCCACACGGAGAGAACTGGATAGTGAGTAAGACTCTCGGTTCGTTTGTGATAACTAAACAGTATTGTTAATTTTCGACAGACCAATATAAGAGTAGGCTTTACTAAACAGCCGTCTAGTAGCAGTAACATGTTCAGTGTACAGTAGTGCCAACCTTTAAATCAGTTAAAAATCTAAAATGGCTGCTTTTGTTTTGAACATAGCAAACATAACCTATAATGTGTTGATTATATTTCATGTTTCATTAAAAATAAATAATAATGCACACTGTTGATAAATTCCTAATAATTTCAATATAAATTTATTCAAATAAGATCAAAAAAAAAAATTAAATAAAAACATAAACAAAGTGTACTGTTTGGAGAAAGAAGCGTCTGACATTTTGACATCTCAATAAAAAGTGGGGGAACACAAGCAGTAGCGTAGCATTCACTCAAAAGAGAGTGAGGCCAAAAAGACTGTTGAGTATCGTGAACTAAACGGAACTCAACGCTGTTTAGTTCCAACAACTGCTAGTAAAGTTGTCATGACAATATTTTAGGCTACTAAACAAGTTTTGTAGCCACAACTGTAACTCTTCTCTCCGTGCACTAATATGATCTATATTATTGTTTAAAGCTTCACATATGACGATAAAAATAACCACAACATAGTTTACTTACAAACTGATAACGTAACTCCATTCAAAATTCAAAATGTCGGATTAAATATGGCGGATAATATTCAAAATTGAGCTAGTCTTGTGAAAATTACTACTTGGGGGTTTTCGAGGTCGCTGGTTACAAATTTGATGTCAGTTTTTAAAAATAATAAATGGCGGATTCAAAATGGCGGACCAAAAATTTAAAAAATTAAGCTAATTTCGTAAAAATGTCTACATAGAGAATTTTTGGTCGCTGATTACAAAGCCGATGTCAGTTTTAAAAAATTTTTAAATGGTTGATGACAAATCTCTATTTAAAATTCAAAATGGCGGATCCAATATGGTGGACAAAAATTGAAAAATGGTTTAGATTCGCCTGAAACTTGTTACTCGGGGGTTTTCAGGGTCACTGATTACGAATCTCCGGTTACTTTTTAAAAATTCTAAATAGCCGACCAAAAATTTAAAAAATTGAGCTAAACTCGTTAAAATGTCTACCTAAGGGTTTTTCAGAACAATCTTTACGAATTCATCGTTACTTTTTAAAAAATCAAAATGGTGGACCAAAATATAAAAAATTGATCTAACTTTTTTATATTGAACGTAAAAAAGTGCAATTTGTACATATCAAATACAACGCCAGATAACTTTTTATGGATATTACGTGAGGATTATTTAATTATTAATCATAAGACTAGCTTAATTTTTTAATTCTATTCGCCATTTTAAATTTTAAATAGGGATTTGTCATCAACAATTTACAAATTTTTTAAAAATGACATCGGCTTTGTAATCAGCGACCGAAAATCCTCTATGTAGACATTTTTACGAAATTAGCTCAATTTTTTAAATTTTTGGTCCGCCATTTTGAATCCGTCACTTATTAGTTTTAAAAACTGACATCAAATTTGTATCCAGTGACCTCGAAAACCCCCAAGTAGTAATTTTCACGAGTCTAGCTCAATTTTTAATTTTATCCGCCATATTTAATCCGCCATTTTGAATTTTTGAATTTTGAATGGAGATACGTTATCAGTTTGTAAGTAAACTATGTTGTGGTTATTTTTATCGTCATATGTGAAGCTGTAAACAATAATATAGATCATATTAGTGGATGTTTTGTGTTTTTTATGTCGTTTAGGCGCCATATTTAAGTCGCCATTTTGAATTTCAAAAAGCGCCCAACGGGATTAAAAAGTAGACATTCCAAGCTAATTTTTCCAATATGATAAAATTTTTTTAAATTAAACCAATTATGGAGAGATGGGGTGGTCCGGTTGACAAAGAACGTCCCATATGTTTTTTTAAAGAAAAGTCAGGTTGAGTTCGGTCAAAATCCTGATGCCAAAAGACACTATGTACTTGTGTTTTCGTCTATCAGGAAAGTAGCCTCTAAACATTTAGAGTTCCTTACCTCAAAAAACATATCTACGTAGTTATGTTTCTTTAATCAGGAAATAACTGGTCAATCGACCTGAAATCCTCATAAATTTGTAGATGTGTTTTTAGCATCAGGATTTGTCGAAAATTGATGTAGATAGTCCTTTTTATCGAAATTATCGCCTAATTAACTAAAAAATTAATTAAGATTAATAATTCTAATTAGCACAAAAAAATGCGTCTTTTTTTACGAATCCAACTATATAAAAAACTCATTTTCCATAAAATATGTAGATAGTATCTTTTTAAATCAGGACGGCAGATATGTAAAAATGCCAATAATTAGTATTTATTTTGATAATTTAATTAATTTTTTTCAGACAAGGCAAAGATGGCAAAGCATGTGTATTGAAAGCTCTCTGTAACGCTGGAAAACGAAATAGCACAAAAGTGGGAAAAGGATCCTTTATGGAAGAGATTCTACACTCCATATTCACGTGAGTTTTGCATAACTTTGAATTCCGAGTTTAAATATTTTATGTATGCGTCCAACAGTGAATTACTCTCGCTCCGAAGGACCTAACACTGTAATGAACGGCACGAAAATTAATGTCCAACTTCTTTTTATTTTTTTTCCCTGCGTGCACACGTGAAAAATCACGAGGAAAGTGGCACGAACTAAATCAACAGAATAAAAAATGGAATCAACTTTATCAATTTAATTCTATAATTTTTTTTTAAAAGCAAAATTCAGAAAAATTTTCATTGATAACAAATTTTTGTTTTCATCACCAGTTTATGTTCTGGAATGATTTTTTTTTATAAATGAAATTAAGACAATAATTTTACTTTTCAAACACATAAACATGGCAAATGAAATAAAAGCCATTTAACCACCAGTGCTTTTTTATATATTTTTTTTCATTTCTTTCTTGTTTTTGTTTTAAATAGAAAGGATGGAAACAATTTTAAAAATGAAATTGTTCATTTTATATGGTTTTCAAAGAAGGAGACTTTAAAAGCGCGAGGGAATTGCAAAAATGCTTTATATACATTTGTAGCGTAAAATAAACAAATCAAGTTTTTTTTATATAATTTCCATGATAATGTATATATATAAAATTTTGCGAATTTATTCTTTCTGTCCTATATTTATTTTTAGATATTTAATATTTGTATATTTCTTTTGTTATAGACTACCAACTGGATCTTATCATTTAGATCCAAAGACCCAATACGAGGAAGCTTACGAAAAAAATGTTGACTGCGACAAAGCCTTTCCTTCCTGTGGAAAATCAATTTTCACCTGAGAATAATATTTTTCATAACAATACAAGAGTCATTTCATTAATACTAAACTTATATTAATGCAAAAAATTGTTATTTTAAAGGCCTGTGCTTTCTTCAATTTTATATTTCAACCATTCAATAAAAGAAAAAAAAATTAGACTTTTCACGAAAGCTCTAGATATTTTATTATTAAATTCCTGTTCAAGCAAAAATATCGTACAAAAATTGACATTATATATTTTTTAATTATGATGCCTACATAAGTAAATTGTACTCTCTAAATTTGAATTAGTAAAAAAAGAGCTACCAATTTACATTAGTAAGAATTTTTATTAATTTTTAGTAAAACATTACTACAATTGATTTAGTAGTTTGAAATTTGACTAAAATTTTAGTAAAATGTGACTAAAAATTAGTGAAAATTCTTACTAATTTAAATTAGTGATTGGGGTACAAAAATGCAAAAAAATTGCCAAGAAAAATATTCAAAATGTCTTAAATGTCCATTGGAAAAATAATAATTTTGGAAATTTGGCATTGGCACTTTTGACTCCCTACCAAATTAGTAGCTTACTTTTTATAAATTTAGATTTAGAAAGTAAAGAGCTCAAAGAAAATATTTTACAATACATTTAAAAAAGTTGTTTTTACACAAAAAAAATATTTTCCATTTGAAAGAAATATTCCTCTCTTGAACTCTTTATAATTTATTATTAGAAACACACAGAAGAAATGATTTTTAATTTATTCATTTCAAAGGATGAAGGCTATTATTTTTTTTCTGAATCTTAATTCTAAAACTAGTTTTAAAAAACGTCATAAACAAGGATCCTAAAAAGTAATAAAATAGTCTAATATATTATTTTGAATTTTAACTCTAAACAGTTGTTCCTAAACTTAATCCTTCAAACAGTTTCGATATTTTACTTCAATCAAAGTCCTAAATAGGATCTTAAATCATAATCAATTCGATAGGTTAACCAACGTTCTAAATCTGATCCTAAATCCGAACTAATGTTTCCCTTGATCCTGCTTCTAAAGCAAATATTATGTTGAATTATGATTTTCAAATAACCAATTAAAACTAAAAATAGTCTTGATATTTTCCCGCGTTTGAAAAAACGTCAATTAAAGCTACTATTGTCATTGGTAAATTAGATTTTAAAAATCAGAAAAAAATTTATACAAAAATAGTTTTTTGGAAAATTTCAAAGATTTGTGAAAATCTTTTTATTAACAATAAAATTTACGAAAGCCCCATGATAAAAATTTGTTGTGTCAGAAAATTGAAAATAAATCAATTATTATTTTACAAGGGGTACAAAATAATCTCAAAAAGTAACATCGATTTAATTATTGTTATCAATATAAATGTCTGATACACTTTATTCGAACATATTTAATTAAAGTAACGATACATGCATAACTTTCAGTGGAAATTTAGAGTCACTGTGGTGGAGATGCGTTTATCAGTAATAATCTTAGGGCAAATTTCCCCTTTATGGAACATTAGGTTTACTGACAAGTAGCGATGCCACGACAGAGTTGAGCTTATCTCGTTGAACAGACTCTTCTCCACAGATACATCGAGTGAGCACAAAATCTATATAACTATACACTGAAAGGGTTCAGGTTTACTATGCACGGGCAGAACTAAATAGAACAAAGGCTAATCTCACTAGACTTGATATTACAGAATAGAAAGTGTCCTTTCCCTTGAGAGAGGGAAAACTGTTACGGTTTCAAGTTTCACGCACACCAGTTCCCATGGCAAAACGAATAAATGTGAATAATGATAAAATATATAAAATATCAAGGAAATTCACCTCAACAATAACGGAAAACAAATTATTAAATTTGATTCTAAATTCTAATAAATATATTTTCCTTGTAATCGCAATCCTATAAAATTAATTCTAAAACTAGTTCGAAAAATAGAGATTTGATATTTTCAAACACAACATATCCCGTATGGGATATGGTAAAATGTCGCTGAAAATGTTCACAATTTCCGAGTTAAAATTTTGGTGACATTTCCTAAGAATTGTCTCAAAATTTTAAAAATTATAAAATTTTTCCAAAATTTTGGTCTTTGAACGTGTGTATGCACAGAGAAAAAAAAGAGTGATAATTGTAACATTTTCTATCAAAAATTACTACTTTCAAATAGTAATTTGGGAACTGCTTAAGAAATAATAACTTTTATTAAAAGCTGAGTAATATTTAAAATGTCCCGAGCAATTAATACTAGGAACGAAGCAACTTTTATTATGAATCGGAACAGTTATTACTATTTCCTTAGAATTTTTAGGAAAATTCAAAATGGCGGACGAATTTTTAAAAATTAAACATATTTGCTTGAAAATCCTTACTCGGGTATTTTTGGGTTCGCTGATAAAGAATCCGGTGTCTGTTTTTCAAAATTAAAAATAGCGGACGAATTTTTAAATAATCGTTCGGATTCGCTTAAAAATCGTTACTCGGAGGTTTTAGGGGTCGCTGATTTCAAATCTGATGTACACTGAAAAAAAAGTTCTGGTTAAAGTTACTAGATGCGTTTGGTTAAAAAATTTCTAGTTATTTTAACAAGAAAATATAGTTAAAAAGACTAAACAGTTCTAGTTAAATAAGTATGGTTAAATTATTCTGGTTAAAATAATTCTGGTTAAAAACGCGCGTTCGCGGACACTGCATAGCGTCTGTTGTTCTTTTTCGAATAGTTTATCGTGCGGATCGCAAGAATGGATGAAAAAGTTAACCAAGCTCTGGAAAATTGGGGTTTGGGAGAATTAAAAGATCTGTTTAAAGGTTGGTTAATTAATTTTATAATATAAGTGAAAAAATTGTTGACGAACGGCAAACCCGTTCGTGTGGAAAATAGTTTGAAGGTTATGTTGAAAACGTGCTCGACACGTTTTATCAGAATTTTAGTTCTGAATAATCATATTTAAATAAACATTATTAAGAGAATTGCAGTGTAAAGGTGTTATTGTTTGATTGCATTTATATGTACATAATACAAATTTTTTTAATTCATATTTTATAATAATTTATAATATAATATAATAATAATAAATTTAATTAATTCTCTGATTAACTAGAATTTCTGGTAAGATCAACCAGAAATTTTTTTACCAAAAATTTTTAACTAGAAAAATTCTAGTAAGATTAACTTGAAATTCTAGTAAGATTAACTTGAAATTCTGGTAAAATTAACCAGAATTTTTTAACCAAATTTTCTAGTACTTTTAACCAGAAAAAGTAGTAAGGGTATATATAACTTTTTATTCTGGTTAGATTAACCAGAATTCTGGTTATTTTAACCAGACTTTTTTTTCAGTGTAAGTTTTTCAAAATTTAAAATGTCGGATCCAATATGGCGGACAGAAAAATTAAAAATCAATACTACTAATATTAGATTTGTAATCAGCGACCTTGAAAACCCCTGAATAACGAGTTTCAAGCAAAACCGTGAAATTAAAAAAAATATATCCGCCATATTGGTTCCGCTATTTTGAATTATGAAAAGGTAACATCATATTTGTAATCAGCGACCGCAAAAACCCCCGAGTAACGATTTTCAAGCGATACCGAACGATATTTTTTTTTTATTCTTCCGCCATATTGGATCGGCCATTTTGAATTTTGAAAAACGAACACCGGATTCGTAATCAGCGACCTACAGACCCCCGAGTAACTATTTTCAGATCACAATTCTATCAAATAACAATTCGGCCAAATGGAGTTTCGGTGAAATGGAAATTCTATCACTTAAAAATTCAGCTAATTAAAATTTCTATTAAATAACAATTTTTTAAAAATAAAAATTAGATCCAATAGAAATTGTCTCTAATAAAAGTTTTGTTAAATAAAAATTTTGTTATATTAGAAATTCTGTTAAATAGGAATAAAGTTGATGATTTTCAGTTATATGTTATTTTTTCATATATACATGTGCCACTGAATAAAAGGTCAGCAAAGTAAACAGAGTGTTTATGAACTTTCATGAAGGAGATAAAATAAATTTTATAACGAGCCATGCTTCCTGCTTTTCTTGCAAAAAGACTGCGAATTTTAAAAGGAAGTTTATATTTACACAGTAAAAATAATGAATTTGAAAATTTCTCATTTTCTTTATTCCGCAGAAAAAAATACATATAGTAATTAGTATATATATTCATAATATAAAATTTTATTTTAATATCTAACATAAAAATACTTAAAGTGTTCAAATAAAAATATGTTTAATATGGGTTATTAAAGAAAATATATTATATGTAAAACTATATAATAAAACTTAAGTTATTATTTTTTAAAATTATATTTTCTCAATAATTTATTTGAAAATACTGGAGTGTAAACAATAGGAATGAAAACCGTTAAATTGGAAATGAAAAGAAATGATTAACTTCAATTCGGTAAAATCAGTCGTCATAATAACTTGATAACTGATTGTTCAAACACTCAATTTACTGTTGAACTGTTACAAGTGTAATTCTGGTATGGCTCATCACATTCAAGAGTTTCTTAAAAGATGAGTCAAACTTATTGAAAAAAAGAAACAAATTTTTGCAAATTTTTACAATTTTTTGTTTACAGTAGACAATTTTTTAATATGAGAAGTATAATGAAAATTTATTTATTGTTATCACTAGTCAATTTTACTGTTGAATATGATGTGTGTTTACAAAATCAAACAGATTTACAGGAATTTAAATCAACATCGCAAAATATTCATAGAATAAAGAGAAGATCGTTAAATTTTCCAACAGGAAGTGCATTCGTAGTAAGTTTAACTTATATTTTATCTCCTTTAATTAAAATTTCACAAACTTTAAAAATATCCTACGTAATTATATTTGCAGTATGTAGATTAAAAGTTTATATATCTATTGAAAATTTTCTCTATCAATTTTAATTTTAACTTCAATTATTTAAAGACTTAAGGGGGGGGGGGTACACAGAAAATTATAAGGTATTAAAATAAGCTGCAACGCTTATTATTTTAATTCAATTCTGCTTATTTTAATACCAAAATGGATTAAAATAAGCAAAATTGGATTAAAATAATAAGCGTTGCAGCTTATTTTAATGCCTTTTAATTTTCTGTGTAAGGGTTTCCAGTTCCGAAAAATCGATGTTTTCTTTTTTTGCTATTCTTGTAGTTGAACATCTCAATAATATATCCCCAAAATTTGAAGTCAATTAGAGAAAAACTCTCACAAAGTTATTAACAAGTTAGTTCCTTCGCTTTTAAAACTGTATTTCCGTCAGTTAGTTGTATGTTTGAACGAGCGTTTGTTCTCAGTGATATAATATAAGGAAAACACCTACTTGAAAAAACAGGCTTAAGACATCGAAACTACTGTAGGGAGTCTACTCTATGGAGCTAGAATCAATAATTCCGTGTAAGCTAAAAAAATAATTTTTTTCCTTCTGTTTTAGTCTTTAAAACTTTAAACGCGTTTTTCTCATAATCACTTTTTAAAAGTCCGTGTTCACTGATATTTGAAAACTACTTTACCGATTTATTCCAAACTTGGTACACACTTTCTACACATAAAATACCTGCCCCCTACACGAAGAGTTTTTCAATTTTTTTTTTTTAAATTAAAGGGGTTTTTCATTTACAAAATAGTGGAATTTTTCGTCAAAAATACCAATTTTCATTTCAAATGACCAAAAAAAATTTGAAAATGAAAAAAATTAAAATCGGAGATCGTATGGGGCGGGTTTTGATGCTACTTTGACTACATTTTAAAGATTTTTCATTTAAAATAATTTTTAGCTGAGATACAGAGAACACCTCAAATCGGTTTTTTTCAAAGACGTTCTTGGAAATGCTCTGCCAACGGCTTGTTTGTTGAAATTTTTTTTAAAATTTACAGAATATTGTTCAAATGATATTTAATAATGTACAAAAGGTTTGGATAAATTTCCCATATCCATATTTCTAAAAAAAAAATTCACAAAAAAGATGTTTTTTTCTTTGCTGAAACCCTTACCCTCCCCCTTAAAAAAAATTTTTGTTACAACTTTAATTTTAATAAAAACTTACCTATTTATCAATTTTCTTAAATTTTTTTTTCTAAATTCTCATAAATTATACCTATGTATTTTTTGGAAATTTAACTGATTTTTATTTTCAACTGGGCACAATTCCTATATATATTAGATATATCTATATCTTTTTATTTTGCTTTTTCTAAAAAAAAAAAAATAAAAAAATATGACACGGATGAAAGAAGATTTATTTCACAATTATATAGATGACAATGTCGGTAGTAAAAACTCTTCCAATAAAAGGGTTCACCTGGAATCAAGTTCATGAATTTGATGTTATTTGGCCAATACCAAATAGGTCTGATAAACCAGAACCTAAACCTAAACCAAAACCAAAATATCCAAAAAGGAAAAAATATTATCAACGACCCTATTGGAGGAATCGTATTCATCGAAGGGAATTGTACTCTAATTTTGAAGTGGCTCTCGAAAGGTAAATCATATTTATGAATTAATATTTACTAGATTCAATAACATTAAATATTATTAATTTAGTAATAATTTTAATTTTATTAATAATTTCAATTATATCCTCAAAAGGAGAATATATTGTTTTATTGTAATCGCTTTTCTATTGTTATTCTATACATTTTGATTTATTTTCTTATAGATTTAATTTACCGGGAAGAACTTGCATTTTAAGAACAATTTGTGAAGCTAAAACATTTCTTCATCCACCTGGCGTTTCTTTAATTGAAGACATGTTTCGAGTAATTTTAAGGTGATTGTTATTGAAAAAGGTATTTCTCATTAAAATTCGAGATACCATTTCAATGATTTTTTAATACAAAAAATTAATAATTATTTTTATTTCAGTAATCCAATAATGACCACGAACAATATAGATGAATATGATTTGGCTCATCAGACAAAAGAAGATTGTCATCTTCTCTACCCTTGTCCTTTTTCATTACTGAATTTATTTTTTAATTACAAAAATAACAATTATAATTAAAAAACAATGATAACATTTTTACAAACAATGTGAATAATAAAAATAATTTTTATTTTTACTTAATTTACTGATAAATTCTCTATTAAAAATTATTATACTTGTAAATTATAAATATATTGCTTTTATTTTGTTAAATTTACTTATTGATATGATTTTAATTATTTATTTATATTATTTTATTTTCTAACAAGACCAATCAAGGTGCATCATTATCCTATAAAAATCATATAATTTGGAATTTTCATTTAAAGAATTCTATTAGATATAATTATTTTTTAGACAAATTTTCATTTCTCGAATTAGCATTTGACAGAATTTTTTTCAAACGAATTTATACTTAATAGAATTTTTAGGTATTGAATGCCGAAATCTTTCGGTCGTTTATTTATTCGCAAATTTGCAATTTCGGACAAATGAAAATTCGTCGTTTTAAGAATTCCATAAAAAAATAATTGGTGTAAATAAAAATTTTGACAAATGAAGATTCGGTGAATTGAAAATTCTGACTTTAAAAATTCGAATCACTTAAAATTCTGTTGAATGAAAAGTATGCTATATTAAAATTTGGTTAAATTAGAATTTTTTTTTAATAAAAAGTTAGGTAAATCGAAGTTTTATAAAATAAAAGCTCTCTCAAATAAAATATCGATACCTAATGAAAATTCTTTAAAGTAAAAAGTTGTTTAAAAAATAAAATTATTTAAATTGAAAATTCTAACAATTTATTTTTATGGGACAAATTTCATTACTTATTATTATTAAGAAGTAAATGTAGCAAGATTTATCTAAAATGAGATTAGTTAAAAAATAGTATAACATAAACTGCTGACAGCAACAAATTCAACATATCCTAGTTGAAGAATTATCAAGGATTATACACAAGTGCAGTGATAGGAAATATCTAAATATAGACTATAGCATTTTGCCTCTATTTCGAATATATATTGGATTACCGATGGGATATTACGAATTGCACTACAAATACGTTCAGGTACCACGTGTTATGTACCTCGTTTTATCATCTACACTATGTTTTGATTGGTGTCTTACTAAACTCCCTCCATTACCATGACAAAGGTGTCCATACAACGTACCATAAAATTCTATGAGACCGCACCTTTTACGATTATAGTTACTTGAAAATCAGCTTCAAAGTTCTCCTTGCCCTTAATAAACCTCATAACTCGCCTCCTAAAAAGATATGTACATACGAAAAATAACTTTAAAAAAAAATTTATTTAGTACTCGATTTAGATTTTAAATAATAATTTACTTTGATAAATAAAAATATTTTCAAATATTATTATCTTTCAAATTTTATTATACGAGACCTTTTCGAGCATTAGCGCGCTGATTATTGCTTTTTAATCATTAAATTATTTTATATTAATAAAACAGTAGTATAATGATGTTGTATGTTGATATTATATTCGACTAATTGATTTTATTAGTTTTACTAAAAAGCTTAACGCATAACGCTTTGGTGTAACCTTTTTATAATAGGATAGGAAAAATCCTTAACAACCTTTACTAAACCAAGAAATTTTAGCAACGATTGCTAGGTGAAAAACATGTTCTTAGCAACCGTTGCTGGGCAAAAAAAATGTCCTTAGCAACCGTTGCTAGGTGAAAAAAATTTACAATATATAATTGTAAACAAAATAAGTTTTTAAAATTACTTTTTCTAAAAAAGTTATTGACAATTAAAAATTTAAAGACGATCATTTCATGCAAGTGTTTTAATAATTTATTTTTATTATAGGGATCCAATATGGCGTAAGAATAAAAAAATTGATCAGATTCGTTTGAAACTTATATTACTCAAGAGTTTTTAGGGTCACTGATTACGAATCCAACATAAATTTTTCAATATTCAAAATAGTACAATTATCAAATATAGCATAAGATTTTGTTTAAATTGATTGAATTCGTTTGAAATTTGTTACACTTGAGTTTTTTAGGGGTCACTGATTACCAATTTAATATCAAATAAATAATCAACGAACCTGAAAAGCCCGCGGGTAAACATTTTTTTGTAAATCTGACGAGTTTTTTAAAATTCATCCTCCACATTAGATCAGACATTTTTAATTTTGAAAAACTGATATCAGATTCGTAATTCATCTTATGTTTGTGTTTGAGAATAAGTCAAGCCCTCTACTATGGTTATTTAAAATAAACTATATGACCAGGCAAAAAAGAGATTTTTTTTAGAATCGTGAAAATGTCCATTGTTCAAAAAATTCGAACTGCATGCAGAAGTTGCCTCACTTTAATTTATTTAAAATGGGGATTTGGTCAGGACCTCGCTAGTTTTTCCTCTATAAAAAAATGAAAATAAACTTAGCCAGATAGCACGGAAACTTGCAGCAAGCTTACGGCAAAGCTTGCCGTAAGCTTTCCAGGAAAGGTTGCTGCAATCTTGCCATAAAAGATTGCTACAAGATTGCTGCAAGCTTGCCGTGAAAGATTGCTACAATATTGCTGCAAGCTTGCCGTGAAAGATTGCTGTAAGCTTGTTACGTAAGGTTGCAGGAGAATTTCAATAAGCTTCTGGAAAGATTGCTGCAAGCTTGCTGCAATTTTTAAAAAATACATTTTAAATTAAAAAAAATTTATTTGTTTTCTAAATTTGAAAATCCTTGTGACGTTTATTATTATTAATTATGTTCTGTTTATTTTCATTTGGAAACTTAACGAGAAAATTTTCGAAACTAATTTGAGGGGACTGGGAATTGAACCCGGGTTCGACAGACACTAACCAAAGACCCTAACCGAGAACCTACTCGACCAACTATTAAAGAATAAAAAAATCTTGCTCTTAACCCTCGACTGTTTTTATGAGTTGAAAAACGGCGGGCTTTTTCAAAATGCTTTTAAATAGAAATTTTGTGTTTTCTATTTTATTTGTTAATTAATCATCAATGTTATTATTGTTATATTTTATGAAATTTATTTAAAATATGAAAATACTTATTGAAAAGATGAATAAAATTTTTTAAATGTATTAAACATTTGTTAATTTAATAATAATATTTATATATTTTATTATATACATTTTAATCTTAAAAATTAAAATTACATTAAATGAAACAAACAACTTTAAATAAAAATTTTGTTTCTATTAACTAAATGAATTTTATGCATTTATTGGAATGAACCAAAATTTTATTTCAATTAACTAAACTTTTTAATTGTGTGAAAGAAACATAGATTAATAAAACAGTTTGCTTAAGTCAAATTAATTTTTTCTCTGAGTGAAATAATCCTAATTAGAATAGAAGTTAGAAATAAAAAAAATAATAATCTCACAAAATAGGAAAACTGACACGGTCCTGATAAGTTTTTCTCTAAGTATTAAAACAGTAGGGTATTGGTAGTAAGAAAACACTTTTCACCATCTAAAATAATTTTTAAAATCAATTAATTTGAATATTTTCATCTCGTCCCTAAATCAAAAACAAATTCTCTCTGAGAACAATACATGAATTTTATTAATAAATTAATTTTAATTATTACTCAATTTATTTCAATTTGGATTTCACGAGAGAAAAGTGAAATTAACAGGGTCACATTGGGAATGAATATATAGTAATAGTAGTAGTAGTAAATTTCGTTATATTGCGGGGAGTGTCAATCATTTACCTATTAACAGACAACCCAATGCTGAAGTTCATGCTGACAGGTGTCTAGCATGAAATGCCACATGAATTAAAATGTGAGTAATTAATTCGCTTTGATTTTGTCTCTCTTGTCTACAAAATTTTACAAATACCAACAAAATGATCAAATATGTAATTCTCTTCACGGTAAAATGTCGATAAATGCCATTGGCTTTTCACCTCTTTTCAAAATCCGCATATCGACATTTTTTTTAAATCCCCAACTTCAAAAGGTCATATTACTTGTCAATATAAATTCTTATAATTTATATTTAATGAATGAAACACAAAACAGAAGGAAATCAAACATAATGTAAAGTAAATGAAACTGATTCTCAAGATTGAAACGTGCAAGCGGTAAAAATAATTGGAAGAAAGAAGGGAATTAACACCTCTCTTGACCGTTACATTTTCGTGCAGTGAACTTTCAAGTTGCTAATTATTTGACCAATGATCCTGAGCATGTGCTTCAAGCAGAAGCATTTTAAAGTTTCAAGACTTGGTTTCGTGTTTCATTCTTGTCAGTTTGATTAGACTGTAAGTACAGTTTTTCCAAATACACAACATTTCAATTATATATATTAAAGGTGAGATTTTTAATTTTTTATGTTTACATTTTTAAATCAATTTTTCTAAACATTGTTTGCTGATATGACACAATAAATGGTGAAAGAAATAGCTTTCAGTTTTGTATTTATATAGATAGTTGGACATATTTCATAAGTTTTTTTTTCTTTTTTTGATTGTGATTTGTAGACTTGAAGTTTGATAAAAAAAAAAAATTATTGTCGACATATATTGGACAGAAGGAAGACTAAGCTCTTTCACTAAGCTTTTGTTGATTGCAAAGCTTATTCAAGCAGTTTTTAGATCTCTGTCTATTTACAGTAACATGAAGAATTGCCTATAGTATCGAAGTCACCTATCGATCATTTTCCCTCCTGTTTCACCAAGAAGTAACAATTTCCTGTTTCCTAAAGAGCTTACTGAAGTGAGTTACGAGATATTTCCACCAAGAGGGATCGATCTTCCGTCTTGTACAGGAAGTTCTATATCTACTGTGGTGGTACTGAAATACTTTACTCTTTCATTTTCTACCCCTGTTACACCCTCGAGGTACAATCACCTACCCTGTTTCCCTTCCTCCATCTCTTTAATAACACGATACTTTGCCCTCGCGCCGATCGAAACCTTATCTCAACTAATAAGATGAACATTAATATTACACACTAAAGGGTATTAAAACATTTTTTTAAATAATTCATTAAAGTACTTTATAACTCATTACATTTAATAATTATTGAATATAACAACCGCTAATTGCAATTATCATTATTAAGAAGATAACTATAAAAATCATATTAATTACAGCCGGGAAAAATATATTTTTATATATAAAAGCGTTTCGAATAGTTAAATTCTTTTCAGATTCAAAAATCTGAAAAAAAACTTTACTATTTGAAACGGTTTTATACTATATAGTTAATGAAATTTGAATGTCAATGGGTATAAATAAATTTTTTGGGGTCGCTGAATCAGAATTTATTGTCAGATTTACAAAATTCAAAATGGCGGACCCAATATGGCGTCCAAAAATTTAAAAATTGACCAGATTCGCATGAAAATGGTTCCTTTAGACTTTGTGGGGTCGCTGAATTCAAAGAGGTCAGATTTTAAAAATTCAAAATGCCGGACCCAAATCCCAGTTGGGGACAGATTGGGCAACTTTGTGAAAGTTTCCACACGGGAAATGGCGCTAAATTTAAAAAAAACATTTACTAAACGAAAACTTATATGGGTATGAAGAAATTTTTAATAGTTTTAACAAAATAAATATCTAAATCTTTCTTATTTATTTCGAAAAAAATACGATTTCAATGCTTCTAAAAGGTCATTTTAAAGTTTCGATAGTTACAGTCAGAATTGCTTTTCAGATAAATTTACTGACAGGTGGATCAAGTTAGAATGTGTAATAATATTTTACTCTTGAAGATCTGGGGTAAGGAGGTAGCTTTATTCCTTTCACGTTTTATCTTGGGCTTAACGGTCAATACCGATTACCTCAGCGGTTCCAAGATAAAATCCCCCCCCCCTCTCTCACTCTTTCTCTCTCCTAACTTTCTGCACCTTCTACTGTCCGTAAAATCACTTCCGGCTATACACGCTCTTCAAGATTCAACCCCGTAATGCAATCCAACGTCCGTAAGAAAAACCAAGGCTGACTTTGATTCGGCGGGACATAAAGTGGTGGAGAGAGGCGCGCTTACTGCGCGGAGAAAGGAATGCGACAATATTCTTTTTGCGACGTGAGAGAATAGGATTTTTCTCCGGGAAAAAGGATCGAGGGCTTCCTCTCAAGAGCCTCTTAGATCCTTCAATCTCAAAACCAAAAGCACTAGATTGATGTGTAAGCATCAAATAATATCTCAGACTTTACAAATCACTTCAATTTTCCCTTTGATTCTGCAAAAACAAAAAAAAAAAAAAACTAGTTTTCTCACGAAAAAAATAAATATTCAAAAATATTAATCTATTAGATAAATCATTCAGGTTAATTATTTTTTCAAATAATTACAAAATTTTTATTCGTATCGCTGATCATTAATTTCAATTTCTTTTTCATTTAATCTGACGTTTTACATTTCTTTTCATTTCTGGCGCCACTTCATTTTGAAAACTCTAACTAAAAACTACTTTTACTATTCTGTTGCAAATTCGAAAAAGTCTTCCTAAAACTGATTATTACTAAGGACACTAAAATTACATCAAAATTTAAAAATTCTGTTTGTCATCAACTGGCATTTAATATTTAAAGCTAACTTACAGACAAAATGTCAAAAATAGTTATATATGATACAAGTGCATAAAGTGAGTGATTATATTCGTGTGATTTGCATCACAACATTTTTTGCAACACCCACCTCTAAAGTTAAGTACTTATCATGATGAATTCCAACTCTCTATTAGAATAATTTCGATTGTATAGAATTAAATAAATCAATCGAAGATCAGGAAAAATATCATTAGGCAGTAGTGTATAAATTTAAAAGTAAAGTTCGTTTTTTAATTTTGTGGTTTTGTATGGACTAAAACAATCCTTATATTATGTGAGAAAATTTCGGTGCGTAAAGTAAATTTCAGTGCGTAAAGTAAATCACTTTACACACCGTTTGAAAAAGAGCTTCTTTACACACACTTTTCGGTGTGTAAAATTTAACTTTAGAGGTTAGTGTTGCAAAAAAAAAAATTAGAGTATGATTGAAGTTGAATTTTACTATAATGATATCGAAATTATAAGTCTGAATAACAGTCATATGTTAGAATGAAACTTGTTAGTTTTACCCTACTGATACTAAAATGTATCATTTTAAAACTTTTGTCTGTTTTAAATTGTCTTTTACTAATTTATTTATTATAATGTTACAAGAATTAAAAATGTTTGATCTGACTAAAACTTACTTTCACTATACTAGTACCAAAATTATAAAATTTGAACAATTCTGTCTGAGTTATTCTTATTTTTACAACAACAATTACAAAAAATTAAACCGTTTTTTTGACTGAACCACTTTATCTACTTTTACTTAAAGTAAAATAACAAAAATCTAACAAATTCGGTCTTATAAAACATAAATCTTCTACTGTTACAAGAATTACAAACATATAAATACTTATTTCTATCTAAAACTTAAAATTATAACAGTTTGAAAAAATGCGTCTCAATAAAGTAGGTGTGTCAGTAATAAATAAATTTCAAAAATATACAAATACTATCCTGAGTTTGACTATCTTTTGCTACTAAATTTATAAATGCAATATTAATACTAAGAATATTAAAAAAATTTGGAAAATCTAATAGTAACTGTCTTTTCCAAGCACATCCGAGTACCTACCCTCAGTTTTTAACGGAATTTAAATTTTTACGACAAACAAAAACGGTTTCTTTTAAAATCAATATTTTATCCTTTTAAATCCTGAAGTTTCCTTCCAATTAAAACTGATTGACTTGACAGCGGATTAAATCGAATTAATTCGTAATAAAATTTGAAATAAGATCAAACTTCAGCTTTGGATTAAGTCGAAATTAAATTTCTGAATTAAGAAGAATAAAATACAGTTTCGAAAAAAATGGATTGATTCAAAATGATCTGGAATCTCAAAAAAATATTTAAAATAATTAATTAAAATTTGGTATACTTATTTAGTACCCTATTTTCTATTTGTAATAAAAAATATAGAAAGAAGTCTGAGACTTCAAATGTAATTTCAAATTATTAATTTAAAATAGTAAAAAATACGATTTACTCCATGAATTAGTAGTTTCCCATTAGCAATTAGTAGTTTTCTACTAAAAAAAAAGAGTCAAAATTGTTACTAATTGAATTGGTAAACGAATCCGCACTCTTTCATTAGTAGAAAACTACTAATTCAGATTTAGAGAATATGTATGTCCAACTGAAACTGACTTTTACTACGAGAAAACAGAACAAACTTTTTTAAAAAATTATCTGACTAAAACAGTATTTTACTACTGACAGAAAAATGACGAGAATTCAAAAAAGTTTCGTCTGATTGATTTTAAAGAAATTTTACTTTCAGTTTGTTCCGTTGAGTGTTAAAAATAATTAAAAATAAAATTTAGAATAATTAATTCTTAATCCCTTTCAAAACATAAAACTTAGAATAGTTTGTTCTTAAACTTTTTCTAAAAGTAAAAAAAATAAAGTTTTAAATATTATCGCAAGAAAAACATCAGCATCTGCAACAATTGTAAAATATTATATTGAGCCATAAGAAATAATCTCAAAATTGTAAAAACGTATTTTGGAACATCTTGCATTTTATAACTTTAATCTTCTCATTGTTAAGATAGGACTATTGAAATTATTTCGAATATTAGAATAAAACTAAAAAGCTAACCCCTCCATTTGCAATTATACCTGGGTCCAAAAAAATCTACAAAATATACCTATATTAAACACCATGTTACCATCACATTTGACCATTATATACAACTACCATTACACTGTAATGACGACGATATGACACTTTTGCCATAACTATCAGAACCATTTCTGCTCTCGCTTGAGTAGGATCGAGCAACCACTTTGTCACAAATGTCAATTCATCAGTGTACTCAATTCTTATCAATATACAAATAAATAAATTGTAACTGTTTAAATTGTATATATACGTTGTCTCTATTTATTTAAACAGCCAAGTAGCAGTTTCACTTAAATGTTTTCTTGCATAAACAAAGTTTAATTTAATATTTAACTTTCAAATATCCAAAATATCGTTAATTTATCTAAAATTACATTTTTTAAAAATATTATTTAGCAAAAAAAAAGGTTTCTAAAAAGATAAATACAATACATTTTTTAAAAAATATTATCTTCCTCTCGTCTTTATTTTTTATCACTTTTTATGTCAGTAAAAAATCATATAATAGAGGAACTATTAAACGATATGGGATGTTCTTTTTTTCAACATTAAATTGTCACTGAAATATTAAGTTATAAATCAACTTTAGTTTTTACTACTTCCACAATGTAGACATGTCCTTCAATCCATCTGCTAATAAATCCTAGTTTCCATGCGATATGAAAAAGGCAATGTGAATGCAGAGCATGTAGCTGCCATTGTTATTTCCTTTCGGACGAAAATTCATGAGGTTTATCTTTCGGCTCTTTACGATCCATGACATGGATGACATACTTATTTACTTCTTTTTTACCCTCCCGTCTCTTACTTCAAGATTTTTCGCCTTCCAAAGTGTATAAATTCAAACAATCTTTGTGGTTTTACTTTGATAAATAGAAAAACTTTTTTTTCCTCATATACCACGAAGAAAATAAGTCTTTTCACAACATCACAACATCTATCAATTTCATTGCGCTAACACTGTATTGATATCTATATCTAAATTAAAAAATACTCGTTCAATAAATTATATTTATTTTCATCACTGCAATAAAGTTATTATTTTTTTTATTTAGAAAAATGTCAATTAAAAAAAAAGAATTGTGATAATTATTATTATTTAGTGAATTTAATTATTATTAATAATTTGATGAATGTGCTTAAAATTTTAATAGCAGTAGTAAAAGTAAGTTTAACTTACAATAAAAAAGAACTTTTTTCAATTTTATATTTTATAAAAAGAGTTATACACGGTTGGCTGGAAAATATTTTAACACTAAAGTTGCATCCCTTGAAAAATTCCTATTGAAACTTGTTCAGGATCCTTCACTGACCATTCTCCATAAACATAAGCAAAATTCGACGAGCGTCTAATCTGCTCAATGAAAATTTTTAAACATATTAATAATTGTACAAAGGTAGCATAATGAAAAGTTTTTAAATTGAAAAATTGAATGAAAGATTGAATACAATATTAACTTTATTAAAATTATATTAATTTTTATTATGAATTAAATTTATTTAATTGGGGACATTAAAAAATTTTTTTATTTAAAAATAAATGTAATATAAAAGAATGTTAAGTTTGAAATTATTAGATTAAGTTACTTTAGGGATAACAGCATAATATTTTTGAAAAGATCTTATTGATTAAGGTAAATATTAAAAGGAGAATTTTAATTATAAAGCCTGTTCGACTTTTAAAACCTTACATGATTTGAGTTAAAATTGGAAAAAATACATGTTTCTTATTGGAAATTATCCATGAAACTCTAAACTAATTTCAACTGTAGGGTTAAAATGTTTTCCAGCTAACGTGCCCAATGAGTAAGTACCTATAGTACAAGTAAATTTTTACCTAATGTGAGTAATAAAAGTAAGTTTTAGTCAGACAGAAGTGTTATATCATGTATGTTTAGTACCAGTAGTAGAATTAAGTTTTAATCAGACACAAGTGTTAAAATTCTTATACCTACTTATTTATCAGTAGTAAAAGTAAGATTTAGTCACAAAAGAGTAATTTGAATTGTAATTTTAAATCTCTTTACAGATCAATAATGCAGTTTAGTAGGAAATTAAATTTTTTTTTATTAATTTGTTGTTCTTTCTGTATTAAAGTGGATAGTGATACAGAACGTTTGCTATCAAGAAAGAAACGATATGTTGTTTTTCCAGAAGGATCAAGTTTTTCGGTAAGCTACTAATATACAAATTTCAATAATATTGAATTTATCACTTGGTGAGTGTAATATTTAAAAAAAAAAAAAACTTAAATTTAAAAAACGATCCCTGTTCTTAACGTTTCGACAGCACAGCTGTCCTCATCAGAAACTAAAAAAATTGTTTTTTTATTTTAAAAAATATTAAAATAACAATAATTTACAATTACTACACTGAGGAAACTGTTGGGTATCATCTACTGAAGTTTGGTTCTCCAAACCAAATTTTTTATTTGATATATGTGCAACTAATCCGTTTGGTTCGGGCTACTAAATTTTTTCGTTGAATCATTTTGTTCGGTCTACCAAATTTTTTGTTTTGCACAACTAACTTATTGTTTTTAAGCAAACAAAACATTTAGTTACATGAAAAAAATTTTTTTCTTTTCTCAACCAAATTATTTTTTGGCTCACACTTATATTTTTTATTTTTCACTTAATTTTATCACTTTTGTTATCCTCTTTTATTACCCTATGTCTACTTAAATTAATTTCTATTGCGGAAAAACCTAACACTGCTGGGAATCGAACCCTCAGACTACACAACGCAAATCAAGAACGCTGACCACTACACTAAGAATCCTAGTGACAATGTGATAATGTGTGTATAAAGTATACAGGCTGGAGAAAAACTTCCGTTCTTTTAACAAGCTTTATTCTCTCTGTTCGATATGCATCACTACACACACTTTTTTACCGAATTTCTGAAACACATAAAAATCCCGAAAACACTTGAATAAAACTTGACGACACGAAGAGCGAAGCATGGTTAACAGCGCATGCGCAATTGAGCATTCAGACGGTTTGGTTTGGAGAACCAAATTATTCAGTTAACAGACGCAAAAGCTTGAACGAAATTTTTGGTACAGCCAACTAAATTTCTCGATTGATTGCTTCTTTCGTTACTGTTATGTCAACTAAATTTTTGTAATCTTAACTAAAAGTGCTCCACCAAATTATTTTGTTAACATTACATTATTATTTTTCTCAGTGTATAGTTAATTAATTTAAAAATTTTGAATATTACCGAAAAAAGAAAGTCCGTGACTTTTGTTCAGGGTTCACTGACAAACTAATTGCAAACAATTTTTCATATAATACGGATTTGACAATCGAAAAGGTGGTGTACATTTTTAGGTCATTGAACCCGTCGCAGTTGTATACAGATTATGACGTCTCAAGTATAATTGTATTGATAGAAATTCATCTATGAAAAATAAATTAATAAACTCTATTTGAATTTATAAATAGAAAAGAAATTTATATAGTTTTTGTTCAAATTTTTAATATCATCCTTTTTGGTAAGAGGTTTCTTTTGTAGCCCTATAATTCTGACGGTGCACGGAAAACTGAGCCTAATGTTATTTCGGTGATAGGTCTCTTCTCTCGTGGAGCGTCACATCTGTATCATATCAGAGTTGATTCTCTTTCGCCAATTTTGTTAATTGTCGAGAATTGTCGAAACGTTAAGAAAAGAGATCGTTTTTTATTTTCCTTTTGTTTTAAATATTACAATTGACTTGAAAGATTGATAAACTTTAATACCTTTAATAATATATAAATTATTCTTTTCTTTACATTTTAATTATGCTCACATAAATTGAAAATATTAAAATAATTCTTCCAAATGTGAAGGATGATTCTTTAAACATCACAAGAAATTATAAGTTATTGGATTGACTTGATAATTTTCTCCGCCCCCGTTAATAAAATATTTATTCAAACGCCAATGCAATAATATGTTAACTCAGAAAGTTGTTCTCTCTAAATTTGAATTAGCGAAAATTTCACTGTTTGAATCAGCGAATAAAGTTTTCACTGCAAATCAGCGGTTACAGCTAATAAAATAGCGAAACACGAATCGGCGAACGTCGGTCATTTTCGTCGGAAGATAAATTTATTTTAAAATGGAGTATTCCACTGATTCACGGAAAAAAATTTTCTGTAGAATTTACAGAAACTCCTGCGCCATTTACTGATGTTTCTCCAAATAGAGAAATATGTAGAATCATTGGCATTAAAATCTGTTAATTCTACAAGTTTGAGCTACAGTTCTTAAAAACTGTTGAGTGACCAAATTATGTATACTATATGGGGATAATATATGTTTGGTAGAGTATTTCTTATAGGTTATATTCTCCTCCGAATACATTAAATTCGCGGAACATTATTGTATAAATTAGTATAACTTCTATGTAAATAAATTCATCCTTCAATAATTTTCTAACAAAAAAAATGAGGAGCAAGTTTTCAAAACTTATGATAAATCCACTTTTTCTTATGTCGAGAAATTGAAACAAACGACTTTTCTCACTTAATCACTACAGTTAATTTTAAAATAAAAAAAATTTGTAATAATTTATTTCTATAATAATGTTTATATACTTAAGACGTTTCCTTTTTAATTAAACTTTCTTGCCGACACTATGATAATAATAAAAACACTAAATTCGCCTTAACCTCTCGCACTCAATCGTACTCAGCCTTAGTCGAATCACTGCATTGTTTTCGCGCATGCGTTAAATCCTCACAGAAAATATCTGTAGAATTAACAGATTTAGGAACATGTAAAATCTCTAAATCGACGTTAAAGAATTACCAGAAAATTTTTTTCCGTGTTGAAATAGTTGTTAGTCGCTGATTCGCAGCTGCATACTTATAGCTTTTTCAATCAGCGACTATTCGCTGCCAATCAGCGGATTTTAGCTGATTCAAATTTAGAGAGTTCTATATGATTTTTATCCTATAATTAGAGGTACAATCTAAATAAAGTTTAATTGTCTATTTTCAATATCTTTATGATAAATAATGTAAAAGATAATAAATGATAAATACATAATAATAACAATAAATTTAAAAAATATAAGGAAAATGTAAAAAAATTTTGCCTGCAAAAAACATTTACTTTGGCTTGATAGAAGGCCAAGTGGACAGACGTTTTTGCCAATTTCTTTGGCCTACCGAAAGGCTATTTCAATACGTACCCGGAAAAACTTTGTTCAAGAATCATTTCTGAATTTGTTCAGGAACTGAGGACGCGAGAAAAATTCTGCAAAATTTACAGAAAATACTTGTATTTTTATTATGACATTGGAAGACTTCTTGTTAATGCCGCGATCGGAACTCACTGGGCGTTGAAAGTTTCTTGAACTGTTTTATAAAACACAGTACAGTAACCAAGCACTAAGCAGAGATTGGTTGCGTCAAATATATTTTCAATGCATAATACCATAAGCTGCCAAGGTAGCTGAGAGATGTAAAGCGGAGTTTTTGGACTCTCGAGGACGTGGGATCGAGTCCTCCCAGAGTAAATTTTTTTTCTCGCAAACGTAAAAGATTATTCTAAAACAAGTTCAAGACTTTCTGTAGTGAGTTTAGGAAGTTGTCTTGAAATTCTCTACAATTCTTATAGAAATACTGCTTAGAATTTTGCAAAGAAAATATAAATAAGATTTCTTAAATTATTTTTATATCCTCAGTTCCTGAACAAATTTAGGAATGATTCTTGCATAAAATTTTTCCGTGTATAAGTATTAAAATGGAGTACACCTCACAGAAAAAACTTGGACTCATTTTTGTTGCATCTCATTTTCTTTTGGGTATCGAAATGAGTATGGGACAAACTTCATGTTATTCAAAATGATATTGGCTGGAATTTCAGATTTCTAAGTTGGCATCATAAGCAGAGTAATTTTGTATTTCAATTATTGTTTCTAATATTTCAACAACACCAGAAAGATTATTTTGACCAGTACGAATATTTAGAAGTTTTTAAATAAAAATTATTTATTATTATTTACGTAGATAATAATTAATTTCATAAGTTTTTAAATTTACCGCTATTATTTAAGTTGGCAGTACCGTTCCTGTTGTCAAAACACATGTTTTCATTTTTCTAACCTAAAAACATATTTCCTTTATTATTTTATTACGCGATTACAAGCAATTTTTAATCAAATATATTAAGTCTAGCGTGTTATTTACTTCTTTGTAATTATTATATTTCATGTTTTTGTGCAAAATTATTCGTTATTTCACAATATTTTTCCATTTTTCTTTTTCTCAAAATGAAACTTGCCTGTTTCATTTTGATACTTTTACCTTAGAACTCGAAATGAGACAACCAGTTTCATTTTTGTTGCGAATCAAATTGAGTATAGAATCTATACTCAATTTGAATTCAGGTTTTTTCTGTGTTCAATTCCTTGATTCATTCAAAGTCAACGAAAATGTAACGGTCAATTAAAATTTTATTCGTATAGAAATTCTAAGTGCCATAGGAATTAGTGTAGATTTTTGTTTGTTTAACTTAAATAATATTGCTTTGTATAAAAATTCTATCATTCAATTTGAATGCGTAGAAGCATTAAAATTCTTTAGTTCCAATTTTTTTTTTAAGTTTTAATTTTATGAATATTAATTTAAAAAAATATTTCAGATTATTAAGAAATTACTGATTGAATATTTATTATATATTTTAATTTTTTTAAATGTTTTCATAATTTACAAAAATTGGGGGGGGGCATTACAAGAAACGATAATCCTGAAATAAATAACAATTTAAAATTATTTAAATGTAGAAATTAAAATTTTATACATTTAAAATAATGCTTGTTATTTGTGGTAATTAATTTCTAAAATTGAATTTCCGAAATTAAACATTTCAGGGTGTGTCGCTACGTTCAAAATAAAATTCACTTGCCGATCGCGTATTCACCTCGACGGAGCGATGGCAGCATCGCCTCTTCTATGCGGGGAGACCGGGGAACTATGCAGGGGCCATGCTTTAAGAAACATTTAAAAATTAGAAACAATATTAAAAATTACAAATTTTTTATACAACCATGTTTTTTAATTATTATAATTATAAAAAAAAACTTACCATGGACACCCTTCGCCCATGCCCGATCTCCATCCCGGAGCGGCACTCGAACGGAGGTTTCCAAATTGGCAAAAAAAAAATCACTCACACGCGGTTTTAAGAATTTCGTACACTCCCGGACCACATGTTAATTTAAAAAAAAACTTTCATTTAATACGATCGCGGTTTTAAATATTGCGAACACTCCCGAAATTAAAAAATTATTTTATTTTAAACAAAAGTTGAAGAAAAGAAAATTACTTCCTAAATAATTCAATCACGGGTTTAAAAAAATTGCGAACACTCCCGGAAGCTAACACTGACTCGAAAGAATTAATTATATTAATGACGAATTTACAGCTTCAAGGTGATTCTTTCAAACTAAATAGCCCTCGGAGATCCCTACTTTCAAGTTAAATTCCCATTCAGAAAATGTGAAAAATAACCGTAAAAATAGACCGAGTTCTAAAAAGTCTGACGAATTTTGTGTACTTCAAAGTTAAGATACCCTTTTTTTACTTTCGCCCTTATCTTTGAAGTAGGTAACACCAGAAGCCATCGAGAGAAAAGACGTTGTCACGTCAAAAACTTCGATCCCTAAATATTACTCGATCGCGAGTTTTAATAAGATACGAAACACTCCCGAAAGCTAAAACACTGATTTTAATAAGAATTAAAAATGTTAATTTAATTTTCACAAACACGTGGTCATCAAAAATCAAAACGCCCGATGATAACTTGCGATTTTGAACCGATGTCAATGACCGACGCTAGAGAAATGATGCCACCCCGTGAAATTGATGAAATACAAAAGTGAATTTAAAACCACGTGATCATACGAAATTTAGACGCGCGAGGATAATTTTGATTTTTGCACCAATGACGTTTAAAGCAATGAGGGGGGGGGGGGGATTTGAAAATGCGAGACTGAGATGGTAGAAACGCGTCTATTGTTTTCTCTCTCACTCTTATTATTCTAATATGTAATTTTAGATTAAATATTATAATATTGAACATTAAATATATAAATCATGCAAAAAAAATAATTATTTTTTTAATTAGAATGTTTTAATAAACATAATGTTACAATATAAGAATCGAAAATATTCACCGTATATTTTAGTCACAATAAATTTACAGTATTTAGCTGGTGGGGCGTAAAACTGACTAAATCGTCCATGTGTGATGAAAAAATTTTTTTTGCATTCAATTTTCAATCACTATCTACAAATTTTTTTTTAAATAAGTTATCATTTTAGGAATATTTTTTTTAATATAAGACAACAATTTACCAAAATGTCAAGCCAAACTAATAACTTTTAATTTCTGACTGAGATGTTTGAGGAATAATACTCCATATATGCAAAAATCTATAAACTGCAATTAAATTACGTGGAATTTTGTTAAGGAGGTTATAGGGATTGACTGAACTAATCAAAACAGAAACCATTATTTTATGATTTGACTTTTTCGGTACTGTGAAACGTTTGGCAACACCACATTACGTCAGTCGAGTTGCAAATGGTTGCTATATGACTTGTTTACTTTAATAAAACAATTATCCTACTATTTAATTAACTTTAATTTAATTTTAAAAAATGTATAATCAATTTTATTTATTAATTTTTATTTTCTTTTTAAATATAACGTATTTTATATGTGCTGTCAGAATCAACATTTTAAAATTTAGCGCGCAAAATTAACATATAATATACATGATCAAGTGTGCAATGTTGCCAAACGTTTTGACAGCTTTTCAATTTAACTTTTATTTATTTATTTAAATATTGTTAAAAATTAATTTATTGCAGCTCCCATAAGAACCTAATAACACTTTTTTAAACAGATATTTAATCATTAAATATCTGTTTTGTATTAAAAAAAAGTTCATCAATTTCCTAATGTTCATTATTTTGTGGTGAGTAAATATGTATGAAAAAGTACTTAGTCCCATTAGACACAATGTTAATTGTTAAAAAACAAAAATGCTTATAACTTTTTTCACAAGAAACTAGAGGTCTGAAAAATTTAGCTACATAATTTTCAAATATTTATCTAATAGTGGACCAAGTTTCATTAAATTACTAATGTTAATTCAATTTCCGCTATAACCTCCTTAATTAAAAAAAAAAAAAAAAAAAAAAAAACCTATCAAAGATTAAATTAACGATGTTCAGATTGCTCTATGTATGACTGTTCACACACTAACGCCTGATGATATTTTCACGGAGGGTCTCAATTGGGGAATTTCATACGATCTACCCAATGAGAGTAAACCTGAATTGGAACCAGCTTTGGCACTGAGGAAGGACAAATTCAAAATAAACAATAAAATCAATAAAATTCCCATGGGAGAAAAGAATAATTATTACAAATATGGAAATTGGAATGCAGATGGCAAATATTATGTTTTACCAAATTATAAAAAATACTACAAACACAATTATCATTATTTACAAAGACGACACAGGAGAGATCTGTATGATAAACTTGAAGTTATTATGAGAGCGTAAGTTGAAATTTTAAATAAATTTTTAATTTAATATTCAGTATTTTATGTTTGACATTTAATTTTTATTGAAACAAAAAATGAAACTTGATAATAATTATGGAAAATTGAAGTAAATAATTTTTTTTTCAGCTGAATGCAAAAAATGATGTTAAATGTTGAATATAAAATTTAATTTATCGAATAAAACATTTTCCCTGCATATTGTTAGCAAAAAAACTTATTTAACCTCACAAAGATCGTTATTGTTTTTATGCTGATGCAGCATCCGATTCAGTACACTTCCCATTCGCTTTATTACCTATAATCCATCTAACAAAGAAAAAACATTGATAAAACTGGTTCAATGAATTCTTTATTATCGCGTTTTGTAATTCATTATTTCCGTAACTCATTCATTTTTCAAATCAATTTTTTAAGCACATTATATTAACTGCTTTTCAATTATTTACAAATACATATATAAATTTAATTATTAATATTATTTTTATTATTATCATATTATATTATGGTACAATTATTATCGTTTATGTATTATTATTATTATTATTATTTATTAGATTTTTGTTATTATTCACCCATATAATTCTAGGGCATTATATATATATATATATTATTGAATGTATGTCAACGTAATTATTGGACACGAGATTTAATTAAATTTATTGATATTACGTAATTGTTTCAAACGTTAAATATCTATACTCGCGTTAGCTTATAAACACTATTAACAAATATTCATTAGTATTTTACTGCGAATAAAATTTAATTTTTTTGCATAAAAATTTAACAATCTTCGTTAATTTACATTTAATTGACGATTATAGAATAGAAATATTTAATAATAATTTTATTAATAAAATTTCACTTTCAATCCACTTTTAAGTGAAACCGTTTAGACATGACTCAATTTGGAATGACTTTTAGCCTTTGTCATAGCATGATTTTAACTCTAAAAATTGATTTTAACTTATTTCGAGACAAAAAATTATCTTATATTCACTGTAAAAAGAAAGTACATATATGTAGTACTGATTTTAGGTATCAAAATAAAACCAAATGACAAGTAAGACTTTGTTTTTTTGTGCTGTATATGATAGTTACCATACTTTTTTGATAAAAAGAATACTAACATACAACTTTTTACTAAAAATATGAGTTATGCTACAAAATTTAAACATAAATTATTTTTTAAAAAATAAACAAACAATATCCATAAAATGAATTTATCATTTTACACTAGTTTAAACAAAGGGAATTAATATTGACAATTTCTAGTGAAATTCTGATGATTGTGGTTTAACAATTGTCATAAAATGCCGAGTGTGACTATATAAATTCTATTTTACATTTAGAACTTAATATAAAGAGTAACAATTGAAATAGTGTAAAAACCATAATAATAATAATAATAATAATAATAATAATATTATTAGTAATTTTTATTTCAATTTTTTGATTTGTTATAAAGAAACAAAAGGAATTTTTTTATTGTTTTAATATATTTAAATAACATTGACAATTGTTTATTATAAAATATTAATTATTTAAAGTATTTAATGATATTCAGATTTTTAATTAAATGGAATTAATTTCAACATATATATTATCTGTGATAATTATTTCTTATTAGTAATTTCACAAGTTGATAGATTTTTAACTCGGAAGCAAAGTACTTAATTTTCTTCACGTCAAAATAATTAAACAAAAATTCGAAAGAGGGACCTTCTTAAAAATATTCTACAACTTTTTTTTTAAAGCATTTTGCAGTATAATATTCTAAAAATCACAATTTACTAGAAATAATAATAAAACTTAAAAACTGCTAAAAATACAGTTATTAGAAAAAGTGAAAAACAGCAAAAAGAAGAAAGAGAAAAAAAAATATATAGACCCACAATAGAAACTATAAAGAATATAAGTCGAAAAATAGTAAATAAAAATAAATATAAGAAATTGTGGTAAACCGAGCGCGGCTTTGAATTGTTCACTTGATATTTATGTGAATTGAGTTAAAAGTTTAGAAAATAAATTGATGATATAAATTGCAGTAAATTTTCGTGGATTTTAGCTTCTTAGATTCCTCGGAGGATTTTTAAGTCGATGGTAGAAGAAGGAGGGAGGAGAGAGAGAGAGAGAGAGAAAGCTCAATTGTGGGAGAAAATGCTGTGGGAGTAATTCAGTAATGCGAGCTTATTTCAGAAAGACGAAGATCCAAGAAAAATAATCAAACCCCTCGACGGCGGAAATAAATCTGGTTATGGCTAGAATAGAGCAGAGGAAACTATTTCCCATGGTCGTTGGCCCGACAAACGGATAAATGGTCTGCCAGCCTTGTGCAGAAACAGCCCAACCACCCCACTATCACACAGGCGCCACCCTCTGATTCATACCATCCTTCCATTCTACACACATACACACAAAGCGTTTCAGAGTCGCACCAACACTCATTTCTTGAATACAAAAGTACCTATCAAATATAAGTCAACCCACACAAACTATTACCCTTTTTTTACTACCTATCTCAAATCAAATTTGTTATTTTATTACAAGTTAACTGAAAAAAGAATCAAGGAAAACCTCATCAAAAAGAGATTAACAAATTTTCCAAATGAAATTGATCAATTCTGTAAAGATCAAAGGAGTTTTTCTATAAAGACGCTCTTAAAGTCGATAATGTAATAATATTAGGACTCAACGTTTTGAAATTATTTGACAACGATGAACTTTATTACTATTTCAAGTTGAAATGTAATAAGAAAATTAAATTTGATATAGAAAGTGGATCATTTTTCAACTAACATAAATTGATATTGTCGCACTTTTATTTTTATCACTGGTATTCTTTTCAATTTCTGTTATTAACTCCTTTATAGTTCGGTAAAAATATCGTTTTTAGGTTAAAAACGACGAAGAAAAAAAAATTCTAAAAAATATTTGTAACTACACATCATATGTGACGCTCTGCGACAAAAGGTATCTAAGCTCCAAAAATTTTTAGTTTATATTTAGTGATAGTTTTATCTTAATAAAAAGTTATATTTTAATTAGGCAAAATCAAAAATAGATTTTATTGAATATTTTAGATGTAATAAAGACATAAGCATTCAATAGTTTGCATAAAGAATTGACCCTCTTTATGTATTTTCTCTTCAAAAATCAGAACTATAACCTAAAAATTTTGGGAGGGAGATATTAAAAAAATTCGACTCTATCCCGTACATTTCTAATGTTTGTTTGTACGCCACTTAATCGTCATTTTAGATTTCCCCCACCCAACTTGAACTACCTAATACCTACCAACTGTCAGTGTTATGACATCAAAGAGGTTAGAAAATCTTGAATTTAACGTCAGTTTTTATTAAATTTCTCAAAATTGAAACAGACGACATACTTCATTTTTATTCCTAAAAATTATAGAAATTTCAAACCTCACGACAGTATAAGTACTTAGGAAAAAAGTTGAACATTTTCTTGCAAGTTATAATCAAAATAGAGTAGTTGGTAACGTACTCTCCATAAGGGCCCATGTAAAAATATGCAACTTTATTAATTAAATTCTCAAAAACGAGACAGTACAAAATTTTGAAAAAAATTTTGTTTGAATCCAAAGATTTTCAAAAACGTATTTTATTATATTTCAGAATAATCTTAATACTTTTAGATAACTTGACACCCTCCTGAATATATTTAAAAGAACTAAACGAAAAATTTTTATTAACAAAACAATGATATATTATTTAAAGCAGCTATTGTTGGTATAGCTATATTAGTTTTCGAATTATCAAATGTTTAGAACTATCATATACAAAAGACAAAACTACATCCTTGCGAGCACAGAACCGACTATTTCGAATCACGTTAAATTAATTCAACACGTTAAATTTGACTTTGTTCTCTGATGTTTCATGTATAGCATAATTTGTGGAAATATTCCACCTGATTTGAAATGAATGTATTCAATTCATTTGATGTAAGTAATATTTCCCCCATATATATCTACCTATATTACAAAAAGATATCGCCGCCAACGCCGCCGCCGCTGTTCCAAGACTCTGAATATAGCCGCAAGTCAAGAGAAAGGGGGTAGATGAAAAGGGAGGGGGGACTTACGGCTATATTCAGAGTCTTGAAACGATCTTAACCTTTAAATTTAGGGTGGGGGGAAGTAATGCTAAGCGCGCAGGGGACATAGCCCCCTAGTATATATATATATATATATATTTTTTTTTTTCCTTGGGGAAAACAATAACCACTATTATGATGGACTAATACGTCCAATTGAATTCCCCTTGCGTCTAATTTTCAGATGAAAAAAGAAAGAAAAAATTCGAAGGAAAAGCCAGACAATGAAAAAGACCTATACTTTTTTCATATCAAAAATCAAAAACATATTAAGAACATTTCTGTCCCTCCAGGGCAGTAATGAAGATAAATGTCATTTTCGACAAAAATATATTTATGAGGTTCGAGGAAGAAAAATATGAGTAGAATTTTATTAAACATTTAATTAAATTTTTTTTAATATTAATCCTGTTTTTTAAGTGGAGCAAAAACTAATTTTTAATGTAAACTTTAATAAATTATGTAATTAATATTATAATAAATAACTGAAATACTATATAGTAAACAAAAAAAACTTAAATCTTAGATAAAGATAAATCTTAAATTAAATATTAGTCTTAAAGGATTTAATTTAAACTGAAACTTATGTAAAAATAATATATTACTGCAATAGAACTCAATTATTTATGCAGAACGTAAAATTCGGAAACTAACTTAAATGAAGCATATACTTACGAATATTATTATACTAGCGCCTCCGACTGCCTTTGGCCATATTGGGTCCGCCATTTTGAATTTTTTAAATCTGACATCAAATTTGGATTCAGCAACCCCAAAAACCCCCAATTACCGAATTTTGAACGAATCAAATAAATTTTAAATTTTTCCGCCATATTGGGTCGCCATATTGGGTCGCCATATTAAGTCCGACATTT